TCATCGGCGAGCTACAACGATTCCAGATTCCCTATAAGCTAACAGAGGTTCCGGACATGCAGGAATGGATTCAAGCGCAAGTTACTCGTGTGAAAGAGACTGACCAGGGTAATGTCCAAGTCAGCTACTACCGAAAGAGTTTACTACTTGAACCCCGAGAAACCTTTTTGAGAACCCCAACTGATGGTTCAACCACTACACCAGCAGGTCAAAGGGCAGATCTGTTTGGTTGGATTTCGAGAGATCGCCACAATAACGCGACGGTTTCTACATAATGACGCCTACTCGTAACATTGGCCATCATTACCGCCGCCTACCCTCACTCGTTACTACTTTTCCCTGAACTTTTTTCTTTTTTTATTATCTCATCCATTGATACCCCCTGTCGTTTCTTGTTTTACCATGGAGCCCAATTATGAAGCATTTGGGATATATCATGTCAGGTACTGGCGTTTACAGGCAGGGGAACAAGGGATAGTCCTATAACTTTTATTATTGGCACATATATTGCCCGGTCGCATACCCATCAACCGACCACCGATCCTCAAGGACTTGGCCCATGAGTTGACACTCAATTGTTCATCTGCAATCATTTGGAAAAATGGTGGATGGAGTTTGGTATACATTCGATCAGCATTCACAGGACGGGGAAAAGCATTTGGGCATTAACATGGATGTTATGCGTGATCAGGATATTAAGGGATGACACGATATTTCCAACGCCCATCAGTTACACGAAGGAGGAAAACTTATTGTATAAGATACAGGTACTTGATATGAAGTGTGAAAGTATGTACTACCGTAGCTTTCTACGCTCGGAAGATAATCATATTGGTCAACGTATACGAATGCTGTCTGCTGTGAATTTGCTTTGAATCTGCTTAAAGATGGAACCTGAAGCCAGCTATAAGATTTGGTTATGTATCGAATCCTCAACTTAATATAGCACCGCGCATTTTAGCCGCGCAAGCCTCGTCAAATCTGTAGCTCATCACTAATCAAACTCATTGATTCATTTGTCTAGCCTTATATCAGTGCTGTTTATAACTTACCCGCTCTTGTCGTAGTGTATAATGAGTTATCTTAAATATTCTGGTGTACTGCCTGGTACTAGACAAGGCCTAACGAGACGGCTCCTACATACCTCACAGTCAGCAGCTCCTCTTCCCTTTTTTCTACACTAAGGCACTGATCAGACATAATACGTACAAGGTTTTTCTCGGCCACTTCAATCAACCCGTAAAACGCAATTGACTGTAACAGCTACTAGGTAGTGTCGAGTAATCTATACTCTCATTCAATTCCTGACCAACTTATCATCAGGCCTGGACCATAAGCAGCCTATTTATCGATATACCTTTTTATACCTATGGCTTAACTAGATATCATTAAAATAAGCAGTAGTTAACGTATTGTTGGTCTCTTATAAAGACTATTATGTACTACAATTTCGAGCTCGATAGGCATGTGCAGGTTCTAATAGCTACTCTCAATGCTATACTGGTACTCCCCACTGTTTCCATGACTCAGTGAGGTTTTCAGGCGAGGTTGTGAAAGCTTCATATTTTAGTTTGAAGCTATGAATCCCGTGTTTGTTCATATATGATCTTATTCTTTGAACTAAAGTCATGAGAAGTACCTAGTTCGGCACCTACATAACCTATCTCCAAGAAAAAAATATCACTCACTACCGGTAACTTGACCTACGAAATGAGTGCTAATTATTGTTAGGATTCAAGATGAGACATTTCCAAGGATGAAATACCTCCGGTGCGTTGGTTTAGAGTTCGTTGCGCAACACCCAGGCTGTTTCGATGCCTTCTAAGTCTACCTATCACTATCTAGGAAGTTCACCTCTCTACATACTAACATTTGAGATTCGACCGGACTGTAAGACCAACCATAAGGTCAAGTATAGCTCGATTCAGAAAGTAGGTTATGTTTGTGTATCTTGCAGTTTGTTCTGTTGGCGATAGAACCTCATGAATCACGAACTACTCAACTTAAAACCAAACTAATTTCGATCTTATCATATTCAAGATTAGCTCGCGCAAGTCGTCAAGCGATTTTGCCAACGTAATAACTTTAATAGGACACCGCTTGGAAGTTGTGTTCAATTTGATTGCACTGGGGAAGATTGGTTCTGAATTGATATTTAATTTGCGGGTTTCTACTTCATTTGTTCGCGCCCTGGCGGTGAACTGCCTAGTTGAGCGTATGTTGGTTTTATCTAGGCATCCTTGTCGTGTTGATACCGCTCCTTCACACGGGATCAATAAACAATGACTATCTAAGCAAGGCGCCGGCGGCACAGTTATATGCTTCGGTGTGCGCTCATATAGCTATGACATGAGTGTTGCGCTTAATAGGTTTCACATAAAGTAGACATTCATCAAAACCTAATAGATTTTCTACATATAATATATTACTAGGATAGATGGTAGAGTAGAAATGAAGTTAAAGTCAGAAATATGGTATATATCCACGTGGTTTTGAAAAGTTGGCTCACTAGGGCTGATATTTCAACCCTTGGCATCGTATTTGATGGGTCTGGGTATACCGCCAGATATGGATGGTACGATGTTAATTATAGTAATGAACTACTAACATTGAACGCCTGGGTACGGAGTATCTTTCTCTTCCAACATTTGGCTAAAATAGGCGTACGGACATGGTATTTCTGAATGCCATCCTTGCATATGAAATTTGAATTTGAATTTGAATTTAGTTTGTTCCTTTTCTAATTTCTTTCATCCCCGCGTTTCTAATACTGCTACGGAGCTTCGTTACTAACATTTGAATATTTCTTTCGCGTCTTGTCTAGGTACCTAACATCTCTGACATCTAGACAGGAATAACCTAAAAAAGAAGAACTGCTGCGACTACGCAAAGCATCGTTCTAGAACGACGGACGTATGACCATGGTTTAATGTTGCTGACCTGCTGAATTATCCAATGTAACCTCGCGCGCCCGGATGGCTATGTCGTACAAGAAAGCCGTTACTTACCTAGTACCTAACTTGTCTCTAAATCTTCTGTGCCACATGTGAAGCGCAATTGCAAAATCGGGGTCGCACGTAGGAGCAACACCTCCACTGATATGAATTGTGGTCGTGTTTAAGAGTATAGTTTAGATTGATTGGGGTATAGTTAAAAATTGCCTTAGCTGAAGATCTCGATATGAGGTTCACTTGTTTGTTCGGTATTGTTATCTTCTGTAACATTACCCAGAGAGTTGGGACAGGATGATATGCATCGTAGCAGCAGTCAGCCAACCGCTTAGGACACCAATCGAGATAAGACAATTAGGTAGTTTTCGGATAATGGCATTATCATTTTCTAGTGGTGTCCTCGGCCTTACAGAAGCTGTATGTCTCTTGTGAAAGTCGGTTGGTAGTGTCTCTCTTCCCGTTTGTACGAAAGACAAAGCCAAATTTTGGGCAACGTTACATATCACAAGAAGTAAAATGGCTACTGGCTGACGAATAGGGGTTTTATCTTAGGCGGTATCCTTTAGGTGCTCAGGTTTAATTGAAATCCTGCTCTCCAAGAGGTAGGTACATAGGTATATACCTAAGACATACACAAATGTACAACTTCCTTCCCCGGAGAACGCTACGCCACCTGGCCAATGATGGCCATCCAATGATCATTCGTAGCGGGCATGTCTCGTGACTTGGGGCTTTTTACGTCCAATTAGAGCTGGACTGTGATCTCCATATTCGGCCCGCTGCTATCTTCTTATCGGCTATCTTATTAGTATGTCCTCCATGTCTTTGTCTTTTACAAATGTTTTCTTTTTAAGAGGATCGGGGAAGATGGTCTAGACAAACGCAATTCATGTAAGGGTCTTGCCTAAGGGTCTTCCCGCAAATTGAGAAGATGGGAAAATATCCTAGAACTTAATTGGACTTTACGAAGCCAACAACATTCTATTTCTAGAGGCAACAGAGGCAACAGAGGCAACAGAGGCAATTGAAGATAACACGACATTCCTACCCAGCAACACGAAGTATGAAACAAAATATCGTACGAATTCAGCGGTAGGTACCTAGATAAGCTTAGCTCTCTAGCGCGTTATTTGAAGGTTGAGGGAACGGAACTCGCGAAGGATTGCCTGCAGTCTGACCACTTAGTCAAACCACAAACAACTTAGCGTCTTTGGTGCCCCAAAATCCCCAGAACTTTAAGAGCACTAAGGTTATTAGTGGAGTGACATCGTTGACACTTCAATGCTGTTCGTCTTGTCTTGTGTGACATATGTATAGCTCCTAAATATATACATACGAGGGGTAATCGGGCTGGACGTGTCACGTAACCATCATTCCGAGCAACATTCACGAGCTATAACGAGTTTTCGGGGCTGAGGATTTATTCGGGGTTGAAAGTTGAAAGTTGGTGTTACCATACCCTACCGTAACTTATCCGACCGTATTCCGTTCCCCATTCCCCAAATCCGCCAACCGTGACTGGTACCATCCGATCAGCACTAGGTTAGGTAGGTGCAGGTACCTACATTTTTCCAACACTTCAAAGTTCTTTCGCTTACATTCCCGCATGCATGCATAATAGTGGAAGTATTCCACACGTGCCGCATATCGTATTAATCTAACATCGCCTTATCTTACTAGGGTGGATACCTTATACAGACATGTACCCCAGTACCTATCTATTCTAATACCAATATTTATTTCGCTATATTGTCTGCGCCCTTTCCGCTTCAGCGTAGCTCTTACTTTTTCCCATCTTCTGCCAGCTTAACGGTCAATATAATTTAGCCGCCACGGCGAGTAATATTTTTCAAAGGTATGTTTATACGTTGCGCTTACATGTCATGATATATGATTCATTTAGTCCCCCCCCCCTTATTGTGCTTTACTTCAAGTACTAGTTAGCGTTAGTGATCATTATAATAAGCTAACACTAGATGTTTACAGGTCTATATTAGAGAGCTTTCTTCGAATCGCTAGAGGAAACTGACCAATCGACCAATTCTAAAAATGGCAGACGCGAAAGAGCCGGCGGTCGACGCCGATACACAGGCCGTTCGAAGATCCCACTCGGATCTTGCCACAAGTACGCACGGCCCCGAGGCGCGTCCTGATAATTGGATGTATCGAGGTTTTCGGATCGGCGGCAAGGAATTCTGGTATGCGTCACCAAAGATCCAGCTTCTCATGGTGGCTTTCGTCTGCTTCATGTGCCCTGGAATGTACAATGCGCTCCAAGGTCTAGGTGGTGGTGGACAGGTTGATCCGACTGTACAAGATCACGCATCCACCGCTCTTTACTCCGTTTTCGCCGTCGTCGCTTTCTTTTCCGGCTCCATCGCGAACAAACTCGGTGTAAAGATTACTTTGACTATCGGTGGTGTTGGTTACTGCATTTACTCTTCCAGTTTGTTGTGCTACAGCCATACCGGCAATGTTGGCTTCGTCGTCTTCTCCGGTGCTCTTTTGGGTCTTTGCGCCGGTTTGCTCTGGACTGCGCAAGGAACTATCATGATGGCTTATCCTCCCGAGGAGTCTAAAGGCCGCTACATTAGTTGGTTTTGGATCATCTTCAACCTCGGCGCCGTTATTGGTAGCTTGATTCCTCTCGGACAGAACGTCAGCAATGACACCGGTACCGTCACGGATGGCACGTATATTGGCTTCATTGTTCTCATGTTCGTCGGAGCGTGTCTTACCACCCTCTTGGTGAATGGAGACAAGGTTATCCGTGATGATGGTTCCAAAGTTATCTTGATGAAGAACCCCACTTGGCAGAGCGAGTTCATCGGACTCTGGGAATGTATCTCCCTTAGCCCTTGGGTCGTTGCTCTATTCCCCATGTTCTTCGCTTCCAACATCTTCTACACATACCAGCAGAACGTTCTCAATCTTGCCTATTTTGACACTCGTGCGCGCTCACTGAATAACCTTCTTTACTGGCTCGCCCAGATTTTTGGCGCCGTTATTGTCGGATACGCTCTTGATATCAAATCAATTCGGCGGTCAATGCGTGCCAAGATCTCATTCGTTGCGCTTTTCTCCCTCACCTTTGTCATCTGGGGTGGTGGCTGGGCGTGGCAAGAGTACCAGCTTGACCGAGCGGCGTCTGGGAAAGTAGTCGATGATCAGAAAATCGACTGGACGGACAACAACTTTCTTGCACCTATGTTCCTTTACATATTCTACGGCGTGTATGATTCCGTATGGCAAACAAGCATCTACTGGTATGTCCTTGAAATTCAAAATGAGCTAAGCAAATATCATGTCAGTCTAACACAGTCTTAGGTACATGGGCGCTCTCTCAAACTCTGGCCGAAAGACTGCCAACATGGCTGGATTTTACAAGGGTCTTCAATCCGCTGGTGCGGCCATTTTCTGGCGGTTGGATGGCATCCACACAGAATATAACACTATCTTCGCTGCTACCGTGAGTTTACTTCCTCCTTTCCCATGCAGGTATGAATTCGTAACTGACAATTGAAACAGTGGGGTGTATGTGCCGGATCTCTCCTAATTGCCGCCCCAATCATCTTCACGAGAATCAAGGACACTACCGAGCTCGATGAGGACCTTAAATTTAGTGACGAGACAGTGGGTGATGTGGCACCAACCGTAGTTCCCGAAGAGAAGCGCACCGAAGTTTAAACAGTGATTTCTTTGATATACTTTGTTTTAATCGTTAGAAACACTAGGAGCGAGTGTTTATGGTTGTGGTAGAACCGTGAATTGAGCAGCCGAAGGTTTGAGGTGGTTGGAATAACCTACCTGTGTTGACGCATGATGATGAATATAATACCTACTAACTAAATTCATTCATACGCATATAAATATACCCGATGATACAGTTAGGTATCATCAGATCCGAAACTCTTCAATTAACATTGTTATTAAAACTTGATAACGGGAACACGTATAGTACTTTGCTAGATCCTATCTGTTGTAGATAAAGCTAAAGCAATGCAACTGGAGTGGTTGAAGGTGCTCTTCAAACCCTTTACTTTAAATCCTTAAGCATATCCACTTCAAGTAGGATAAATGCTAGGCTCCTCCTTATGTCACCTCCGATAACCCGATATCTCCGGATCTAGTCCAGGTCCCAGTTATTACCCCGGTATGAGATTGATCGATCTTGTTCATCTCTACTATGAAGGGGCATGCTACCCATCATCAGGGTGGGTTCGATGCGTACCTAATTACTGAATTAATGCTATGTTAGCTAAATTGGCAAGAGGGGTATTGAAAGGTTTCACCATATATGTATTTAACGTTCCTTATTCCTCTCCTCAAGCTAAGCTACAAAGTGCAATGCTACGTTACTGCTAGATCTACGTCCTTAACGGTAGCATCTTTACCCAGGTTCATAAGTATATCACGGGTCAAGCGACTAGAAGGATTAGAGAGTCTTACTTATAATGATATACTTATCCTATGCTCATACATCTTTCGTGGGTGAACAAAAAGTTATGGTTTTTTATCTTAGTAAACTCAGACCATAACCATCGAAGATGTCTCTCACAGTTAGAAGGAACTTGAGTTTACTGAGATAGCCAGGGAAATGGAAATTTGGATGAGATAAGTATTGGTTCTGCTCCCGTTGCGATCTCTGGGACGAGGGCGTTCATAGAGGGAATACCCGGTCTATATCTACTGTATGCAAAAGGGGAGAAGAATCGCAATAATCTCCAGATTATGTCTTGCTTCTTGAAAGAGATGACGAGTACTTATGGCCGCGGGGAAGATGGCCTTAATAGGGTAGTTATAACCTTAATGATTCCAGAATAGGGATAATTTATGCCTTGAGATAACTAGAACATACATATCGGTTGACCTTGAACTGAATTTTGACACTGTCTCCAATTAGAGCGGTAGGTGTAACCAGTTATTGTGGCTGAGATAGAAAGTGGTGTGTATGTCTGTAAATCGCCAATCATATAGCCCAACTTGATAACTCGGAAATACTAATGCACCGATCGCGGGGTTTTGCCAATCTGTCACAGCCTTGTTAACTTTGGGTAGAATGAGCAATGTTCAGCTAGTTCGTAGCTATCTGTTTAGACTCTAGAGACGCTTCTACTCATCCTTACTCCATTATATTGTCCTCACATAATCCATCGGGGCGTGAACACAAACATACAGAGCGAAAACGAAAACACGGTACGATAATGTCTGGCCTCGAAGCATTAAGCATTGCCTGCAACATAATGCAGGTGATTAGCTTTGCCCACGAGACGATTGACTTTTGTAAAGAAATATATCATGGTGGATCCCTCAACGACTACAACCAACAGAGCATCGTATCGCTCGTGGAACTCTCACGCCAACTGCAAACGCGCTTTCAGAAAGCGAAGTCAAAAACGGCCGAAGAGACACAGCTTGCTAACATTGCTCAGAAGTGCAATGTTGCAGCACGTGCGCTTCAAGAAGAAGTCAAGTTCCTTGAGTCTCGCCATGCCAAGGGTAATCTTGCGGCGACTATAAAAATTGTGGTGAAAACATATTGGCGCAAAAGTCGGCTGGAGAGACTGGAGAAATCACTCCGTAATCACCAAAATACAATGGAGTCTTATTTGTTAGCTCGAGTATGGTAGGTATTTGATTCTTCTATGTTGGTAGCAGCAAGGCTTAGAGATTACAAGCACACAAAACGATGCCATCGAGATTCAACAGAGCCAAGAATTCAAGGAGCTAGGCAAAGATATCAAGTTTTTTACGTCCCAGTATGCCGCCGGCCATACAAGAATCGTCGACCTTATCAAGAAAGAGCTCGTATTGGTTAGAGCTGAAGGAGTTAAAGCAACCTTGCAATCCGAAGAGTCAATAAAAATGCACGTTACATCGGCAACAAACGACCTTATCCAGAGAATGGATCAATGCACGATTGAATCAAATATAAAATCTTCGACTAAAGAGCAGAAAGATCAATTTCTCAACAGCCTTAGATATGAAGGCATGAATCAGAGGAAGAATGACGTAACTGGCTCATTCAAGGATACCTTCCAGTGGATTTTCGACTCGGAATGTGGTAAAACCCCTATACAATTATGGGACAACTTCGGAGACTGGCTCAAGTCTGAAAGTAATATTTACTGGTAACGATCTTCCTTTCTAATCGAATGAACTGAATGCTTGTTCTAACACGGATTAGGATTTCTGGTAAACCTGGCTCTGGAAAAAGTACACTGATGAAGTACCTCTTGAAAAGCCCTTCTACGGAGGAAGCATTGAAAATATGGAACACAGGCCCTATCATTTTGTCTCATTTTTTCTGGAAACCAGGTTTCAAAATGCAGAAAAGCATCAAGGGATTTCTTTGCTCTATCCTTCACCAGGCTCTCCTCTCTGACAGGGTATCTATAACCCTGGACTCGATCTTAAACACTTCCAAGCCCTTGCTACTCAAACATGAGGCTGCCGATTGGGACGTCGAAGAACTAAAAGATCTCTATTTCACAATATTGGGTACCGATATGTTTCCAGTGTGCATATTCCTCGACGGGTTAGATGAAATATGTGACGAAGACGGCCCGTTTTCGCTACTGAAGTTGATTGATGATCTGAGGATACATCCCAAGGTCAAAATATGTGTTTCCAGTCGGCCTGAACCGGAGCTTCAGTCCAAACTATGCAGACACCAACAACTAAAATTACATGACCTGACACATGATGACATGAAGAAATTTGTAGTTGGACAAATACAGCCGTATATTAACAGTGGTAAGATATCCGAATCCTTCGGATCAAAGATCACATGGTCTCTTATCTGGAAAGCAGAAGGTGTATTTCTCTGGCTTCACTTGGCATCCCGAAGTTTAATTGGCGGAATCGATAAGGGCGATACAGAAGACATTCTCTGGCAGCGGCTTGAGGAAATGCCTAATGAATTGACAAAATTGTACTCCGACATGTGGGAACGAATGAATGGGAATTCCAAAATTTACCGGGAAACTGCAGCCCGGTATTTTAATTTGCTTATTCTTACGCGCGAGCAGAACCTGGGTTATACCCGCCCTGGTTCCGAGTTGCGTTTTTTCCAATTCATGGGCGCGACACAGACTGAACTCCAAGATATCATCCTCGAGAAACAAAGTTCCGTTAGCGAGGCGACTTTTGAACATATATACGCACTATCTGTACAGGCTATACAGGTTCGGTGTGCGGGCCTTCTAGAGGTAAATTGTAACAACTATCTTGACAAATTCCTCTGCGTACGCGACCCGACTCATTTCAATTTTTTTAAACGCCAGAACATGCAGGTACAATTTATTCATCGAACGGCGTATGACTTTATAAAAGATACCGAAGAGGGCCATCGTATTTGTGCGTATGACTCTTCCTCATCGGATATACTACGGATCCAGCTTATCAAAGGTCATCTTATTATGATAAGATTACTTTGGGAAACAAGAGGTGTTGATAACGGCATTACGAGGTTCTTGGAGTGTTTATCCAAAATAAAAGACTTAAGCCTACAACCTCTTGTCCACGATATACTGCGATGCGCATGGGTGTGGTATCACAAACGTTGTTACCGAGAAATTGCGAATCAATTCTACACTATGCCTCATTTCTTAGTTCTTTTAACTAGAATGGATTACGGTGTACCATTTCGAAACTTCGTTTTATCTACCATCAAGGGATCATCAAATCCATCATCATTAGCCACACACGTTTTGAGAAATATATGCTTTCATGTTTCTGGAAAAGATTGGTTCATTAAGCGACTTGATTATTTCTTAGAACCGCTCCTTGCTCTAGGGGCGGATGCAACGTCTCGAGGGACTTGTATAATACCACCGCACGAGCAAGGGGAATTGAGGAAGAAGCTAGTGCCATTTATTAGTCCATTTGCGCAATTCGTATCCGAACTCGCCCCCACTAATATTAGGCTTGAGCCTACAGCTACAGTCAGGCTCTTAGAAATGTTCATGAATGCTAAGCCTGACTTGAAAGAGCGCATACCACTAATTGTTCAGCTAAACTGTGATGAGCTCAGAGTTCTAGAAATCAATTATGGTATATATTTCAATAACTTCGGAATTGTCAGTAGGACTAAAGGCCAGGACTATAGACTGAGCTTCAGCGCATTTGATAATGCAAAACGCGAAGTATTAATAGTCTTGAATATTAATGTTGGATTTCTCCTCCATGTTCTTCTTATGAGGGATCCCTCTTTGGAGACAGTTTTGAGGGACGGGCAATCATCAAAATGTCAACCAGCCCAATTAGTGCTTATATGTGTCCCAATGAGTAGGGGGGTTTCTACAAGATATTTTCGTTTTCGGCCGATAAACACAAAAGTCACGGAGCACCTATTGTCTTTGCTATTGCAGGCTTTATGTGGTGTAGACCTACTCTCCGAGGCAATAGATGAAGGTATCAAAGTTCTTGGGGATATCTACAACGGATCGCCGAATTATAAGGTAGTATATGAATCTGGTAGGTGTGTCTTGGCTGAGGAAGATTGCGGCTATCGTTACAAAGGGCCCGAGGACAATCATTTATTGGGGGATGAATGGGGAGAACATTGGCCTGAGGTGTGTAGCGATATAAATAATTGTGCGGAAGAGAGCGACGCTGGTTCGTTATGAGGTTGGGTTGTGGAGACATTGCTTGTTTAGAATACCTACCTGAAAGGGGTTTAATAAAATCTAATAAACTGTATCTACCTAGGTATCTACCTACCTACCTAGGTACCCAGTTCCCTAATAGCAGCTTCCAGATGACTAGACCGCCATGTTAGGTATGATGAGAAAAACAAATCAAGAACGACTCCCCAGTACGGGGAATCAAACCGAACCCTGAGCTCCTCGGTGCAAACGAGGTATGTTAACCGTTACACTATAACTACCTGACTATTTGACGAATATTGGCAAAGTGGAGGATAGTGCAGTCCTAAGAACGTACTATAAGTGACTCAAGACCCATCCCTTAATTTGATATAAGGTCGCTTTTGCAATCAGAAAAGGGAAAAAGGACTTGAGCTTGTCTTGGATTTGCAAACTAAGAACTCATGCTAGTTACCTGTTAATGAACATACTGAATACCCCTAATCGCTAACCCGAGGCTGAGTTGAAGTCGGATGGACCCATGTCTTAATTAGGCAGGGTCGACTATATATTAACGGCGCACCATACCGGTCCCGCGACAGAGACCAGGAATTATGTCTCAAAATGTGTATGGACACACCTATTTAATGAATCGACGCCCAGCCTCTATCCTTTTAGGTATACGTGAAAGAAAATTAGGCGGAATTTAGATGCTGTAACGATAACTTTGAATATGTCGTCACACATAGGAATTGATGCTAAAAGGTGTGCTATATTGGCTAACCGTGGCGTCTGTCGACATACCGCTACACCACTAAAAGGTTATTTGGTAACAGATTTTATTCTATTACATATTATATATGTTGGACAGATATTTTATATCTGACAGCGTCCAACTACATGGAACTCTAATGATTTGACTTGATTGCATCGCATTACATTACAGCACAAATATCCACTTTTGGAAATCTTTACTTAAAGCACAATCCGACTCGGTTGTAACTTGTAAGTAGTCCCACAGTTCATAATTAAATGGTTAGTATACAATGTAACAACTCTCTCCGATGTAACTCTGAAAGCTTAATTCAAACAACCGCCCACATTTATACTATTCCCATAGAGCCAATCGGATACCCTTCCTCTAGATATGTCAAACACTCTTGCGAAGAAGTTCGTGGAGTTTTTCATGTGAGCTAAGAAAGTAATACGGTTGACATGCAAGAAGTTATGAAGTAGGCAACTAGCCGCGATCACGGACCTTAGTATACATGCATGTAGCCATCCTTCGCCCAAACATTACAAGTGATCTTGGGGTAACCCTCCCAACAAACTGTGAGCCCTTGCCCAACCTTCATATCATCACTCCGGAACGACGTTGTAAGGCAATCTTCTGATGTGCTATTTCCGTTGGTATTGTTGAGTCCGTATATTAAATAAATGAGCATTGGGTTCTTATGTTGTTTAAAGGGTGAAATTCTAGTAAGTTGTTTCCATATACTGTTACATAATTGGTGCTAGGTCTTTGTTAAGTCGATGACCTTGTCTTATCTCCCTAAATTATCGCTAAGATGTCGACACTGGGCCGAAAGACAGATTTCGAATTGCTCCTTGCAAAGTGTATCGGCCAGACGGTTGAGATTCCAGATCTCTTCGTTCTTTGCCCCTGGGATATGGATGTGTCTCCTGTCGATGAGAAGCTGGAGAGGGAAGTAGAGTTGTGGCGATCGAGGTAAGGCCAGGTAAGATACCCTAACTACTGATTCGGCTCTCTAACAACTAAGATGGATCAATGACGCAACGAGCTTGAAGCGTAACCGCATAGTAAACTCTTGCCTATTCGCACGAGGCATCGCACCAAAGGCAACCTTTGACGAGTTAGTGACTGTAGCTAAGTACCAGGCTTGGGTGAGTTTCGAGAAGCCAATATCGGGAGGGTTCATTTAGGCAAAATGATTCACAGTGTGATAGCTATTTTACTGGGACGATGGTGAGATATTCAATGTGTCAAAATAACATCGTCGCTCTGACCTTAATTACAGCCTACGACTTCGGGGATTTCGATGACAAGTACGAGGAGATTGTCGCCCACCAGAAGCAAACAATAGAGTTGCTCCGCGAAAGTCTTTTCAACGAACACCCTAGTTCCATCGACCCTGTCGCGATTGCTCCAGACTACCTTACCGCTCAATCAATTCATGAGTGGGGGGTTATAGTGGGTGAGAAGAGTGTATCTTGTAAGACAGACTTAAACTACGAGAAAAAGCTGTGTTATTAACCTAAGCATACATTAGCTTCATTGAAGAACTGGTTTTTCAAAGTCCTTATCAATTTTATCACGGCTACATTCCACCTCCAGAGCGAGTTTGATAAGGGAAGCATCTTAGATCTTGAAACTTATTGGAAGATCCGCATGGACTCATCTGCGGTGTTTCCTACATTAGGAATGGTTTTGTGAGTTGTCGTATGCCCACTCGGAGATTTAGGCTAACATTAGCTCAGGTTTGCTGATCAGGTTGCCTTCCCTCTTTGGTTCTTCGACCATACTCTCGTTCAGAAAGCTGCAGAGTTGTCTAACATCATCATCTGGGTGTGAGCATACTTGTACAGTATTAGTACCAACCTGCGCGATACTGACAATAATCAGCACCAACGATATCGTATCAGCACGACAAGAGCTCGTAACTATATCCTCCCTAATATGTTATATTATACTAATAGCAAAAAGCAATGCAAACATGTCGATAATCTTATACCTCTTCTTGTCCATCATCGAGAAATCACACCTCAAGAAGCTATTAACGAGGCAAGCAGAATTGCGCACCAGGCCTACCTGGACTTTGAAGCATTAGAGCTGCAGTTAATGGAACTTGGCGAACATCGAAATATTGTTTACGAAATGCGAAGATTCATTGCAAGTTGTAGATTTGTGTGCACAGGCATTTTTAATTGGACGTAAGTAGTAACATTGTCGATCACAGAGAAAAAGGGGTTAAACGCTGATGGTGCGATAGTTATCATATTAAACGGTATGTTCATTGGGAATCTGGTATGGATCGTGCTAGTGTCTCTGCTGTACTTGGGGAAGACCTCTTGAGGTAATGCGCTTGATGTGCTTAGCTGAGGCTGGTATACATGGGAAATGTAAAATAAAGGGGAGAGAGACAGAAAAATATTTATAACATGAACCTCAATTTCCCTATTTATACCGACTAATATAACTCCACTCCTAATCTAGCATTGAAATTATACCACTATAAACTTTTGAGCAGGCCTTAAAAAATATAGAATGTACAATTTTGAGTACACGTACAATGGACCCTGCTTATTTCTCTCCTATCAACGAAGCTATTCCACATAAAAGTATTATTTGGAAAATTATAGAGGTCGTGGTCATTTTGAAACTATAATGATAACCTGCGACTGAAGAAGTATTTCTTTCAAGACGAATCTGTATTGTTGGCGATGATAATAACGTAGACTTATAATAGACAATATGCTGTTCTTTATTGTGTGACGAAATACAATGTTTCTTTTTCATGCTACCACCACTATTCCTTACTTCCAAACTCCTGACCCGAACCTACCACACATAGGCTAGTAATACTTGAGGATAAAGACCTATGTAGTTAGGTAAGTACTGAACTAATGTCCTATTCAAAATTTCAGCTTTGGTCGTATTCAATTGCCTTCAAGTGGATGTTCAGTTCAGAACAGAGACTTCCTCCTTAAATGGCTATTGAAGGTGGAGTAATCCTCCCTGGATTAACTGACAGAGAAACAGAATCAAAGTCGTCTGTCAAAGGTCTTTGATTCTGGGGTATATTTACCTCTCTCTGCCTGTTGTCGTTTATTTCAGCCTTGGACGTTTCTATCATTACTCCTGCCCCCCATGTGTAGATTACGAACTCGTTCATAGTGGCGTCTATTGTTCTGTAACCTTTGTTTGGTCAAGTCGTGGACGCTTTTGGTTGATTCCCATCATTGCGGCAACTACCCTTTTCATCCTTGGCAGCGGACTTGCCGGCGCTGCGTACAACGTTGGTATGTTGATCGTGGGCCCTACAATCCAGGGCATCGGTGCCGGAGGTATCCATGTCGTTATCGACATCGTGTGCTATGACTTAGTCCCACTCTATGAACAAGGAAAGTATCTGGGCCTCATGTTCTCTTGGTCTGGAGTTGCGGCCTCCTTAGGACCGCTAAATAGTGGTGCCCTGGCACAAACAAACTGACGGTGGGTGTTTTGGATTAACATATCTATTTGCGGCTTGGCTTTATTCACTCTTGTTGCTTTCATGAGGGTGAAAAAAGGTGCCGAATCTTCCACGCTATCCTTCATCTCAAAACCAAAGCGGATAAACTATTTCGGATCGCTTATCTTCATACTGAGCATGATCGCATTGCTTTTTGGCTTAATCATGGGTGGCGCGTAGTTTCCATGACCCCCCTGGCGTGTTATTTTACTTCTTGTTCTGGGGATTGTTGGATATTCTTCCATTAGGTATTCAACAACATTACTTTGCTCAGTACCCTAGTGTACCTTTGAGGCTCTTCGGGCACAGGATATATGTGACAGCGTTTATATTAACCTTCCACGTCTTCTATTATCTCATAGATGATTTCATACTTTTTACCCATCTATTTTCAAGCGGTACTTGCTACGATGACCCTAGAGTTCGGCACGTTTTTTTCTTTTCTTCGCATTAGGATCATTAGTTTTTGTTGTCGTCGTTGAAGCACTAGTGACTTAATTTGGCGCATATCATCTGCTGCCTGTTATCATGACCAAGTTACTAGAGTCCGATGTTACTACGGTGTTCGCAACATTCAGCTTTATTAAGAATTTCGGCTACATATGGGGAGTGACAATCTCAAGCATTATTTCCAATGCTGTTTTTAATAACAACTTATATAACATTTCGGACCAACCGCTACGGGGCCAACTGCGGGGCGGGGTAGCATATTCTTTTGCAAGTTAGATACATAATATACGATCAACTCTTGACCCAAGTGTTTGGGCCGAACCTAGGGAAGTTTGCATAAGAAACTTAGAAATAATCTGGTGGGTGGGCTTTAGGTATTAGTTTGATAAGCTTCTTTGCGGTTGCAGGAGAGGAGTGTTCTATATGCTACCCCTATTCTCAGAAGGACATGGGTCAACACAATCCTTGCTTTCACTTAGTAATACAATATATAAAAATAGATAGGATTTATGTACTTTTAATCGGCGTATAAAATACAGGGGTTCATGCATCCTCATGCAGTAATATGCCTTAGGCACCAAGGTAGGTACTTTTTACTAACTGTTAATAGGTCTGACATTCTATAATTATATGAAAATATAATTTCTCTTTCTACACCTTTACACTCATTTTGGTTGCACGCAAAGCATGCTTACAAAAGACTTCCCACCGCCATGGAAACTTCCAATGAGCCCATAAATTTAAATGCACCCATAGCCGAAACGTCTCCTACTGATGATAGTATCACTTCGCATAATAACCCTAACCCGGACTCGACAAACCCTTTGCCCAAAACCTTGGAACAGCAGTTCGAAGAAGCGATTCGAAACGGTGATTGTATCGAATTAGAGAAGCTTTTGAGATCTAGAGAAGATTTACTTGAGATACAGCTGCAATATGAGTTTAAAGAACGCGGAGCCAACACAATCACAGTTACTCCATTGGTTCTAGCAGCAGCATTAAGTAAAACTGCCATCGTTAAATTTCTTCTAGAGAATAATGCGAATGTGAAGGCTGCCGATCCCAAACATGGCGAAACGGCACTGCACATGGCTGCCCGACGCGGTCCAAAGGAAATTGTGGATTTGCTTCTCTCTCGAAAAGCAAATATACATAAGAAAGGCCTACTCGACCAAACGCCGTTACACTTAGCATGTAGATATGGCCAGCGCGAAATTGTTGCTTGCCTTTTAGATGCAAAAGCAGACCTGACCAAGCGTGATAAGGATAATACTACACCCTTTCTCACCGCAGCTATGTTGAATAAAAAAGAAATAATGGAGTTTCTTTTAGAGCGAGGACCAAAGGAGCAGCTCAATGAAGTGAACAAATTCTTGAATGGGCCATTACATCTGGCATGCGTCAATAATAGTAATGCCGTGGTACCGTGGCTATTGAAGTTGGAAGTACCAATAAACCAGCCAGGGTATACAGGAAAGACTCCATTGCACTTTGCTTGTGAGAAAGGAAATACGGAAAATATCAAGGCGCTTATCAGCCACGGAGCAGATGTTCACAGGCGAATTAAAAATGATGATAGCCCCATCTTACATTCCTGTTTCTACGCACAACTACGGAGTATCGAGACATTGATATTTCATGGTGCATCGGTTTTTGATATTAATGGTCAACGCAATACTTGTTTTCACAATGTTATCCTGGCAACTAATGAGTTCTCAGACTCGCACAAACACATAATGGAAACATTAGTTGGCGCAGGACTAAACATTAACCAGCCTAACCGGGCCGGCTATTCACCTCTTTGGATGGCATGTGAGAAGAAAAAGGACAAGCATATCCAGTGTCTTCTCGATCTAGGTGCTGATATTAACTATAAAGTGGCTTCTAATGGATCCACTGCTCTTATGGAGGCTTGCTGTAAGCCAGATACACAGACCGTTAAGACACTCTTACAGCTGGGACCTGACATGACCATCACAAACAATGACGGACAGACGGCTTTAGCACTCGCCTGCCGTTTCGGCCAGCTTGAGAATGTTAAGGCTCTAATAAACAACGGTGCGACGGCCACAATCACAACCTGTGACAAGGATGGACATACACCCTTATATACTGCAGTCATGTGCGGTCATATTGATATTGCGCTTGAAATATTAGCAACATCAGTTTATTTTCCACAAAATGTTGTGAAAGAGAAGGCCTTTACGGAACGTATGACGAGTATGGAGCATGTTCGCGAAATTGAGGACAACTTGTTGAAGAGTTTTGAATCTACCAAATACCAGGAACAAGAACCTCTTCAGAGGATCCTACATTGGGCAATTGTTAATGGTGCCTTCACGTTGGCTCATCATTGTATCTCTCAAAACCCAGAGGTTCTCCAATGGAAACGAAACGGTGCGACCTGGCTTCATGTGGCAGCTCTACATGGACAGCATGGATTCATTCAACTTCTGGGGAAAACACCATCCCATGATATTGATGTCTTTTCGACGGCCGAAGATAGCGTCACAGCTCTACATCTAGCAACTAATGATGGTAACGTCAAGACTGTGCAATCTCTCTTACAGATGATGCCAAAACAATCTGATAGGGTCGAAGCTATTATAAAACAAAATAGCCAAAGTGAGTCTCCCCTAACAATTTCGATAATTCGGAGACATAAAAACTTGGAAGATATATTTTGGGATGTAATCAGTCAACTTGGGGCTGCCGACAAGAACTTTATGCAGAACAATACCGGAAAGGCCAGTAAGATCCTCGAGCTAGTCGCTATATATGAAACACCTGGAAATGAAGTCGTCTTGCATCAGCTACTTCAGCAATGGTGTCTGAATAAACAAGTTGAAAATCAACAGGATTTCACAACTCTTCACTTGGCAGTCTATTGTTCCCAAGCCGTCGTGGTATGGTGGCTGTTGTCAAAGGGTGGATATTCTGACTCGATTGAGAGCGCCCTTGAGCTTCTGCAAGAACAAAATGAAGACGACAGCATCGAAAGTTATATTAAAGGCTTACTTCTTCATCCGCCTCCAATCCTTACCCGAGTTGCTAACCCAAATAATGATCGCATAACTTTACCACCAATACTTGCAAACGAAGAAAATCGCGCGCTGAAGATGCAAGGGAATATTGTCGACATTTACTCTAAAGGTGGAAGGGTAAGCATCCCATATACAAAGTCTAGTATCAATAATATCGTCTACGAGGAAGGTCCAGAATACCTCATGGCAAAGGCCCGAAAGAACTTAAACTTAGATGCGTTAAAGAGGAATTTAGAGCGTACTGTTCATGATGGTAACCATGGAGCTCTACACACCGCGATAACCGAACCAGCTCAGCATGACATCGATATTAATGAAGGGGGCTTCGGCGGACTTACTGGAGACCTTAAACTTCGTTGGATTCATCTTCCCGTTAATGATGTGAGGGCCCCAGCTCCGCGTGAATGCTAGTTTTTACACAATATTGACAGATACATTATGAACAGTTACAAATCATGAGAGTAAGCTTCACACAATTCTTTAATCTCACACAGAAGTCCCATACTAACCCCTTTCTAAAGGACCTAGTTTGTCGGTTGTCGCATGATGCAAAACGTTTGGCGATGGACCATACAGCGTTGATGAAGCACTTTAATAATAGCTGGACCGAATTAGCGGCGGGTGGGAAACGGAACTACATGAAACCACAATGCGTTGTATGTGTACAAGTATATTTCTTCGATAGTGTTAAGAGCTTACCATCTTTGTCTTGGTAGCGAAAAGAAATAGATCATTCCGATCATCCGAACTACAATCAAAATAGAAACCAGCCTTTGAGAGAGAATTCTACCTGCACGGCTCTCTATGTATGTATTAACAATACCCTTACTCCAGGCTATAATATGATATACTAACTATTACCAAAATAGATGCCATATCTCACATTGGGGACTTATCCTCGCATAGACTCGGACTGCAACACCGATAAATCTGATAGGCTCGAGGAATCAATAAGTAATTATAACTCGAGACAAATCAAACACAAGTCTATGACGCTTGACCAGTACTATTACCCAACTATTGCTAACTCTGACAAGAGAGATAATGATCAAGTCCTGTCAAAATTTCTAAACGAGAAAGATGAACTAGGTCGAAAGAAGATCTTATTAGTAAATCAAATATGGGTATGGATCATCGATGAAAGTATGGCTACAGGTATCAATAAATATAGACAGGCGTCCAAGCTAACGCATCCCAGAAACCATCATCAGCGCTACGACAGAGGATTCAGGACACACGAAGAATTTGTTCCAAAATATTCAAAACAATATTCTTTACGGCGAGACTAGAAGTCGGTTTGAACGTGCTACATCAGTTCAGTCTATTATGGAGCTGTTTGTAGGAGCTGCAAGCGGATTCTTCATGGAAAAGTTTATATCCTGTCCAGGCCAAGATATAGGACAACGAATAAATAAGGGACCGATCGAGATATTTAGGGAGTCGATCAGAAAAGTGGTTCGTCATCATGGTTATATGCGCAGTCATGACTACCTGCCTGCCTAATGGATCGAACTAATCTACTTTGTGTCAGGATTCTAGATGAGACATCTAGAACAAAGAGCATGTTCAGTATATAGACGTAGAACCTTTTAAGTAGTTAGAGTTCCTTGCGAAACAACAAAATTGTTTCTATATTATTTAATTCTATCTTATAATAGTTTATTCTGCTTACTAAAAAAAGATTTTAAAGAAGTAAATAAAAATAAAAATATAAGTATTATTTAAAATTAATAAATTATTATTATTAATTGTTAAATTATTCCTTTCTAGCTACCGGTTTTTAAAACTAGAATACTGTTTTTGTACGGTTACTATTACCTATTACTTGGCTTTGTTATTAAATATTATATAAATTTTTTATTATTTAAATGTTATTTTTATTATGTAAGGTTTGTTATCTGAGATTATTATTACTTATTTTATATGTTATTTGAAAAATAAAGAACCTGAATTTCGATAGGTTTTTATAAGTAATTTAAATCCGAACCTTATAAATTTATAAAAGATATAGTTTGGACAATAGGATATTTTATATAAAATAAAAGATATTAGAAGATTATTAGAATTAAGGTTTAATTTTTATACAGATTAACCTTTTATATAAAGAAAATAAACGGTGAATTATTATAAATTGTGTAAGTATTATTTTTTATTATTATAGGTACCTTACGTTATTTTTAATTTATTTATTATAAAAAAGAAAGTTAAATTAAAAACAAAATGGCGTAAAAATTTTACCGTTATTAAAAACGGATTTTTTTTAATATTTATTACTGTGTTAATTTATTTAATATTGGTTATATTTATTTTATTTAATTATAAAATAAAATTATTTAATATATTTAATTTATTTAAATTTGTAATATTGTATAATATTTTATATTTTTTATATTTATAAATATTATTTATTTTTAATATGGTTAATGTTAACGGATTATTGTTATATAATATTAGAAATGAAATTTTTATAAAATAGTTTTTTAATAATAATTGGCCTAAGATTTTATTAGTATTATAATAATAAAACGGAGGAGGTAATTTTATATCTTTGGTTAGAATTTTGGAAAAATAAACGATTATAGGTAAATATTAAACTATGTTTATTGGTTTAATTTTTAAAAATATATTTAATTTATTAAATTAAGCCTATTTTTATGTTTTAATTGTTATAAAAAATCTAAGAAAAGAATTTTATACTATAAAATAAAAAAATGTATTTGTTTTATAATAAATAGTTAAATATTAAAAAAAATTAGATACTTAAGAATAAAAAGTTTAAGTTGGTAAAGATAAAATTAATAAAATTAAGGATTTAATAGAGTTTATTGGCGATAAGAAAGATATAAAAAAAAAATAAATCCTATTCCAAATTTAAAAATTAGATATATAATTTAAGTTAATAATAAAAAGAAATATTTATAAGACGGAGTATAATAAAATTTTATATATAATATTAAAATTAAGGGGTTTAATATAAATATAGGTTTAGTCATATTTAAATTTAATTTTTAATAATTTTGGTTAAAAGGAGATATAGATATAGGATTTATTGGTTTTTTTACTTAACTTTTTAAAAAAAACATATAATATAATAAACTAAATTGCTTAGGTAATAAAAGAAATAAATTTCTTATACCAAAAAATCTAACCATTTAATATATTTTTAGTTAAGTTTATATACGTTATTAATAATTTAAAAATGGATAAGTACGCCAAAATAAATAGGATTAAATCGAAAATAAATAGGAAATTATAAAATGTAGTGGTTAATATATATTTATAACCTTCTAGTAAGAATTTTAAAAGATAGGTAAATATGTTCTGTTTATTAATAAAGAATTTTATAAATTTAAAATATAGTAAATTATCAAATATAATAAAATCAATTTATATATTTATTAATCTATTTTTTTAAAATAGTTTTATTGGCATAACTACCTTTTAAATAAAACTTTAATTTATAAATATAATTAATAACCTAACCGGCAAATTAAAAGGTTTAATTATTAGAAAATTATTGATTTAAAAAAAATAATAGAAATTAAACAATAGCTTATACCTCTACTATAGATAATCTGATTATATAAAATATAAATATTTTAAAAATATTAAAAATAATTAAAATAAATTATAAATAATTATATACTTTTTATAAAATAGGTTAGTTTTTATTTTTAAATATTCTAATAGAAATAGCAGTTATTCTAATAATATTGGTAATTATTAAGGATTATATAACCAAAACTTGAAAATAATTTTTAATATAAGCTAATAAAATATTACTATTAATTACCCTAATATTAATAATCTGTTTTAAAGTAGTATAAATATTGTAAAAAGATTGTAAAAGCGTGTTACATTTAATAAAAAAATAATATAACGTAAGATAAATATAGATTACCATAATAAAATCTCTAAGATTTTTAATAAAAATAAATTAAATAATAACCTAAAAATATAAGTTTTAAAGATAACCGATTTTAAAGCAATAATAATCTATAAAAAAAAAATATAATTTATTTAAACGTAGTAATTATGGATTTAAATTTATTAATAATAAATTTATTTATTTTTTAAAAAAAATCTAGTAATTTATTTATTTTAGTATTTATTAATTTAAGATATTTAACTATGGCTTTCTTAAATAAAAAAGTAGTATAAGCGTATAATTTTAAAATAAAAAAGCTCTTTAAGTCAAAAAAATTATGCTTAATTAATAATTCTCTTATAAAGAAAATTATCTATATAATTATTTTAAATATAAAAATTAATAATTATTATAAAATAATTAAATATTTTTTAATAATTTTAGGTAAATATAATCCTTTTATATTTAATTTACTGTAATTAAAATTATATAATTTATATATTGATTAAAAAATAACTTAAATAGTGTTTATATTAAATTATTATTAATATAATTATTTATAATATAAACTGTTTAAAATAAGAGATTGTAAAAGGGTTATATTATTTTTATAAGAGAAAAAGTAATTAATAGATATTATAAAACGGAAATTGCAAAATTATTTTATAAATAATATTTGTATTTTATTAAAACCTTTTTTTTATTTGGTTTTATAAATAAAAAAACGTTATTATTGCTAGAATTTTGCTAAAAAAACTAATTTAAATAAATTTTTTAAAATTGGAATTATTAAACTTACCAAATTTAAACCTAAAAAATATTTTAAAAGAAAAAGGTAATAAAGAAAAATATAAGAAATAATTAAATTTTAAATATTATATATTTATTAATAATTTATATAAAAAATATTTTTTTAATAAAGTGTTGGTAAAAGATATTAATATATATATAAGTAATAAATTTCTGCTGATAAAAGACAAATTGAAAAAGAAGGTTCCAAAATATTATTATAATATAATAAATATATTTTTATTTTTGAAGGTTAGAAAATTTCTATTTTGTCAAAAATACAATTATAAAGTAAAGATTATAAAAGGAAAAGATTTATTTACCAGTAAAACTTATTTTATATTGTAATAAAAATTGTAAATAATAAAGAAATATTTAAATAATAATTTGAAAAAAGATTTTATTTAATCTTTAATTTTATAAATTATTACACTTTTACTATTAGTTAAAAAATCTGGGGAAGGTATATAAATTTATATAAACTACTGAAGGTTAAATAATATAATAATTAAAAATAGGTATTTATTATTATTAATTAAAAAAATCTTAAATATATTAGTAAATGTAAAAATTTTTACAAAATTAAATATTATTGTTATATTTAATAGAATCAAAATAGTAGAAAAAAATAAATAAAAAATAGTCTTTATAATATGTTTTAATCTGTATAAGAATTTTGTAACATCTTTTAAACTATATAATACCTTAAATATATTTTAAAACTTTATTAATAATATATTATATAATTATTTAAAAAAATTTGTATCAACTTATATAAATAATATCTTAATTTATTTAAATAGTTAAAAAGAATATATAAAATATATTAAGATAGTTTTAAAAATTTTAAAATAAATAGATTTATAGGTAAATATTAAAAAATATAAATTTTATATGGATAAAATTAAATATCTTAATTTAATGATATTAATAAGGGATATTAAAATAGATAAAAATAAAATATTTATAATTAATAACTAAATAATATTAAAGAATTTATAAAAATTATAACACTTTTTAAATTTTATAAATTTTTATAAAAGATTTATTAAAGATTTTTTTAACATTATAAAATTAATAATTAAACTATTTAAATATAATATATTATTTAATTAATTATAAAATTATAAAAATTTTTTTAAAAAATTAAAGAAATTGTTTATAAAAGGACTTGTTTTAATTTATTTTAATTTAATAAAAAAAATTATAGTAAAAATAAATATTTTAAATTAAGTTTTAGGTGGCGTTTTATTTTAGTATAATAAATTTGAAAAATTATGCTTAGTAATTTTCTTCTTTTTAAAATATACTTTAATAAAATGTAATTATAAAATATATAATAAAAAATTTTTCGCAATTATTAAGGTATTTAAAGAATAAAGGTTAGAATTCTAAGATATAGATAAATTTATTAATGTTATTATAGATTATAAAAATCTAAAATATTTTATAATTATAAAATTATTAAATTAAAAATAAGTAAAATGGTTAGAATTTTTAAACTAATTTAATTTCAGGATTATATATAAATTTAAGAAGAAATTTGCGAAATTAAATGCATTAAATAAAAAGTTTTAAAATATGGTAAAGAATAAAAATATATTTAATAATTAAATAGTTTTTAAATTTTAATAATTGTTATTAAATAATTATTTAAAATTAGGAGTAGCTTTATTAAAATTGTAAACGATAAATAATAAAAAAAATATTAAAGATTTAATTAATAATGTTTATAAATATAATGTTATTGTTTAAAGGATAATTAACGCAATATTGTAAAGAATAAATTAGTTAAAAGATTTATAAAAATATTTTAGGATTTTATTAAATGAGTGTAAATTAAAAAAAGGTTATGTTTATTACTGTAATAGATTATTTGTATTTGAGAACGATTATTTTAAGGTATAAATTATATAAAGAATATATAATATATTTATAATAGGCCATTTTAGTAAAACAAAAATAATAAAATTTATTTATAAATCTTATTAATAGCTTAAAATATATAAAAAAATTATTATATTTATTAAAATATATTTTATTTGTAAATAAACTAAAACTTTAAAATAAATATTGTAGGATTTTTTAAAATAATATAAAATCTTTTTTAAAGTATAAACGGATATTTTAATTGATTATATTATTAAATTTCTTTTATGTATACGAGGTAAAATAATTTATAAATATATTTTGGTAATAGTAGATTATTTAATAAAAATGTAATATTTTGTAATATATAATTCTTTAAATATATAGATATTAATTAACGTATTTGTGGAAAGAATATTTTTTTTATACGGTATATTAAAAGTTATAGTGTTAAATAAAGGAAGTTAATTTGTGTTTAATTTTTAGAAAAAATTTTTAAAAAAATTTGTAATAAGATTAAAGCTATTATTAGTCTATTATTTAAAAATAAATAAATAAATAGAAATAGTTAATGTAGTTTTAGAATAGTATTTATGTATTTACGTTTTTTATTATTAAAATAATTAGGTTAATTGGTTATTGTTGGTTAAATTTTCTTTAAATAATACGGTTTTTAGTATAATAAAAGTTTTATTTTTTTTTGTAAATTATGGTTTAGATTTAAGGATAGGTATAAAGTTTTTAAAATTAATATTATTTAATTTAATAAGGAAAGATATTAGTAAATGGTAAGGTGTTAATAAAATTGTAAAAAAAATTTAAGGAGTTGTTAAATTAATAAGATATAAAATAAAAAAGGTTTAAGAAAAATAAGTTAAGTATATAAATATATATTGTATTAACGTTTTAATTTATAAAGAAAGAAATAAAATTTGGTTTAATATTAAAAATATAAAGATAGAATAATTTTTAAAGAAATTTAATAATAAATAAAAAAAACTGTTTATTATTTAAAAAGTTTATTTTAAAACTTGTTTATTAAAATTTAATAGTTTATTTAAAGAATTATTCCTTATTTTTTATAATTTTTTATTAAAGAAATATATAAAATTTAATTATAAAAAATAAATAATATTAAATAATAAATAAATAATGAGATAGATTGGATAGGTTATAATAAAAAATAAAAAAAGTAATATTGAAAAAAAGTAGAAGTTTGAAGATATATTAGATAGTAAGAAAAATAGTTGATTTCTGAAATATTTAGTAAAATAGAAAAGATATAATGTTTTTTGGTAAAGAATAAGCAATTTAAAAGGATGCGAGATATGGTTATTGGAATTTTACGATAATAATTTAGATAAGTTTGGACCACTATTATAGTTTAAACGCCGTAACGTTGAAAGGTAGTAAGAATGGTTTAAAAGATATTAGAGAAAAAGAGACGAGGATAATTAGTAGGATAATTGGCAAAACGACTGGTAAGGAGAGATAGGAAATAGTAGCGATTTTTAAGATGGGGAATTTAATATTTAATTATAATTAATTCACGTAGATACACTAAGCCTTTTAACGGGTTTTTTGGGAAGGGGGGTATATTGTTAAGATTTTAGATAAAATATTTAAAATAAAAAGTATATTTAATATATAGATATAGAACCTTTTAGGTAGTTAGAGTTCCTTATGGAATAACGAAGTTGTTTCTATGCTATTTGGTTTTACCTTGTGATACTTTGTAGGCTGATGATGAAACTCGGCTTTTCCGAGATTTTCTCCAAGGTCTGCGTAATAAAGCCAAGGGACAAGGAGGGCCCGTCGGAAAAGAACCCCAGTCCAATTCGCGAGCCCAGCAAACATTTCAGAATCGCTATCATATCATCTCACCCGAAACCGAGCTTCTTGAACTAATACGAGATATTCGTGATGAGCTCCACATCCTCAGGTCTTTAGCGGAGGACCAAGACGTTGTCTGGAAACAGGCCTTTACTCCTGGTGGCCACACAGAGCAGCAAGGTCAATTTCAGTACTATCACTCTTGCACGCCTACTGATGTCAAGAAGAGTCTTGATGAAATGCTCTTGGAGGCGGAGAAAACGACCAACTACGTTAGTTTCATTGTCTCCGAGATGGCCTTTACCTTGAGCTAACTTGAAATGTAGATTAATGACCTTCTTGACTTGCGACAAGCTGAGTATAACCGAGTGCAAGCAAACGATTCTGCCAATCAATCCAAAAGTATCTTTATATTCACCGTCGTCACTATTGTATTCGTGAGTAGTTATAAACTGAAAAAAAGCTTTTCTAAAAGAACATCTAGCTAACGATATCATCCAACTGTCAAGCTCCCCCTTTCGTTTCTTTCGTCCCTGTTTGCGCTTGACGTAAATAGTTTCCCCCACGAATCAGGAGACTTGAAGTACGAAGCATGGTGGTTATTTCCAATTCTCTGTGAGTATTTCTACCATCCATAAAGCTAAGTACTAATATATAATAGTTGGTGTGACGGCTGCCGTCTCCATTCCCGCCATCTTCTTGGCATGGAATGTGAATGCCATCTCAGAGCGGTTCCAGTTACGGGCTAAGAAAGATTCCACAGAAATACCTGCGACTACAAATCCAAGCGATGCTTTAGTACAAAAGAGTACGTCGAGATTTTCTGGTGAGAGGTTGAAGCGGAGGTGGCGGAGGCGTGACAAACTGAATGTCCTTCCACAGCACGAGGCCCCTTAACTGTTGGATTAAAGTTAAGAGATAGTTGCTGTATTTATAACAGGTACCTAACTAGATAGCTCGTCTTATATATTATCCCCTATCTAGGTTCAGCCCCCTCCGACCGATATTTTGTGACTCCCCACAGGAGAATAGCCTTTGTCAATTCACACTAGTTGTGATGCTTTCTACCATCCCTTTCAACTCGAGCAGCGTTGGTCGATCCCCCGGCACCTTGCGCATGCAAGCATCAACAATAGCCTGGAGTGGTTGAGGGACAGGCCACTCGACCTGGTTTGTGATTGGCGCGTTGGCGTAGACCATGCACTTGATGCAATTGCCAATGTCGTAGATATCTGAACGAGTAGTCCATCCGGAGTTCAGTCCGCCGTTGAACGTAATCTCCGGAGCGGCTCGCTGGCCCCAACGGCTCTCAAGGTCGCAAACTACCAGGTGGCTGCCATCTCTAGTAAAGAGGCAGTTGTCGATGCGAAGATCACGGTGAACAATACCAACAGAATGGAGATAGGCTAGGGCATCGATGATATGTAGAATCCAACGTTTATAGATGTCGAGAGAGGAGAAACATGATAGAAGGGCCCCACGGGTCATCAGCTTTTCAAAGACCAGGTGCCCATCGGGAGATGCCCCAAGGAGACGGATTAGGTGCTCAGAAAAAGACGTTCCAGGACACGATCCACCTTGGCACTTCAAGAGATTCTCAATTTCACTTTGGTATTTTGCCTTCTTGAGGAAATGCTTGGAAGAATCGACGTTGATGATAGGCAGCTGAGCAACAAGGTCGCTAACGTCCTCGAAGTCGTCTTCGACAGCCCGGGGGTGGTCGGGGCATTGGTCTAGGCTACGGACAACATCACCTTCGATTTCGAAATGACCTTGGACCGAAGGCAGATTGCGCTCAAGGCGAAGGATGTCCCCAGAAAGGGTTCCCGGAAGGTCGAAAAGTCGCACATATCGACCGAGTTTAGTGCCATCCTCGAACCAGAACCTCATAGACAGGGTTTCCCCGGGCACGAGCTCCATCTCAAGGACGGGTTGGCCGGCGGGAGGGAAAAGATTGGATCCCTGCCGCTTGCGCTGGTAGTCAACTCGAAGGCGAGTGACTTCTTGGCCGAAAGCATCGTTCGTATTGGCTTCCATAATTGCCTAAGCCTGCAGACTGCTGTAAAGTGTTGTGGTGTTACCTGTCTTTGGTTCGTAACCTCGAAGGAATACCTAATCCACGCGTAAGCCACTTGACGATTTTTGCTAAGTGTATTATTAGGTACACCAAATTCCACCATGGGACGTTGGTGAATAGATTAAATTGATCTAAGACCTGGTGCAAGTTTCTAGCGACTTGCAAGTGACATCTGTCAGAAATACCCGTTAATAGATATTATACGTAGAGTGAATGTTAGAAGCAGTAGCTTCGCTACTATGTAGCAGCCATGTAGTAGTATGAATTTATTAACGCTTGACCTTCTATCCTCTCTCGAGGCCCTTATGAATATATCTATTTTATGTAGATTTATACCTAAACGATACTAGTACACTTATACCCTGAAATCACCCTGTCATCCGACAGAGCAAGCAGTGCCACCGTCGTCAGCGGTATCCTCGTCTGCAAGCTTATTGTTATTATTTCTGCTGCTCCTATTACCAGCATCGTTACCACTAATATTATATTAGTATTATACTGTTTATATAAGACCGTAGCTTGGGTATTAAGGATAGATGACGGTCTTCGATTTAGGTATTTCAGAGTGTACGAAAGTCGGAGTTTAACGTTGGTGTCAGAAATAAAAACATTATACTGTTAAAGAAAGAATAGGTAACTATAAATACAGGTAAGAATAAATCACTAATATAACTAAAAGCACGGTCTAAAGGTCTAGCATGTGGATAGCTAGTACTAATATTTAACCCTTTCTCCCATAGAACCAAAAGTATATCTGAATATCCCTTGATCGGCTCCGCAGCGTTAAATATACCAACCAATCAACCAAGCTTCGATGCAAGTATACAAACAATCAGTTTCTAAAGTTATATCTCCCTTTCTTGATCCTTCTACCCCTCTTCTTAAAACCAGTCTCCATCTCAGAGCTGTTCATCACATATATTCCCACCATGAGCTCCAGAGAAACCGTCCTTATCACAGGCTGCAGCGATGGCGGAATTGACTCCGAACTGGCCCTCGTCTTCCAAGAGTGCGGGTTTCACGTTTTTGCTACAGCTCGCAATCCCTCCAAGATGTCTAAGCTTAGGGGTCTGCCTAATGTGACGCTGTTGACACTCGATGTTGTCAAGTCAACTGATATCAAGGCTGCCGTCGAAGTAGTCTCAAGGGAGACGGGGTGGTTCTTTAAACTACTTTATTAGTAATGCTGGACGCAACCATTTCATGCCCATCTTAGATGAGGACCTAGACACAGTCAGGAACCTCTTCGAGATCAACCTCATCGCTCCAATTTCTCTTACTCAAGCCTTTGCCCCCTTGCTTATCAAGGCTGAGGGTATGGCTGTGTATATTACCTCTATCTCTGGATATCTGAACATCCCATACATGAGTAAGTTCTTTGTCCCTTTCCTTTGACGTTCCTGAATAACTGACATAGGTCTCAAAGGAACCTATTCGGCATCCAAGAGGTCTTTGGAAATCGTAGCTGAAACTCTACGACTCGAATTGGCCCCCTTCGGTGTTGATGTCTTGGAAATCGTTACGGGTGCTGTCAAAACATTGGGCCAGACGTACTTTGGCGATTTTCAGCTTCCGGCGGAATCACTGTATAAAGGCATTGAGGATACAATTGCTGGTAGGGCTTAGGGTAAAGACGGAATGCCGAGAATGGAAACGAGGGAGTATGCTACTACTATTGTGAGCGAGATTAAAAAACGCACGATGGGCAAATTCTGGTATGGCTGTAACGTCGATATGGTGAAGATTAGCACAACAGCAACGGTGGTGCCGCAATCTGCCATGGTATGTTCAATATCATTCTTCTTGGGCGTGCTAACACAAAATAGGACGCTGGAGCTGTCATTGGTACTGGACTTGACACGCTAGGGAAGTAGAGTAACCATCTAAGGATGATACGTTATATTGCTTGGCAACAGATTGCGAATGGCATGCTATAGTCTTTCCAAAGACCTATAGAAGTATCATCCTAGAGTTAACCACTAGACTTGTATAATTTTGATTTGCCTCCTTCGGGCTCTTTCGCTTCCCCCTCTCCATGCATGGGGAAGTAGTAATGACTGGTTCAGTAAACCAGAGAAATTCGCCCGCCTTGATAGGTGTTATTGGGATATAGCACGGAACTTGTCATGCATAAATTAAAGGCGTAGTTTCGATTGACTCGAGTAAGTTGTGTGCATGTGCGCCGTGCTTATGTGTGGTATGATCCTAGAAGACCAATTAGAAGTTCCGTAGCAAAGCTGACAATACTACGAGGAGCTTACATTCAGGTTACAGTGTTTTTATGTCATCCTCGACTATGAATAGAAAATCTATATTATATATGCAAGTGTATTAATAATAAACGCCCAGATGCGTGTGATATTCAAGGTGAGGTAACAATAACAAGGTCGGCAGTGAGTCTAATAGATAAGAGATATTTTGCCAGGCAGTAATTGATGCCCTATCAACGCGAATACCAGGCGTATATTTTCTGGCCTGTCCCCATGGAAGATAAATTGTAAGAGCACATATTAGCTATCATGTTTACATAGGCCTACTATAGGTACATTTGCATTCATTCCATTCGATCGATATGGTTTCCACGTTTTACGCAGACTTCTGGGACCTCACTACTGACGAGAGGATTCATCGTATATTGTTTCTACTCCTACTAGGGACGTATGTCTATGCCGAGGCCAAGTCATGGTGGAATGTAGGTGTAAAAAGCCGTACTCCGAATGCTACAAGTCTAATCCACCGAAATAGAGTCTTCTACGCCCGTTATGTGTGAATATCATATCAACGCTTAGTGACTATGTTAGTTATTCCTATTTTGATACTCACCCCTCCCGTATAATCACATGCCGCTAACAATTCATAGCGATCGGGGAAGTATTACAAGCCATGGGGACCAACTACACCGATCGTTATTGTGTCCACGAAGAAGCAGATCGCCGAGCTTAGCGAAGCACCATGTCTCTCCCAGCGAGCTGTATATGCCGATGTAGGTTTAAGTTCGTCTTTGGCATAAGTTTATATGCAAGTCTAATCATGTATAGATGTTTGGGTTCAAGCACACCATGAATAAACTTGAACACAATACTAGTAACAATAAAGTTATTAGGACACGGCTATATAGTCGTCTTCTTCAAGTCAATGGGCCCGTCCACCTAGATGCGCTCTATCCTCATTTGCTTAATCTATTCGATATTAACTTAGAAAAAGAACTTCGCGGTGGGCGTGTTTCTAATGGTGAGCCCCAAACCTCGAGCGTTCCCTAAGTTAATACCACTCTAACGTGAAAACTAGGGGGGATTTCCTTGCCTATTGCGGGGACAGCCCGCCGGCTCGTCTCTAAGCTTATGAGCCTTATGTTTTTTGGCGAGGCCCTATGTAAGTAGAATAGATGTGATATCCTTAAGAGGATAAAATTAACGTGTCATATAGGTTCGGATGCTGAGTTTTCCTCCGCACTTTTGCGTTATCCCCAGGATATGGTGAAGTGTATGGCTGCCTTTCAGGTAGCACCATCGTTCATGTCACCGTATGTCAAACCCTCAGTTATTTTTACCCATATATGAAATGAGAATCAAAATACTAATCTTATTAGGGCTATCCATGCAGTCCTCACCAACCGAGGAGAGGCTATGCACCTGATACAGAAGAGACTTTTCCAGTGCATAGGGCTTGGTCTTTCAAACCAAAGCGAAGCAGATAAAACCCAACGCGTAAGTTTCCCCTGAAACGTAAAAGGGTGAACATTAGTTAGCTAATACTCTCTTTAGCACACCATTCTTTATAATATCATTGCATTGACAGGCGGCAGCGAATATTGGAATGCAGACCTCCTCTCACAGTCCCTTCTAGGAATTTGGTTTGCCGCCTCTCATCAGCCGTGGATGAATCTGCACTTCGTCATATTAGAATTATGCGGACGCAAGGAATGGCAAAGCAAACTACGCCAAGAGATAGAGCAACACGCTCCGCTTGACTATAAAGGCCTGGAGCAGTTACCCCTTTTGGATGGCTTCATAAAGGAAACCGTTAGATGTAATCCTCTAGATATGCGTATGAGTTGCTCTATGGGATATCGCCTTGGTATTGGAATATGCTAATCATGTTGATAGTTGCAATACGCAGAAAGGCATTGGAGCCTTATACCTTTTCGGACGGATCTTTGTCTGTTCCCTCGGGAGCAACTGTTTGTGTATCAGCGTATGATCTTATGCATAACTCACAAACATATCCCGACCCAACTGCCTTCAACCCTAGTCGATATTTACCCAAAGAACCCAATAGTCAACAACGAAAGTTTACTGAAGTCTCTGAGACATACCCTATCTGGGGTTATGGGTCTCTTGCTTGGTAAGTTTTAGGTCAGTCTATTTTGCACTTTCGCCTACTTATCTTTGATTTTTAGCCCTGGCCGGTTCCATGCATCGTTAGCTATGAAGATGGTCATATCGCAGTTACTTCTAAAGTATGATCTAAGTCTCGAAAACAAGAATGCTAGGACTAGGTGGTCTTGGGAAACATTTGCTATGCCATATCAAAACACCAGAGTCATCTTGAAGGAACACGGTTTCAAGAGTACGTAGCTCGTATAAGTGGATGAGACCGGGTGTGGAATGGGAGTGCGCAAAGATATCTTTTTATTTTGATGGTAGGTCGAGTTTAAATCGTACATGATAACATACACCCAGAGAGGCGCTATTCCAATAGGGTATTGACACGAAGCTACCAGCTTGACATTGAGTATTACATCAACTAAGTGACTCTGTCCGTTAGGAAATGAGTTCTATCTCATGATTCCTTCTGAACTATAAACAAAGCTCAGTATTCGCAGCTCTTCCACTGGCCAAAATGTCTATAAATCCTAATCCAAAATACCCTATCTGAGCCAAATAGTCATACCGACAAACAGACACCACTACCACAGCAACAAGCAAACATTCCCAAGTCCTAGTCTCACTGGCTCGTGGTTCCCACCTACCTAGTCGGAAGTTTTCTCTGCCATAGAAAATTTACTTGTGCTATGCAATATGCAGTGCCTACAGAAGTAGCCACGCTTGACTAACAAGCCACAAAAGTAAATATTGCTTATTACAGAAGAGCCATTGGCAGTCTCACGTAGAGACGCTGGAGTTCTGTGCAAATGCAAGTTTCTCATAACAGATAGACTTCCTCCTAGGCTAGGCTTTGCCGTCCTAAGAAGTGAGAGAGGGATTAAAAGTATGCTGCTGTCATCGTGAGAGTAGGCTACCGCCAGAATGACTAAAAGGCACCAGGGATAGATATATAGATTGGTTAGCTTAGGTTGAGATTGTAGTTACCCTCGACATTTTATCATCGAATTTCCACTCCGAGTTTTCCCACTAAAGCTTTATTGACTTTGTCATGAATATCGTTAGTCTCGTTATTAGTCAGAGTCCGTTCGAGGCTACGGTAGTTGATCCTGTAGCACATGCTTTTCCTCCCAGTTTTAGGGTGAGTAAACTGGTCAACTAGCTTGACATCCTCGACGTCATCCCCGGCCACGCTGCGTACGATTTCCATCACGTCGTTCTCGTGAAAGTCATGCGCGTTAGCTTTAGTACTACCCCCGGCTGCAGATAAAGGCCTCAGCCAGAATGACACATCTTTAGCGCAGATAGGGTACTTAGAAAAGGGCACGAAACGTTTTAGCGAACTCAGGTCGTCCGAAACACCCCTAAATTGGTTTAGGAAACGCTTGTCCTGTGACCAGAAGAGACGAATGTCTGGTATTTGAAATAGTAGCATAGCGATTCTTTCGAGGCCAATACCGAAAGCCCAGCCTAATTGGTCTGGCACACCTGCATTGATGTACAGGTCCTGTTTGACTACGCCACAGCCTAGTACTTCTAGCCAATCACCGCCGTAGTAAACTTCAAGCTCCCAAGAGGGACTTGTAAAAGGGAAGTATGCCTCAACCCATCGCACCTGGAGTGGTTCATCTACGAAACTAGGGTCGGCCCTTACAGCAGCTGCTTTGGCGCGGGTGAAGATCTCGACGACCATAAGCTCTAGTGATCTCTTCAGATGGGCAGCGATAGCTTCGGCCTCGGCCGGGGAGTGATGTGCCGTTTGCCGAGGATTCCTCTCGTCGTGGAACGGTGGGTTTGGGTCCTCGACTTGGATATTATGTTTCGGTAGTTTTTCTAGGTCCGCCCATATAGCCGCCGCAACATCCCCATTGGGTACATTAGCGCGATCCCACGACCGCGCGCCCTCCATCTGGTGGAATATGGGGTAATGACTCTTATCAATTTCATCACGGCGGTAGACATCGGCACTGATTAGGTATCCCTCGCTCAGATTCGCCCGGAACACGTCCGCTTGATGGGCGCTCGTATGCGTTCGTAGTAACGTGTCGCTATTGACATAGTATGTGTCTGACTTAGCTCGTCCAGGGTGGTCTTTTGGGAACCCTAGCGAATCGAAGTTCTGGTGAGTTGTAACGACAGGGTTGAAGTCATTGTGGTATTTGAAGGTCGGGCCTGGGAATACGGACTCGACGATCTGCCGAGTTATGTATACGGGATGGTCTTTTTGTAGGTGCAATCGGCGGGGGACTTTTTCAACGATATTTTGAGGTACATTGAACCAAGAATCTGTCTTATAGGTGGTGCCATTGATTGTGGTAGAGGTTGTATTGGTTCGGCATTGAAGTATAGAGGTAACTGGGTATAGCAATATAAGTGTTAGGGGAGTTGAGCTTCGTAAACGAGTAAAGCTCACCACACACCTCCCGACAGTCCTCTTTGATGATTTATTCGTCTTATAATGTTAGAACTGAAGCTATTCGCGCCGTTAGGAATTGCGCCAACTGTTCTTCTTGCTTGAAGACATGATGTAGTGAGCCGATTTGCCCACATGGTCGCGCGTGGAGGGGCTGTTGGATGTTATGGGCTTAGGAGCTAAGAGATTTTCGCAAAGCTTTGATAAAATTAATTCAATGTTGTCTTGCAGATCCGCGGGGCAACTTGTACAATGTACCTAACTAGCATTGACCTTTTAAACCACATGCAACCAATAAAATTACAACGCTCTAAGGGAAGGCGCTATGAAGGCGTATCAATTCATCGAAATATGAAGTTACCTTGATGTGAAGCTGCACTATGAGGTACAGTACATTTTAGTTACCTACCTGGTAGATCCATGTGAGAGATATGGATGTCACTGATACGCGACATTAGTGCATGGCTGCATGTAGGGACGCAAGCAAGCAATAACAGTACATATATCAATGTACCTAATGTAGGTACCGACGAACTCTTTTTGCTTGTAACACATGAATTACCTACCAATAATGATTCCACCTTCTCGGGCGAAAAAGACCCGGACAAAAAATAAATACCGGTAAACCCGAGCACCGGCCCATGTTTTTTTCTCTTAGCCTTTTTTTTTTCTTCGATGAATACCTCGAAATCATTCTATGCCGTCAGGGCTTAGCCGCCAACTTTTCTTCCGAGCTACTGTCAGCTACACCGTTCTTTACTTACATACATATGGCTTGGGTTCGCTGCATTTGGTAGGTGAATTAAGTCTAGGGTTTTTGTTATACTACCAATTCCAATTCTTACTTTACGACGTACATACCTACATACATACATTACATTTATACATACTTGACTTACTATTACTCCTCCCAACCCATTCTTACGGTATAGACAGAAAGCAGAAGTGCTAAAATAGTAAGCAAGCCATAGGGATGCTGCTTTTCGTCCATTCATTCTTCGAGTTACGCCCCTGTCTAGTGTAACATTCCATTTTCAATCTTAAAGATGCAGTCCGTACCCCCTCTACCTCCGACGACTTCCCATGAGCCGTCCGTCGCCGCTACACCCGCTTCCGTAGCCGCCGCCAATGCCAAGCCCAAAAATCTAGAAAAGAAGAAGGCTGCCCTAGCCCACCAGCGCATCTCCTATCCCTTCTGGTTCGGCGGAAGCGCGAGTAGTTTTGCCGCCTGCGTGACACATCCACTCGATCTCGGTACGTTTTGCGATCAAGAAAAAAAACTTCTATATGACCAAGCTTTTCAGCCCTACCGAGGTATTGTACTAGATCGGACAAGCATCCGCTAACGGATGACATACATATATAGTTAAAGTCCGGCTCCAATTGCGAACCGGCGATGCTCCTAAGAACATGAGCGGTACCTTCGTACACGTCGTGCGGACGCGGGGGGTCCTCGGGTTGTATAACGGCCTGTCTGCGTCCCTACTCCGGCAGATGACGTACTCAACCGTCCGTTTCGGCGTGTACGAAGAGCTCAAGGCCCACTTCACAGCAGATGGCCACAAGCCCTCGTTACCGTTACTCATCGGGTTATCGACGTTCTCTGGTTTCCTAGGTGGAATATCCGGAAACGCCGCAGACGTAACCAACGTGCGCATGCAGCAGGACGCAGCGCTACCCGCAGCCCAGCGCCGGGGCTATAAGCACGGACTCGACGGAATGTTCCGCATGCTCCGTGAGGAGGGGGTCCGTAGTTGGTTCCGTGGGGTCTTGCCAAACAGCACCCGCGCCGCGCTCATGAACGCCGGCCAACTAGCTAGCTATGATACGTTCAAGGGAATGCTGATAGCGTACACGCCACTGGGTGATACTACCACAACGCACTTCGCTAGCTCATTGTTTGCCGGGTTCGTGGCTACTACGATATGCTCGCCAGTCGACGTCATCAAGAGCCGAGTAATGAGCACAAGTCACAAGCAGGGGATTGCCCACCTGTTACGGGAGATCTACGCCAAGGAGGGTGCCTCATGGATGTTCAAGGGCTGGGTACCGGCCTTTTTAAGGTTAGGACCGTAAGTGTCGTCCCCATCTAACTAAGCTTTCTCCCATCTTGATCATTAACGATATCGACAGGCAAACGATATGTACATTTTTGTTCTTAGAAGCACACCGCAAGGTTTATAGAAAGTTCAAGGGGATTGAATAAGTATTCTTGCATGCAGATACGGATGAGCCTTGATATAGCACAGATAGAGTGGATATGGATCTAGAGGTTATACCTAGAATGACGGCGTTTAGAGTCAAATCCTTGGCATTATCACAGGCGTTTGGGAAGCATTGGCAATTTTAGCTGTCGGTCAGTTTAGGGTATAATGCTTTCTATTGCGTGTATTATATGCGCTTAGGCTGGGTTTCCAGGCACGCGCGTATATCTACCATATGGAGAACTGATTTTATGTGAAAATGCGCATGTCCGCTTTCTCTAACCTGAGTATCCCCTAAACTCCGCGTGATGATACAATGCAACGCACCTAGATGGCGTCTCAAGAAAACCAACTTTCAGACTTGGCCTCGAGGCGACTCAAAACCTCATATTGTACAGGGCATGTTGTAAAACTGCCTTCTGAGAACAGCGAGCTCATGAGGGGTATAAGGTACCTCTTAGCTCCATCCATTAGAACCAGAGTTACCGTAAGGTGTCGTTCCGTACGCCGTAGCTCCACCTCCCCAAGCACTAGCAGCCCCGGGATTACCGTAAGGGGTGCTGTAGCCCTGCTCTAGATAGCCTGCGCCGGTATCCATTGCATCAGGGCTACGAGGGCCATCGTATTCGCCATTCATGCCTTCGCTTTCTCCAAGTCCGTGGATCAGGCCGGCAAGCTTGCGCTGCAACTCCTTAACACCTTCCAAGATGATCGCATCAGATTGGATGTTTCCAATACCCTCAACCTCAAAGTAGAATCGCGACGGGACAGCATCATAGTCGAAGGGTTGGCCCTCAGCAGCCGGCTCCTCAATATCGGCATACTTCGACTTTGGCCTAGCAGTACAGTTAATTACCTCGAAATAAATACAACAGGTGCTAGGATACCAACCACTCAGTCTCAGCATCTGTCTCGAACCACAAATCCAGATGATGGAGCTTGTTATGTGGGTCGTATTCGAAGCCGATGGCAGAGGTAGGAGACCACTTAGCATGTTCTTTTGCGATACCCTTTTTCGCGATACAGTTGAGCTTTAGCTCCTGGCCCTTGCGCAGCTTGCATATTAAAGAACCGAGTCCATCAGGGTCTGTGATGACAGGGTTGCCAATCTCGCTATTAGGTCTGTTAAACCCAACAACTAAATCACTAGCATATACCTTCATTACTTCGTCGCTCGTGCACTTTGCGTGTAGGGAGAGGGTCACACTGCATCTTTCGCAGTTTTGTTCGCAGTCGCAATCCCGTGAGTAGGACAGATTATCAATTTCGCTGGAGTTTAGAGGAATCAAGCCGAGGCGATGGCTGATGAATTCGTCGGCAAGGACGGATGTGTTGGCTTCAATTTCGACGAGGTCAATGGCAATTGTTGGGACTTCGGCATGCATGACGCGTCGGAGGGAGTTCGCGAGAGATATGTCGACGCTACTCAGTTCGAAATCAACGTGATATCGGTCAGCCTATGAAGAAGTATGATTAGGACTAGAGTCTTCTGATCATGGCAATAGTGGTATCTCATACTGCCGACACCTGAATCTTGGGTCCAAAATCCTCCTTGAAGTCACCATCCATCATAGTATCGTATTCCATCATGACGACCAATGCAGCACAAGCTGCGCGTAACGCTGAGCAAAAGGTCTTTTGGGGGGACCTAGATTAAAAGTGGCAATGCAATAACTATTCCTAAAGGGCGAGAGTATGTTGAGTTGTCTTTTGCGGTGTGATTATGAAAGGATGAGAAAGCTTAGAGTTGTCAAGGCTGAAAGATTTCGAAATAAACCCACCTGAGCACCCGCATCAGGTACAGTACATACCTAATTGGCAGGCACTATGACTAGAGTAGTTTAGTGTCCATCTTTTAGTGGCGGGAGCATGTTAGTGGAGATAGTGTGGCTTAATTACATACGCAAGGCTGTATGTGTATTATGTAATTCTCCAGAAATATTGAGGTTGATGGCGAGAAAAGTATGGTTGATTGTGTATGACGTATTGCGGCTACAGCTACAGGCTCTAAATTCACGAACATTACCTCGAGTCTTCCAAAGTGACAAGACCATTGAGAGATAAAAACCATAGGATACATCGATACACCAGTGCTGTTGAAGAAAAGCAATAGTCAAACTTCCCAATTTTATGAGGCATGATTTCAGCTTAAACAATCGATATGTGAGGTGAGAGATGCCTATCTATTATGAGATTTACCATTACTTAGGGCACTACCATACAGATTCATAGTACAATAATCTAACAATTGCAACTCGCTTTATTATGCTGAATTATTGATAACCTTCTTCGCGATCCTAGACAAGCTAGAATAGCAATGAAAGTTAGCGTCACCTGGAGGCAGTGTAATACCAGGGACACGGTGGAAATGATCATGGGCAAGCCCAGAGGATGCACCCCCTAAGAACAAAAATTAGAATAATCACGATTGAGTTACTATGTAACTCTTTCAGAGATTAAACTGAAAAGAACAGATACTACACTTGATCTAAGCCAAAAGGCAAAGAGAGCTAAAGAAGAAAGGAAGAAAAAGAATTGTAAAACTAGAAGGGGAGGCAAGGTATTTATATAAATTGTGTAGGGCGGTGACGAGGGGCAGAAAGGTGTGTCACAACTGGCAAGTGCTAGGTAACCCATATTGTCACTTGACAGGCAAGTGACACCACCTATTACAGGCGCGGGCAAATGGGCAAAAGCTCTTGCCAAAAATTTTATTCAACTTGCGAAGGTTCAATTATTGCCCCAGCTCGAGGGGATTCGGTAACCATCCCGCCTACATAAATAATAACTACATAGTACATATACATACCTGCGCACGCGACCTTTCAGACATTGCCTTCCTACCTACCTAACCTACCTAGGTTTCTACCCTTCTATCCTTGAACGGCATATACTCACTCCTCCCCTCACACACGTCATCATGTTAAAACAAGTAATTTCTAAGTCGGCCAGAGCTGTTTGCTCCAACTCGAGAGCAATTTCTCAACGGCCTTTACTACGGACACAATTCTCGCCAGCACCTTTAAGTCCTCTTCGAAGCATAAGATATTATAGCGACCAACCGGAATCGGCTGCAAAAAAGGAAGACGAAGGGCCAACTGCGCAGGTAGAAGCACAGGATGGTGAGACAGCCAAACCATCAGATGCTGAGGCTGAGCTCAAGAAGAAGTTGGAAACTAAAGAAAAGGAAGCCATTGACTGGAAGGTGAGTGCGCCAAGTGCACCATAGCATATACCTAAAGCTAGGATCTAACAATTCATATAGGATAAATACCTACGGTCGGTAGCCGACTTCCGAAACCTTCAGGAGCGAACTCAGAGAGATATGAAGGCAGCTCGCGACTTTGCTATCCAAAAGTTCGCCAAAGATTTAGTCGATAGCGTCGACAACTTAGACAGGGCTCTAACAATGGGTCAAGAGAAGATCAAGACCATGGAAGAGGAGCAGAAGAACGAGGATCTAATCAATTTCTACGAGGGTGTCAAGATGACCGAGACCAACATGCTCCAGACCCTTTCTAAGCACGGCCTGGAACGATTCGATCCCGAGGGAGAGAAGTTCAACCCTAACGAACACGAAGCAACCTTCATGACCCCAATGCCCGGCAAGGAGGATAACACCGTCTTCCACGTTCAGCAGAAGGGATTCAAGCTAAACGGAAGAGTGCTCCGAGCCGCCAAGGTCGGCGTAGTTAAGAGCCAATAAACGATATGAACATGCCCGATTTCTCACTGTATAATACGAAAGATCCTGTATATCAGCACGACGGGGTTGGCGTTGGGTAATGTATATAAAAATGCTCCTCTCATGAAAAAAGGCGGTTGGCGGAGATTCCCTGCTTACAAGGTATACATGCATGGCATGGCATGGCTTGGCTGTTAATATCACAGCTTCTCAATCTATATGGACACTGGGGTTTTACGTTATGTAGAGCGGTTATGAAATCATTGGGCCGAGACGATTACCATCTAATGAATATATCCTCTTCGTATCCGGCATTGAAGGTGCCCAAGCAATGGAATTCTATATATTATTGTGCCGAAGCCCTAGGTACCTCATTCACTTTTACCATATGTACCCAACTTACTACATATTAGCTAACAATTGGCTAACACAATTCAACTCGAAGTAGCTTGAGAGTCTGGATAGCATTGAAAGATAATTGAAGCTCAATGAGAATAAGAATACTCGATCACTTATCATAATGCCTGCTAATACATATGTACTACCATGTACTACCTATCCAATAAACTTCTGCGTTCACATGGAAACATAAGTACAGTATGCCAGCTGATAAAAATGAGCACAGACCGACATAGTACCAAAGCCAATGAGCCTCCCCCTTCAAAATTTTGCCCATGGAGATCCTTGTCAAGACTTGTTAATAACATTGTTTCCATTAAAGCCCAGTGCGTAAACAAGGAGTTCTCTTTGGACAAAACTTCTAAAAGGGGTCATCCGTACCTAACTCAAGCAACCAGTCAAAGGAAGACAAGCGTTTAAGTTTTAAGCGATCGCAAACATAATTTTCTTCGATAGGTTGCAAACCTAACTCACCTATTCGAGTCCTTCAAAAATCGAATTTTCAGTTAACAACAATTAATTGCAGCCATGTCGCTCGCATCGCCTACCTCAAAGGATGGATTCTCCTACGCCGGAGATCTATTCGCCGAGGCGAGCGGCCATAACCGGCATCGGCGTGCCACCGTAGCGGAGCTCAAAGACCATTTCAAGTCCGGCTCCGAGAAGGATCACCCGGCCCATTGGTTCGAGGCACAGCTCATCCACTACGGTCTGCAGGTCTCCAAAACAAAGGCCGTGGCTCGCATGCGTCTCTTTGACGCCGTCAATGCGGGAAATGTTTCCGTCCCGGCTCATATCAAGAAATTGGAGTCGGAGCTGAAGAAGGAATGGATCAAAAAGGAGCGCGAGGCTAAAAAAGCCTTCAAAGATGCTGCCTCTTCACCCGCACCCAAGACTACCGGTACCAAGCGCAAGGCTGAGTCTTCGAACGTCGATGTGACTGTCAGTGTCGGCGGTATCAACGTCACCGTCTCCGCCAGCAATTCGAATAAGAAGGCCAAGACACCTAGTAAGCCAGCAGCGAAGAAGACTGAAACCAAGCCCAAGGCTCCAAAGGCGGCTACCACCCCTAAGGTAGCTTCAACAGCAACAACATCCAAGACCACCGCTTCCAGGACCACGGTTTCAAAGACCACCGTGTCAAAAACCACTACCAAAACCACCGCTATAAAACCCCCTCCGGCTGGGACGGCCCGTCGCGGGGGGACCTACCAAGGCCCCAGCCGCAAAAGCACCGCGGCAACATCAGCAGCATCAACCCCTCAACCCGCACGAGCCCCCCAATTTGCTATTCGCGGTCGCGGCCAGGCAACCAGAGGCCGAGGCGGCAGCAGCAACACCCCGTCCCCCGTGAAGAGGGAGTACTCCGACAACTCCGACGACGACGACGTCAAAGACGAAGACAGCGACGACGGATACGGCTACCCCAGCAGCTCGTACCGAGACAGTGCCGGCTTATACGATAACGAAGACGAGGAACTCAAGCCCCTGGGCCTGCTCAACGGGCGGTACGTGCTGACCAGCGAGTTCGTGACTTCGGAATGGGGCCACATCAACTTCTCGCTAGTCTTCACCCTTAGCGGGACCGAGCTCTGGGGCCGTTTCGACCTCGGCATCGTCAGCGGCGTCATGCGCCTCCCACAACGGCCGTGGCAGTCTTCCACCGAGTCGCTGGGGTTTACCTGGCGCGGACAGGAGCTAGAAGGTCCGATGATATATGGAGATTATAATCGCGGGTCGATCCGATTCCTCGGAGATGGGAAGGTGAAGGGCGAGCTGGATTGGATGGGGATTACGTTTGAGGGGAGCCGGGTTGTGGGACAGGGCACTAGGAGCGAGGTTGATATGAGTAGGATGAGGGCTGAATGGGAGGGGTATAATGAGGACGAGTATGAAAGGGAGAATCGTAATCGGTGGTAAAATTGTTTCTACTGTTGGTTCACAAGAAGCTGTAGTGGTGTAAAGGTTACATGCAGTATAGGGTTTTCTGAGTCGAAGGGTCACTTCAAATACTCTCATGTACGATTTGATTAGGGCGTTAATTGTGCATTCCGCGTTGCATTTGTATTATAAGAGTTAGTTCAAGTTCTTATAGTGACTACTATAGTGGCTCTTGTTGGGCTACAAAGATGGGGGCTATAATCATTCAAGTGTGTTTGTGTTATACTTATCACGTACTACACTGGTCATTTTGTAGAGCAGTTGCAACTAGGATTGGGACAAAGGAATTCCATTGTCAATTCAGCGCATCCAAGCACATAGAATAGTACCTAGGTATTTGCATACATGTATCAAGCAAAACAGCTCATCAATCGTTCAATGCCATCCGTCCAACCACCCATGAATCGCCGTCTCATTACATACAAACCCGACCTTTTGAATTTCGAAAATTTTCAACCATTAATTTGTATTGGGAAATTTGTTCCTCAATCCCAGTAAACACAAAAACACAACGCAATTATTAATGAAAAGAAAGCTGAAAGACCAACCCCTCAAAGGCCTAGCTAGCTACCGAGGATGATGACGATGCTGCAAATCGTAAAGACCACCATGTGGTCCGGTAAATATTGATTTCGAAAAAGAACAGATAAATCTGCCACTTGGTGTCTTTGTAGACAACAAAATTATCATGTGACTCCCAATAGGGAAGTATGAAGGTTGGTGTTAAAAAGAGAGACATCTCTGTCAATTCATATCTCAGTGGACAACTTTTTCATTGTCGATCCCTAATAGGGGAGAGTGCAAAGAATTGATTCTCGAAGGTGATATGCCATCCCGGCAAATCAAGCCCATCATATTGATTGGGGTAAGTTGTTGACTTATCGGCGATTCGATGAAATAAAAAAGAAGATAGACGAGTCGCCAATATCGGCGATTTTGTCAGAAACAAAAAAAATTGAAAGGAAAACTAAGTCACAAGTCGTCGTGACCTAGACTGAAGACAGAACCAATTAAAATCAAAGATGTCTAGTACAACCTTCGACAGGCTGACGGGGATATGGTGCCGGTATGCTGATTTCGTGTCATAAATAGGCCACCTAATCATAAAAAGAGCGATCAATCGGATCGGGTTTGCCCGGGGGAGGAGCAAAGCAGATACGCTGGTTAGGACCTCGAATGTGGGACGAGCCCTTGTCCTTTTCTCTAAGGTTTCCCTGGGTAGAGGAACTTTCCTCGGTTTTGCCAGGAATAGTGTTATGAACAGTAGTATCCATGCGAGGGTTAGGCATTGGCTGACTACCGAATGGAATAGGTCTATCACGCCCGTAGTCGGATGCCCGATATGGACCACTGGCATATTCACCTTGGGGATTGTGCCCACTAGGGAACGTTGTCTTGTTTGCGGAAGATAGAGAATGGTGGTCACGGCTACTGATTGTATGATCACGGACGGTTTGACCAACGTCTAGTGAGAAGGATGCCAATGGACGATCACGCGTAGGGTTAACAAGAGTACGTCCAGAAACGGAATCAACAGTACCCATTCTAGGCTCTTCGCCGACCTGCGTTCTGGGCTCTTTAGCAGCGGCACTAGTTGGATAGGTGGTATTATCATCAAGGGCACGACAGAAGCTTTCAGCGCTGTGGCTCACCCCCTTTGCTACCGACCATGTAGGACCTAAAGGAGGTGGTACAAGGTTGTTAAGTTCATCATAAATGTCCTGAGGACTCGTTCCAGCAATGCGACAATCCTCAATAATCTCCTGCTCCAGCTGTGCCAGGCGTTGCTGGTTCGCCTTAAACTTTTGCTTCGACTCGCTTCGTTGCATGTATGAGCGGTCAAGTATCAGTTGCACCTCACGGATGTGGTTCCCTAGATGTTCGCGGATGCGACTATCGCGAATGTCGCGTTGCTCTTGAAGCGCTTGCAATGCGCGCTGTTCTTGATCTGCACGGTACTCGGAGCGTTTTTTCTTCAGAAGAGGGATAAAGTGTTCTCGTAGACCGTCTCGCTCAATCTCGAGCTCGTGGATCCTCTTGGTTTGTGCCGAGATTCTCTTACGGAGAGTCTCATCTTCAGCTTGCTCCTTTGAGATAGCTTTGTATTGGGCCTTGAGAAAAGCGTAAATCTCCGAACCGGGAATACCACAGCCCTCAGATCTAGTGATTCTGTTGGCCACATTATTAACCTCGGACTGTGAAGAAATTGTTATGTTAGTAACTGTTCAATAAATGTGCTCTTTGTTTACCCGGCGTATGATACATAAAAGGGGTTAGGACTCAACATACGTCTGTGAACTTGTCATTTGTACTAGTAGGTGGCATGCTTTTCTCTGTCTTGCCATACACATGGTCTCGAAGCTTCTTGGCATCCAGAGGAGCCATACGGTCATACTGTGCTAAGAATGCAGTAGGAGCGTATGAGACGCTAGGCACACCAGGAGGAGTGTAGATAAGAGATGGGCTATGGGGGACTTGGTAAAGAGGGGAGAATTCCTCTCCTGTAAAGTGATCCCTCTGAGCCTTTGCATCCTCAAGGTAGTAGGGATAATGATCCCTGGCCGGTACAGGTTCTGTTGGGCGCATTCGTTTGGCCTTGGCAAGAACCTAAACAAATACTTGATCAGCAGCTATTCCAAAGTGAATGGAGCAAAAAAGGAGAAGGGAACTAATAAACTTACGTTTTTAGGGTCCATAATCTCTTTACGAACCCAACGCTTACAATCCTGAGACCACTGGAGGAAAGTGCAAGGAGAAAGACGGCCAGTAGGAACAGCGCCCTCATCATCGTCTTCATCATCTCCATCATCTCCCCATGCAGGGATACGATGATCCGTTGCTGAATAAGCCCTGCGATGAGGCACAAGGTTCATCACAGCCGGAGGAGCTATGTGGTTAATTGTCGGCCTCCGAAGCTCAAATATGGCAGCCCGGGGAGAATCACCGCCCATGTTATCGGATCCGATAGCTTTATCCATATAACCCAACATCCTAGAAGATACAAGTGTTAGTGCGACATGTCTATATCGGGAAAGTCTCTAAGATAACATACTCGGTGACATCTCTGGGGTTGTCAGCAGGTTCGGGGGTGCCATGAGGTTGAGATGCTGCTTTACGAGTCATTTCATCGTTGTGAGATTGGATCCATTCAAACAAAGGGTCGTTAATTTCTCCCATATCTGGACCACGCATAGCTATGTATGCCTGCATCATCGAATTGGAAATCGTCTGCTTATCATCACTTCCGGTCGGCTTGGCGGCAGAACAGCCAGGGACAAACAGCTGAGATTTACCGCTTTGGGAATTTTTAAGGGCCATCTCAGGTGTTACTGTAAGAGGATAGTCCTCAGCCCGAGGGATCCAGGGCGTAGGCATTCTGCCCAGGTCACTATCAAAGTAGCAGGTTCTTAATCCCTCATCGCTGCATGAGACTGAATTAAATTCTGAATGCAAGAGAGGGGGGTCTGGAACTATAATGTTAAGTATTATTATTAGTTAAAGTAGTTACTGAAAATAGCTTGCAAGGGGTACTAACCTTTGTTTTCCTTAGAACGGTTAGGATTAAGGGTCGACGATTTATCCTTGGGTTCACACATGGTGAAGAAGAGCCCAGCGACGGGCGCCGACAAATAGAGATGGCGTAACGGTCAAGGGAAATGAATAGGTAATGAAAGCGTTTGACTACGTTGCACAAGGTTGTGTGCTTTTATTGCGGCGATGGGAGGAAATAGGAAATAGGAAATAGGAAATAAGAAATAAGAAAATAAAATGGACGTGGTAACGGAATGTGTGTTAAGGTGTGTTAAGGTGTGTTGAAGATGTAGGTGTAAGGTGCGAAACGGAAGGTTGCGAAGGTGTAAAGAAACAAAAGAATAAAAAGGAGGAAGGAAAGAAAAGGAAGAAGGGATGAAGGAAAGAAGGAAAGAAGGAAAGAAGGAAGTCGGAAGTCGTTATCACAACTTGGAACACTACCTAACCTAATGTTGCTCCGCTACCAAAGCTTGCTTTCACTAAAACTGCAGATAGACAGCGGACGTGCACCCTATCACCGCATAACCTCATAACCCTCGGGGGGAAAGTGCATACATCTTAGGTAGTTGGTACCTAAGGTAATGTTGTTGTCGACCTACACAGGTATCTACCTAAGGCTGTTACGTTAAGTCAAGTCCAAGTCAGCATGCCTAGCTGCATTTATCAGTATCTAGAAGCCTAAAGACAGATGCTGTAGAATTAGGTATATAATTATTGATTAGAAGAACTTCTTGGTAGACCTTATATTTAGGTACTTAATGTATGCGAAGACTCCAAGAACAAACCATTTTGCCCCTGAATTCGTAAATTAAAATGCATGCATCATCAACTCCATTCTCTTCTAAGAATGATATTGCCCTAAAGCCTAAGAGATATTAACAATAAAGCAAGACAGGCCCAGTCCACGTAAGTCGTGATAATATATGATATATCTCACTTTTTTGCTTTGCCTTTAGCTCCACCAGCCTTGCCCTTGCGGCTCTTTGCTGGCTTCCCGTCTTCATCTCCGCCCTCAGCTGCTGCTGCTTTCTTACCGCCCCTCTTTGTAGGCTTAGCCTTCGGCTTTTTGATATACTTGTCTTTTTCAATCTCGCCATCGTCATCATTATCATCAACTGCCTCAACGGCCTCTGCTGCATCTGCATCTGCATCGTCGCCTTCCATTGCCTCCTCGAGATCTGGTTTATCTTTTGGAGCCGCCTTCGGAGCCACCACGCTACTGGCCTTCATGAAAGGGATTGGGTGGGACCTCGTGTTGTACCTATAAATATTAGCCTGTGGATATAAGGTCGCTGCATAAGTCTGACTTACAGCCTAGTAAAAGTAGACTTAGTCTGGGTTTCAATGCTAACACCCTCCTCACTTTGATGGCCAACGCCAAGTTCTTTAATAGAATCGAAATCCTCTCTGGTGAGAAAATAGCTGTCCATTAAGTCGATAACTTCGTCAACAGATGTCTTGCCTTCGTCAGCAAGTCTTTTGATAAGCCGTACCCAGAGCACTGGTAAATATTCTTGGCGAATCTCGTGATGGTCACCAGAGGATCTGAGTCGCATGTGCGAATGAATTTCACGAACATATCTACCCAACTTGCTGGATTTGCTGTTGTTGCCAAGCCAGGCTGTGAAGAAATTGTTAGCTAGAAGCTGGCCAGCCACAAAGCTAGCTGGTCGAACTGTGCTAAAGACTGCATGAGTAGGCATCAGGCTCCAGTGTTGTTGGGGACCATGAATCATCCGATCCACCAAGTCGCCGTCGCTAATACTTTCTGCTGCCATATCGAATAGCTCTAAAGCTTTGAGATTATGCTCACGCGTGCTCTTATACTGAGACTGGTTTAGAGCAGCTGGCTTGGTTAGCAAATAGTTTTCTTGTACCATCAAGTAGCTGAGCTCGTGATCGTTGAAGTAGAGCTCAATCTTGTCGTTAAGAGTCGCCTTGCTTGCGGGGGAGAATAAACCGCCGCCGAGCAGTTTATGACAGATATCCCACGGCTTCAGCACTATCGACTTTTCCCAAGCCTTCGACATATCCTTTCCCTGGCTGTAATCTATAGAGGTCTGATCTAGCTTGATTGTGGATAGCATATTAACAATCTGCCTGATATCCCGGTTACTGCCTTCAATGAGCGCTTCAAGCACCTGCGGCGACACTTTCAGCCCTTCTCTGTGGCAGATAGTCATCATACGCGAGCGGATCTGGTCGATTGTTGGGCGTTGAAACTTGATGTTGAACGCCACGGAATCGAAGGGCTTCATCTTAGGCAATCCTCGCTCGTTGCAAATAAGAATCAGAGGCACGTCAGACTTTTTACAGAACTTCGCAAGAGCACCCACACCTCCACGGTCGCCAGCAGACATTCCGTCAACTTCGTCCATAATAAGGACAATATTCTTTTTCTCCTCGTCTACCTTCTTCCCATCTCCTGCAAAGTAGCCACGCAAGGATGTGTTATTCATAACTTCACTAACTCCAGATTCCACAAGCTTTTTACTACGCGTATCACTAGCGTTGCTCTCTATAACGTCGAAACCCTCAAGCTTAGCAGCTAGATGGGCAGCTGTTGTTTTGCCAATACCTGGGGGGCCGGAAAGGATAATGGCGCGAAAGCCACCGATGCCATCTGGGCCAAGCTTCTTAAACTGGTATTTACGTGTTTTATGCCAGTTCCTCAAGAAGTATTGGATCTTCTCAACCGCTGCTTTATTACCACATATGTGATTTGGCTGGGTTGGAGCATATTTCACGGTCCATAGCTGAGAAATGGGGGCTGGCGCTGCCGGAGAAGGACCAGCGCCTCGTGCGACGGCTGCTTTCCGTGCTTTCTCGGCCTCAACCTTTCGGGCCTTTTCTTCTCGTTCCATCTGGGCGGCTTCTTCTTTGACCTTTTCCTCCTCTAGTCTTTTCTTTTCCCGGGCTTTTTCGGCATTTTTTCCATTTCCGCCTCCGGCGGGTAAGCGACGAATGAGCTCGAATAAGCCCTCCTCGTTGATCGTCTTGATACCATGTTGGCGGATTTTCGCAAGCTTACTCGGTCCAGCATCCTCACCTAGTACCACGTAGCTAGTTTTACTACTTGGAGCACCAGTGATCTTTCCACCATGTCGCTTTACCAACGATTGAGCTTCCTCGCGAGCAATAGTAGTCAACTGCCCAGTGAAAACAAAGTTTAGGCCAGCAAGACAATCTTCCTCACCCTCGGGTAATTCCGCAATTGGATTCGGTGGGGGACCACTATTTCCCCCGCCTGCTGCCGCCTTTCTCCAGTCAAACTTGGCATCGGGGTCCTTGGCTGGCGGCGTCGGTGGCCTAACTGTAGGGATATCGTCCAATATCGCTTGGATCTCTGCGTTTTCTGGTTCGTCCACCTTCTTGGCTCTCGGCGCCCTAGGTTTCTTCGCTGCTGGCTTCTTACGGGACGGAGGTTCGTCGTCGTCATCTTCTTCCTCACTAGGTTCAGACTCGGGTGTCTTCCTCTTCTTCGCCGAATTGGAGGCCACATTACTCTTCAAAGATTTTGACGTAGTAGGCTTGTTATCCTCAACTGCTGGTTTGGCACGAGAAGCAATTCTCTTCGGTTTGGGAAGGAAGTCTTCTTCACTATCCTCCTCAGCGTAATCATCGTTCTTTCGCTTATTACGACTCTTAGCGTCCGCAGCGAATATGTCGTCACCGGCATCTGCGTCGTCGTCCATGAATTCATCCTCCTCCTCATCTAAGTCGTATCGTTTAAGTTTGCTCGCAGGGCGCTTCTTTGGCGTGGTCTCATCATCCTTGCTTAGGGTTGCAACGTCCCTTGCTATGGTCTTCTTGTTTCTCGGACTCGACCGAACTTCAACTTTGGGCTTTGGCTGCGACTGTGGTTTTATATCAGGTTTCGCAGTTGGCTGATTCTTCGACTTGCTCGATGCGAAATATTCACTCGCCGTAGTAGCTGTCCCTTGCACCTTGTCGCTAACGCTGAATTTTAGTTTGATACTAATGTGTTTATAATATAAAAATGGCACTCACGCCACTTTCTTAGGAGTAGATCTTGTAGTTGGTTTCTTTGTCCTTCAGAGCCAGTTAATTTCAATCAATTTCATCTTGATAGATTTATAATTATTCTGCTTACTCTGCAACTACATCCTCATCTTCATCTTCATCGCTATCATCCACAACCTTTCGTCCCTCTAATTATGTATCGTTAGTTGCCAAGTCAACTACTCAATTTCGAGGGATACGCACTGGTACGTTTCTTTGGCGGTTCTTCGGCCGTCTTCTTTGAAACTGGCTTTGAAGAGGCCGGAGCACCGCCCTTGGCCCCGAAAAAAGAACGGATATCCGGCATACTATTCAAGCTCAGAGGGTATTGGTATTAACCCAGCTCTAGTTTAGTGGTCAAGTAGAAGGTCGGTGGTGTTGCTAAAAAAGAGGTAGTAGGTATTTTCATAGGAAAAGTGAACAATGTACTAAAATGCTCGACGCGAATTATGACGCGCCGACGCGCCGACGCTTGGAACTAGTCCTTACAATCTTTAATGGAATTGATTCGCGCGATTCGTGCACGTGCCACTGGTGCCTATCATGCTGCTACCTAATGCTGGCATGCTGGCAAGTACATGTAAGCAGGTACACATGTACATATCATTACATAAGTCAGGTAGCCCACTAAAATGTTTCCACGACCAGTGGTTGCGGAAATATTTCAAAGGTTCCATCTCATAGCATCTGTTATCAAAAGGCAAAATACAAGAGTCATATTACATTACAATATGAAGTTGCCTCTATAAAAAATTGATATCTTAGAAGGAAACCCTCATCTTTGTTCCCGGAATGAATTATCTATAAAGTACGTACGTATGGAACTGAATAAAGTTTTCCTTACTCTGACTTCTATAACCAGACAAGCTACCTAGGTTAGATTTTTAGCTTGAAGAAACCATTTTGAGAGTATATTTATGAAAATTCAATGTCTAGATTATGAAAATAAGGTAGGTATCTAAAGTATGTGGCTTTGTTCGGGAAATAAACAAATTAAAAAGAATAATAAGTACCTAACCTAATCTAAGGCAGTCAAGTGAATTATCAAACTGCCAAATATCCCCTCGCAGAGAAAACAGAGTCTTCTCACTGAACCTGACTACCTACTTTAGATACCTAAGACAACCGTATAATCAATGGATATAGCATAAGCTCATACTTTCCTCAAGCATGCCTAGACTTCCTTTAAAGCCAGTACTGTAGCTCCGGCATATTCTTCGCTTTATTAACCCTATGACCTTTCATTGATGTGCTTAATTAATATATGTATGAATAGTCTAGAGCTTACCTGGTATAAACAATTAACGTATTTTGCTCTTGTTGATACCTTTCTGTAGTAAAGGGACTAACTAGCTCTCTTGTCATATTATTTCTATGCCTTAGGTAGGTAGGTACGGTACTCATTTACATACAAAGAGAATGCACCGCATATCTGGACGGTCCCGGACCAAATGCCGAAGGTCAACACAGCAATTTCCTGTCTACAAATATGTGTTTCGTCATCGGAGACCGCTCTAGATCTCACCAGTCAAGCAAAATAGGTAAGATACATAGAAGTTTATCATGTCTAACGACTCATATCTGGGCAATAACACTACCCCTTCTATGAGACATTCACTATTTTCTCCTTACGTCACTCCTATTCCCTTCTCACCTTTTCCTCATGAACTACGGCTCTGCTCGTGCGACCTATGTGTCACACTTAGGCTATCTCGACGCATGGATCTAAGATGTTCTCACTCAGAAGTCGCCGGGGGCAATGTAGCCGCGAATATTCGACAAGAGCGTCATGAGATTAGAGCCTCCAGAAGCAGCTCGAGAAGATCGGACTCGGAGTCCCGAATGACACACCAATTGCTACCGCTAGCCATACCACCGCATCTCCACCCGGGGATGACTTACCCGGAGATTTACGTCTATCCCGGCAAATCGCATCATATCACGTTTCCAGTGGTCAACTACAGCTCAGCCTATCAGGCTCAGAATCGCTCATCCGGGCCAGGGTGCTACTTGGCCATCTCGCCGCAGTGCGCGAAGCCAGCAGACTTCGAGGCAGCGCTAACACCGCCGGGTTCCGGGCTTGCTATCGTGGCGCGGTTATCTAAGACGCAAAGAACGGCACCTCTAGGCGTGTTTCGAGACGCTGCAGAGATTCGCAAAGACTCGATTCAGCTGGAAATCTGGGATGAAGATACTATCAAGGTCCCTGCAAAGGGTCACGGAGCGGAAGTTGGAACTGATGCTCCCGATGGTACTGAAGCTGGGACGTCAAAGAAGAAAAAGAGAGCTGCGAATCCAGTACAGACGAAGTAGCTCTAAAGACTAAAGTCGATAAGCCTGCTTGATTGTGAGCTGGGAATCGTATGATAAACAGGTGATAGGCAAGTTGTCAATAAGAGAGTATGGATTAATAAATAACGACGTTTAGCCAACCATCATGCATTGGTATTCTCTTGTGCTATCGTTCAAGTTTATTCAATATTGATGCTACCTACCTACCTTGTTGTCTCCCTTGGACCATTTCAGGGGCCAATCGTACTATGTAAGGTACCTATTCTTTTATAAACTGTTGAATTAGCCAAGCCGCTAGAACATTTCGTTGCTGTTTCCTATCCACCGGGATTGCGCTAGCCGTACATACCTGATGCAAAGGCGACTAGCAATATGTACAGAATAAGGATATAATTCCTGCATGTCATATCGGTAGAGAAGCTATGGAAGATTTCACGTCTGACAATCGGCATCGATTGCCGAACGGATTCTGCATCTTAGAGGCTGTAAGGCATACATAGCCCCCAAGTGCTGCGTCATCGTATCGGTAATAATCGCTTTGTAGTGCCGCATATCGGGCTAGATGTCTGGTCGCGGGAAGGTATCGTGTTGATTAGATAAATTTTTATGCGTCGTGGAACGGGATAATAAATTGGTCCGGGATTTTAACCCGGGCGGTGTAAATTAATGAGACGGGAGTCCCGACTCGCCGACATGGCATAGATATTCATTGGAAGCATCCATACCGGGGTCAAGCCGCGGTTCAATACCTATTCAGGGGGCGTTTCGTTTACCACGGAAATAGAATACATGTAGGTTAGTTCATCCGAAGAAAATGAGTCTGGATCGTTCGACAAAGCAGACGTGTTTATGCAATTGTAAATGGTGTACGATTTACGGAATATGATAGGGCGATATTCGCTCAACATTGATATGGGTAGGTAGGAAATAAGTTATGTTGGACTGTTTTCTTTGGAATTATATACGACGATATGTGCACTTAGAGTTAGCTAAGCTCTAAGCTTATGGCTTATGGCTTGTGACTCCGTATTAGGGAGGTCCCCTCTATATCTTAAGCCTAATTTAGTTATGTAGAACCAACTAAACTACTTGTTACTGATCCTACGGGAAGACCCTTAATACTAACTGCCTTAATATTAGATAACTATACGTTAGGTAGTAAAAGTTACCTATCTTTTGATCACGTCAATTTATTCCATTTTTAGTAGCCACGAAAATGCACGTTGGAGGTACCCAAGCATACCCATGCTAGGATATATCCGAGTTGCTTTAAGACGCTTACTTACATGTATGTAGGTACGCACGTAATAGAAGCGATTTAATAGGAGGGTAAAATCGGTCATATCTAAACTGCTTAATAAATCTGCAAGATGATGCCAGCAAGTTTAGAAAAGCCTATCTGATATTAATGAATGTACACTACAGTTATCTAATAGGTAGTACGATACGCCAACGGCTATCCCGTCGTCTTAGTGCCTGATGGTTATCAGCCCACCCATAAAAAAACCTGTTGGACTTGGCCAAAACGACCGAGGTTCACTTACTCATCTTCTCATTTCCGTACAACTAGCCTTATGCCAACGGGATTGCCTCAGCTTGGCCACATAGATAGTAATGTTTCTTACACACTAATGCATTAGAATCGATATGGACCGCCTTTCTTAGCGCACAATACGGATCCCAGCTCCTTCAGTGGTCGGCACATGGCAGTTTTACTTATAAACACGACAGGGAATCCTGGCGTAACAGAAGCTAGTCATTGGTAGTAGAGTGGATAACCTATGAAGTCAAGACTTGAAGATGTGTATTGCGACCTTTCCGTTTCGTCACGGCCCAAGTGGATCGACAAAATAGGAAAACATGCCTCGGTTCATTCAGCATGTTCTTCAAAGAGAAAAAAAAATGAGAAAGAAAAATTAAAAACACTCATTACTAAGTAACTCGTGCATATCACAGTACATATCATAGCAACGCAATATATCGAATAAGCAAGGATATTTCTATTCACGTTAAACAGAGCGCTTAAGTTGTTTGTTAACCCGTTTGCTCATATTTCCTTCGCCCGCTTGTTTGCGTCACTCAATCGGCCTACCCAATTCGCAATCCTGACGACTGACTTACCTCCTACCCAGGTATTCAACCCAGGTAGCCACAAGTTACCGACGGCGATTCGGGGTTTACCAAAGCCTACCGGAGGCTGAGCTCTATAGTACCCGAATACATCTAACATTTCTATAACGTCCTTATACATATAAAGTCTCTAGGGTTCCTATCCTAGAGACGATTTCCTTTGGACAGTATGAACATCGAGTGGCCTTCAATCCTAACTCTTCGACAAAGCAACAGTGATCCTAGCAACAGTGAAAGTGATACAATGTCAGAAACAACACCTATCCCAGAGCCACCAAGTCTACCTTTCCTAGGTCATGTTACCGAGATCGATCGAGAACTCCCCTTACGCTCATTTATTTCCCTCGCCGACAAGTATGGTGAGTATCATCAGAACGAGTCCCTATTTTTCATCGAATTTTTAAACTAATATCTTCGTATAGGTGAGATATATCGACTTCGCCTTCCTGGAAGGTCGCTGGTGGTTTCTTCAAGCCATCGTATCATAGATGAGCTTTGCGATGAGAAGCGTTTTGTTAAAATTCCCAAATCTGCTCTTAATGAAATTCGAAATGGCGTTCATGATGGCTTATTCACAGTGAGTTAGTTTACAATAAACATTGGTGGCAGGAGATGTTAATCAAGACCATAGGCTCGACCAGAAGAACCTAACTGGGGTATCGCTCATCGAGGTTCGTCTACCAAAGCCCTAAGAAACTTGAGTTATGCTTACATTAGATAGTTTTGATGCCTGCATTTGGCCCCTTATCGATTCGGGGCATGTTTGACGAGATGCACGAGATTGCCACTCAGCTCTCTATGAAATGGGCTCGATATGGTCCTTCAAATCCGATCGACGTTACTGAAGACTTTACTCGTCTTGCGCTTGACACGCTCGCTCTTTGCTCGATGGGTTATCGTTTTAATAGCTACTATACCTCAGAGCTTCACCCGTTCGTTGCCGCTATGGGTGATTTCCTTGTCGAGTCCGGCAACAGGCCGAACAGAACGATGCCCACCTGGTTTTACCGAAATGAAGACGCCAAGTACTGGGAGGATATCGAAGTCTTACGAAAGACGTCCGACGAAGTTCTCCAAGAGCGTAAAACTAACCCTTCCAACCGGAAGGATCTTCTCAGTGCCATGCTTAACGGCGTGGACCCGAAAACTGGACAGCACATGACTGATACAAGTATCACCGACAACTTGATTACATTCCTCATCGCCGGTCACGAAACGACATCAGGATTGCTTTCATTTGTGTTCTTTGAACTTCTAAAAAACCCCGAGGCTTACCGAAAGGCCCAACAAGAGGTCGACACTGTTATCGGGAAAGGTCCCATCACAGTCGAACATATGTCTAAGCTTCCGTACATTGTAGCTGTAAGTCAAGAATCTAATACCCCTAAATCGCCTCACATGCGCACCAACTAGCATATAGAAGAGAGTATACTAACACACATTTAGGTGATGCGTGAAACCCTAAGATTATGTTCTCCCATCCCTCAGATCGGTGTCACACCCAGGGAGGATACTCTCCTCGCCGGAAAGTACCCCGTAAAGAAGGACGAAGTAACTGTTCTTATGGTGAAGAAGATGCACGTGGACCCGGCTGTGTACGGCGAGGATGCCGAGGAGTTTAAGCCGGAGCGCATGCTGGACGAGCCGTTCAACAAGCTTCCCAAAAACGCATGGAAGCCTTTTGGCAATGGCCTTCGAGCTGTGAGTGATAACGCCGTATGGATATTAGCACATTACTAACACCCTATTAGTGTATCGGTCGTCCGTTTGCCTGGCAGGAGGCCACTTTGGCCATAGCCATGCTTTTGCAAAACTTCAACTTCGTCCTTGACGATCCATCTTATACTCTAGCCATTAAGCAAACATTGACTATCAAGCCGAAGGGTTTCCGCATGAGGGCAACCCTCCGCGACGGCATGACTCCGGGCCAACTGGAGCATCGTCTAGCTGGAACACCCGATTCACCAGCGGACGCTCTGAGCGGACTCTCATTAAACAACTCCCTGACATCCGGTACTGATGGTAGCGGAAAGCCCATCACAATCCTTTACGGAAGTAACAGTGGCACTTGCGAGGCCCTCGCCCAGAGAGTAGCTAGCGACGCATCGCGCCAGGGCTACAAGGTTTCCAAGCTTGATATCTTGGATACCGCGAATGGAAACTTACCTAAAGGTCAACCAATCGTCATAGTCACCGCTTCATACGAGGGAGCACCGCCGGATAACGCTGCTCATTTCGTGTCTTGGCTAGAGAGTATCAAAGACAAGACTGAATTTGAAGGTGTTCAATACACCGTCTTCGGTGTCGGCCACCACGACTGGGCTCAGACCTTCCACAGGATACCGAAATTGATTGATAGCAAGCTTGAAGAAGGCGGCGCTACTCGCATCGCAAATTTGGGACTCACCGACGTTGGAAACGGTGACGCTTTCGCAGACTTTGAAGCGTGGGAGGATGAGGTGCTTTGGTCATCGCTTAACAAGCAATATGGTACATCTGAGGTTGAGACGGACCTATCACCGGCTTCTGGCCTGAAGGTATCAGTGACGAGCCCACGCACATCTACCCTCCGACAGGACGTTATGGAAGGCTTGGTCGTCGATACTCGTACGTTGACAGCTGAAGGAGAACCCGTTAAGAAGCACATCGAAATCGTACTTCCGAGCGACGAAACATACCGAGCTGGTGACTATCTGGCGGTCCTACCCATCAACCCCAAGCAGATCGTCGAGCGGGCCATGCGCAAGTTCCATCTTCCCTGGGATGCGCATATTACCATCGACAGCGACGGCATGACCTCCCTCCCAACCAATGCATCACTACCCGCCCACGACATTTTCGGCGCTTACGTGGAACTATCTCAACCGGCCACAAAGAGGGTAAGCTAAAAGACTACCTAATCTGCCCTAATATTGTATCATTAGGAGTCCAACTAACAATATCGTAGAATATAAGCACTCTAGCCGAAGCCGCAAAGGACGAAGCTGAAAAGGAAGCTCTGAAGAATCTTGCAAAGGACCCCGAAGAGACGTTCAACAAGCGCATCTCAGTACTAGACCTACTTGAGAAGTACACGTCTGTTGACTTGCCGCTGGGCGCTTTTCTCGCCATGCTCCCGCCTATGCGCGTGCGACAATAGTACGTGACTCTAATCCCTTCGCAACCTAACAGTTGAATGCAATGCTAACATCAATTAGCTCCATCTCCTCCTCCCCTCTATGGAACCCGTCCCACGTAACCCTGACCTTCTCGGTCCTCGAGGCCCCGTCCAAGTCCGGCCAGGGCACATATGTCGGCGTAGCATCCTCGTACCTAGCATCCCTCGCACCGGGCGACAAGCTACACATCGCCGTCCGCCCCTCTCACGCAGCATTCCATCTGCCGCAAGATGTCGAGAACACACCCGTCATCTGCGTGGGCGCAGGCACAGGCCTAGCTCCCTTCCGGGGCTTCGTCCAAGAGCGCGCATCCATGATCGCCGCCGGCCGCAAAGTCGCACCCGCTCTCTTATTCATCGGGTCCCGCGAGCCGGGCCGCGACGATCTCTACGCTGACGAGTTGGCGGAGTGGGAGAGTACGGGAGCCGTGACGGTACACCGAGCATTCAGCCGTAAGCCCGAGGCGGCGGGAGGAAACCGATACGTGCAAGATGCGCTGCGAGCATCTGAAGAAGATATCCTGAAGCTTTGGCGCGAAGGTGCTAAGCTGTATATCTGCGGATCCCGTGCCGTTGGCGACGGTGTTAAGGAAGCCATTGTCGAGCTAGTTAAGAAGGGCGCGCAGGAGACTCACGGCAAGGACGTGACAGATGAGCAAGCAGCTCGGTGGTGGGAAGGCATGCGGAATACCCGGTATGCTACGGACGTGTTCGACTAAGTATGCCTTGTATATTGTTGTTGCTGTTGCTGTTGTAGATATTGTTTGATACCTTGGCGGAGGAGGACTATTGTATTTTGACTTGATTCCATATATACCTCAGATAGACTGAGTATTTGCACATATGGTGGTTAGCTGAGGATTAGATAGGGGTTAATTATGGTGGTATTTTGTGCTCTCTTCAGTGGAGAGTTGGCTATAAATTGATATTGATATTATGTTTAAAATATCTGGTTATAATTGACGTCTCTGATTACCTATACTACCCAAACTAATTGTACATATGTAGCCGAGCCTCTCTGTGCTATACGGTGACCAATTGCAACCCATTCTATGATGATTCTAGAACACTTAATACTTTCGGCAGGATGGCTTGGCATCATATTTATCCACGGTCATGGTGTCGCATTTGGAGTGTAGATACCGATAAGTATCGGACGAGTACGCCTAATCGAGAAGTTGGCTCTAAGATGTGTTACGATGACGCAGTCTCTCCAAACATCGATGTTACTTATCGCATGTTAAATACCTAACAATCATCTTGTAATACAGCATGATAATTGTTGAACGTACAAGGCATGTAGCAATCATTGTTTGCCGTCATCTATAAAATAGTTGCTGTGGCCCGACCTTACCCATCTCCTGCATCTCCACTGCTAACGTTAGTTATTTATCCTCCCAGAAATAAAAGTTCGAGCGTTTTATCGTAGTGTCTATGGGTATTACACAATTAAATCAAAGTCGATTAATTATATCGCTGATTCTCTTCACTTTACTGATCCTCTTATTCCGGAACGCCGGTAAATTTAACGATTCCGATCCAGTCATCGTGAACATGTCAGACACGGGCGACGTCATCTCGAAACTGAAAGTGTCAGTCCGCCAAGTCAGCAGCGCATCATCCTCTCCGCCGAAGCTAGCGGTCGCTGTCACCAATACTCACTCTAGCGCCGTGACGATCCTGTCCTGGAACTCCCCTTTGGATCCGTTAGCGTTGCAGTTAGGCCTCGTGTCTTTTGTACACGCCGATAGTGACAGCCCCATTAAGATTCCGACAATCCAGATCAGGCGTAAAATGCCGCCGGGGCCGGACGCCCTAGTCGAGATCGGGGCGGGCCAGATTAGAGAGCAGGTCCTGGAGCTCAAGGATCCTATCGTGCCACTAGAGGAGCTACGTGGCAAGGTGAGGGTCGCTTGTGCAGGAGAGTGGATGGGTGTCTGGCTGTCAGAGGCCGACGCCGTTCCTAAGGCTTCCCTAGAGAAAGCTGGCGCCAGTGACGACACATTTCGGGGGGCTTTCCAAAGTGAGGCAGTCGATATGGAGATACAAATGATTCAAGGTTAGCTTAGTTGGGAAGTTATTTCTATAGGCGTCGACGCCTGATCGTATAAGAACATTGCTATCGTATAAAGTCTTCACGAATATGGTGGGGTAGGAGTTAAGTTATTTTAACTAATAAATAAATTGAAGCTATTCGTTATCGACCAGACGCTTTAAGCGTGAACATGTTCATTCCTCTAATCTCTGAAACATACTGGATGAAAGGAATATATCCGTGATGAACACTTGGATAGATAGATAGGTACCTAAAGAGATGGGCTGATGTGGGATTTATCTAAAGCTGCAAGGTGAGGTATCATCTCGAGAGTTTGTTGTAGTAAATAATAAATGTGCGCAAAGGTTGGGTATTAAATAGGTACATGTAGAGCCTGACGTAGCTACAATTTACAAGGTACCTAACCTAGCTCGTTATTTAGACAGTCACTAAGCAAGTATGAAGCTATACTAAATTAGGTCTAACTTGACAATTAAAGTACTGGGGTAAGACCGTGTCGTTACTTCTAAGGTCCCATATAAGCGGGGTTATTTTACAGATCTGGGCCCCACCATCCCACCATCTGGGCTGTCTAGCAGTCTGGTACCCCTCAACAGCGGGGTTCCCCTGAAAGTCCTCCAAATCGTTAAATCTAGCTGCAACTGCAAGTCTTCTTAAGGCATCCAGGTACCTAACCTAGATTTCAGCCTCATCTATTTTGGCCTGTATTAGCGACATAATACGTATAAACATGCAGATTAGATGCACATGACACAGCATTATACTTATGAATGCTTCTGCTGTTACGTCTAGTTACTTGTAACATCGAACTAAGGTAATACAACGCGCAACTAAGGTACGTAGGTACTTCACAAATTTAACTTCTTTTTTTCCTTAAGCTTTATTCCATCCAAGCTTATCAACTCTTTTCTACCTTTTTTTCTACCTTACCTTTTCCACATTTTCCACCTTTACTTCCAGCCTCCCGGATCATCTTTTGTTTGTCAACGCCGCTTCCCCCTCCTACCCACGCGTTTACAATCGTGATTCTACGGATTATCTTTTCGAGTACGACATGAGCCCTTGAGGTGTCTACCACCTCGTCATCTACCCCTCGTTCATTGGTTGGGATATGAACCATCTACATAATCTGGAATTTACCTTACCGACGTTGATTTCCTCTCCTGTAATACCCGAACTGGGTCCGTCAATTTAGAACGGCCTCGTTAAAATTAGGAGCGATATCATTTCGAGACGCCACCTTTAACTGTTGTCGCTCTACTCCTCTTAGCCGATAACTACCCACCCGACGCCAGTCTAAAATAATCAATTCCATCTTAATCACCCTCGTTGAACAATATGTCGTCCACATCATCCCCTGTCCGTCTGGCTATGCCGGTTGATCTGCAGCGTTTTACTTGTTTTGCCAGATTCCCGTTCGACATCCGCCATCAGATTTGGGAAGAAATTATCTATACTCCTGGTATCCATTTTCTAAAGTTCGAGGAGAATGACGATGCCCCGGATACGCCTAACGATTTTAACTCTCTGGGTCCCCAGTATGCACATAAGATGGGAGGGGATGTCAAGAAGTCAAAATTCACCAGCACTCTCAAACCCGTATTTCCCTTCCCAGCAGCCGACAAATCTTACTATCTTACCATGAACAAGACTTTCACTCAGCTGTCATTGGCTTGCAACGAGGCAAAGAGGCTGGTTGAAAACCTAATCGAACGTCAAGGCAACCTGACTCTCGATAACGGCCGTCTTGTCCACTTGGCGGGATCTTCAGATATTGTGTGCTTCGACTATCCTGGTGCCACATGGTCCCGCTCTTTAGGCCTCTGGGCTGAGCGTTTAGATCAAGATCAGCTAGCCAAAATTCGCCGTGTGGCTATCCGTTATAGTACGAAGTGGGATGACGAATGCCGTGTTTGTCGTACTTGTGGCATAATACACACTTATCACCGCGATCACGGCAATATGCGTCCGCGACATGCATACGAATTCGCTGCCATGTTCAAGAATCTCGAGTCTTTCTACTTCATGGACTGCTTGGCGGTTCGAAAGCAGCGCGACAAGTCTAAGCCGACTTCGTGCATCTTCGCAAAGCGAGGTACGTAAATCGCAAGTCACAATTATGCTCTACTCGCAACTGACAACAGAATAAGCGTATGGGGATAAGGGCGAGAGCTTTGCTAGCGGAGAGGGGGGACGCACATACTACGAAGTTGACCCTCAACTCTGCAAGGTCAACACTCACGTCTTCCGCACCCTCTCATGGGTTCGCGAGAACTACATCACCTATTGTCAGAAGTATTCTAAAGGTCCGGTGGACCCAGAGAAGGTCAAATTCAAGGTCTTGACTTGCGAATGGGACACTGACGAACTAGTCCCTGTGAAGCAGCAAGAGCCAATCTCGGGTCGAGTCACTTCGGCCTATAAACGTCAGAAGACGCGAAGTTTCAGCCTTACCGATAGCTTCAGGAAGATGAACATCGATGACACACCCGCCTCTAACACCAAGTTTTACAGCGACCTTCCTGTAGTCTTCGGCGATGGTGGCATGTCGAAGTTTGAGTTCACTATGAAGATACCCTTTCCGACGCTACACCCGTAGCACACTTGGTACTGCTTATATCATTATTTCTTCACAGACCGATCCTAGGTAATAAAACATACACAGCATGGCGTACCGGATCCTAAAGAATACTTTTCTTTTCCTTGTTTGTTCCTCTTCATTTCCAGGTGTTGATACCCAATCGTTGCAGGCGTTATCGGTTACAACCAGGGTCTCCGGAAGCGATGGTTCTTCTCACAAAATATCTTACGCATCATCGAAATGGCACGGATCATTAGTCTACAGATTTCGGTAGCATCGCTCCCCTGAGATCTTACATCGCAAAGAGTGGCCAAGTCTTTAATGCTTGCTTCTTTTTTGTGCTAGGTAGACAGATATCCTATAATACAAACTTTCGGGTCATAATAGGATTTGTGATATGCTCTTGCAAGGACCAAGTGCACGTTGCTAATAGTTAATTAATAATACTCCTGTATTGTTATGCTTAGCACTTAAACACGACTGTCCTATTTTATACACATGCGTATGTGTCGTTAGAATCCAAGTATGCTAGAGAATACATAGTGAGAGTAAGACGTCGCGCATATTACTAGCTTATATCTAAGATAATAATGATAAGGGGGTAGTTATGTCTCTTATATGTAATTCTTATATGATATATGCCGTATGCGACTTTGTTTATATATGGGAACTGGTGAGGGAATAGAAATTTGGAGAATCCGAAAGTCGTGTATCGACTGTTTTTTGCTAATAATCATGATAAGTATCATTTTGTCCTTCTATAGGGTAGTGAATACGCCTTAAGCGTATACCGCATATCAAGATATTCGAATATCATTTCCTACGAAAGATAGTCGCCGAGTTTAAACCTCCGGGGCGATAGTAGCTCTCGCTAGCACGTGCTAATGGATTGAATTTCTTGGGAAAGAGTTTGAGTTCATACGCATTGGTCTTCGTAAGCTCCCTTTTTAATATTTTACAACACGTAAGAGCCTAAATTCCCGACTCTTGTACCGAATGCAGCCTGGCTTTCTCAACCATATCCTTCAACCCCCGGACCCGTTCGTTTCCCCCCTCGCTAAACTGACCACCAAGCTCTTTCTGGAGCATATCGAAATGGCGGGCATGTGATATCAAACCCGAAACGCCCTGTTGCCTCTGCTCTGGCAATATACCTAGTCCCCGGTCGATGTTGTCGAGAAAATACAGCACCGCTTGGCAATAGAACATGCTCGTCAGTCTTCCGCTGAACATGTAGAAGGCGCCTAGCTGAACGCCCTTGCTGGGATCGGAGAGCGTAAGGGGGTATCGGTCGATGCCGATGGCCCGCCGGTGTGCGTGGAAGAACATGATTTCCCAGAGGTTGATCATTTGCACGTAGCAACTGACGAGTACGCAGACGAACGGGGACGATAATAACACATCTGGCTCAGCCAATGTATCTCCAAAAGTGGGTTGGAAACTATCCTCCTCCCGACCTAGAGGCCCTAATAACGGCTCCCCAACGTAAGACGAAGAAGAATCGGTTGTGATTCCATCGTCAGCGACGACATGTCCAGGTTGGTGTAGCGGCTTGGGCTCATGCTTTACAACCCAAATGAGATTCGTAATAGCCTGTTGGAATCTTTGCGCCATGATAAGCAGCTTCTCGGCAAGCGACACCCCATCGCCGACCGGGGGAGGCGGATGGTCGCAGAACGTGACGAAGTTTACTCCCCCGCTTTCGTCTAATTCCTGGAGGGCTCGCCAATGAGCATGCAGGTCGACGTTAAGCTGGGAGAGCTCTTTGAGGCATTCGTGCCGATCTAGCTTCGCCGTAAAGAGGCTGTGTACCTCTAGGGGGTCCCTGCTCGCGGAACATCCGGAGTTAAAGCCGATCGCTTCATCCCACTCAGAGGTTCTATGCTCGGAAAGCGGGAGCATTGGATTTAAGTCGAAGTCGTTTACATCGCTATGCGGCAGCGATGACGTCTCGTTGAATAAACTGTTGACTTGTGGGATGTCGTCAAGTCTTGTTAGTAGTGGATTATCCGAACTCTGACTTGGCGGTATGCTACTCCGGACTCCTGGGGTATTATGGCTTTCGCATCCTAATAGTTGAACTGGAGATATATTTGCTTCAGCCGCTGAGTCGCTTATTGTGGTCTGTGATGAGACCACTTTTCGCGGGCGTCCTGGTGGTTTGGCCGGGGCGACTGAACAGCATAAATCAAGCCGTAAGCAACGTGTGCATTTCTCCTGATTCTCATCGCGCAAACACCTCAACTTCGAATGCCGGCACCTATTAGATTAAAATCAGATTGAATAAATATGAGTTTATATGAGACATAGTTGTATTTCAGAAATCATAGGGATATACCGGTCACAAGCAGTACGCCGTAGACTTGATCTAGGATGAGGAGTTGTTGCCATCTCATGATATCTACAGGGTCTTGTAAATTGAGGATAGATTCGATCGAATGCTTAATGATGGAGTTACAATCACGGCTTGGCTATAATTCAATCGGAAATCAAATCAAATGAGAATGTTATTTATTACATAATCTAATCCCATCACCGCGGACTGTACAATTCGAATCCCATTCCTGTTAAAAGACCGCCGAGCTATCACCTCGCACGGACATCTCCTTTCTATTCTAATAGGTAGCCGGTACGAATAGCATCACGGAGATATACAGAACCCTTATTAGCCCTAAGATTTAGGTATGATTATGTACCTGAGGTAGTATTAGCTGCGACGTTAGGTGCACCTGGATATCTAAAAACGAGGGATATCGAAAATTATCAAATCATAAAATCAACTATCTCAGTATTCTACTCAAGTTGACTATTATTCAGTGGTATCTCGTCCTTCGAGACCAAATTCAGTCTTTAACTCTGTTCTCAACTTGATTTCTTTTTCAAAGAGAACTGAGAGAAAGACAAACCCGGAGAGTGGTACTCCAATCAGGAACACCCTCTGAAGGGACAGCGTGAATACGGTCCTGATTTGTTGCCTTACAGGTTCCTCGAACGATTCCACGAATGCCTTTGTCGCGCTTGCATACGAATTCCCCGACATCAACAACGCCCTGGCTCTGGGGTCCTCGACCATTGGCGCGTACGATGCGGTAAAGCTGTTGAAGATAGCCGCCGCGATTGCCACGCCCCATACATTGCCGAAACTTCGGATAAAATTCCAGCTTGCCGTAGCAGCCGCCTGGTCTGTTTCTCTGAGCGAGGCTTGAAAAGCAGGGAGTAATGTATTCGTGAGCATGCTAGTGCCCAGTGCTGTTACTATGTTGATCCAGATCCAAGCCGCCGTGCTGGTGTTTTGGTCCATGATACTAAGGAGGCCTACCCCAAGGGTGAACATGGCAGAGCCGATAATGTGAATGATCTTGTATCTACCCCATCTAGACAGCATCAATAGTGCGACAGCTGCCCCCGGTATCCCCACGAGACTATATACTAGCAATTCCACGCCGGACTGCGAGGGCGAGGATAACCGAACGCCTTGAAAGTAGAGCGGAATGAAAAAGAACTGCCAGTAATTCTCAGCCGAGTTCAAAAAGGAGATAACATATACGATGACAGCAGTACGATTGCTAAATAAACGAAGGGGCATGACTGGCTCTGCTACAAAGGGCAAGGCTTCAAAGACGACGAATAACACAAGGCCGCCAACCCCAATCATCAGGGGTACCAGGATATGCCATGACTTCCAAGGATATAACACATCCGCCCAGGTCAGAGCGATTAGAATAGACACTGTGGATGAAATTAAAATGCCATTGCCGATATAGTCAATTTGCCGAATTTTCTCGTAAGCTGTGGTAGATCTATCCCATTTAACGCGGAGAAATAAAAATAAGAGTATGAATGCTAAACCGCCAATAGGCAAGTTTATATAAAACACCCATCTCCACGATGTGTTTTCGACGATAACACCACCCAGGAATGGACCTAGAGTCGTCCCAATGCCGTATATGGCTATGATTATTGCGATGAAATTGCCGCGCTGCCTTAATGGGACGAGATCCGATACAATGACATCGATGATCATGTTAATACCTAATTGGTACCAGTTAGATTCACACGTATAGTTAAAAGAATCAGTTCAAACGTACCGCCTGAGCCCATGCCCTGGATCGCTCTTCCGGCGATTAACATAGCCGAGTTTTTTGCTCCACCGCATATCCCGCTGCCTATGATATAGATGGCGACAATAGACAGAGCTAAGTGACGTCGCCCAAAGAGGTTGGATAATTGCCCGCATAAAGGCTGGATAGCCGCGCTTGTCCCGTTACTCCGATTAGCTACTTAACGTCAAATTCATTCATTCTGAGATCTTCTTACCTAGTTAGGAAGAAGACATTGCTAATCCACACGTAGTCCTGGCCGACATTAAGCTTCTCGACAATCGTAGGTAGGGCGGTGACGACAACAGTATTCTCGGCGGCAGAGAGCAAAGAGACCGTACAGAGCGCGATAATAATGGCCCAAAACCGAAAGCCTCTTTTAGGCTTCTCGTCAAGGGCGTCAGAGCTGTCAAGATGCCGCATACCAGCGTCGTTATTTAAGATATTTGGAGAAGATGTTTCGCGATTTGAGTCGACTGATCTGGCCGGGTTGGTTTGCATTCTGATTTAGGGGACTTCCAATCGTCCCGCTGTCGGTAGTATCCATCTCTGCGACTATAGTTGATAGATGCCATGATTTCTTTTAAAGGAAGGGATACGGAAGTTTATTCAGTGAATGAAAATGTTCAGCGCTTCTGAATCGGAAGTTTTCGATACTCATCGGAGCGGATGAGGCTATTAAGGGGCCAAATCGCTTCCGTTCGGAAGGTTTTGTAAATGATGGCCGGCCGTATCGGAAGGTTTTAAGTCGGATCACCGCACCCCGGACAGGCTGGTCAGTCGTATTAAGGTAGTCAGCCAGTAACTATTATCTCGATAATCTTCGAAGTCGGAAGGTTTCTATCAGTTAGGGGTTGGTAATATCGAATTCATACCGGGAAACGCGACAATCCTCCCGCTCGTAAATTTAAAGATTACCTAGGTATGTATATCTTACCTTCGGAGCATACTTATTATCTTGAATATACCCAATCCCTCTCATATGACCCCCGTCTTTGCTATAGAGAACTGTTTTTTTTTCTATAGAGTTATGTGCACTTAAGACTTTACCGCATCACGATATGTCATTTGGATATTACATAAGAGGTAAACGAATTAGACAAGTAGTTTATGCGCAGGCATAGGATGATACTCGCTCTACACGTTTGCCACATCCGTTACTCTGTATGAATAAACGGCACTCGACAAGAATAACTCGAACTATGCTCATGGCAGCCAAAACGAACTACCGATGAGAGACTTTGTTCTCAGGATTTATAAAAGCTTACCGTTCTGTGACAACCTTAGAATTATATTCGAAGCTTCAAGTCATTTCGTGGAGATGCCAAGTAAAAATTTGCATGTTTCGAATGCTCGAATATATGTTTGAATATAGGTGTATACGCTAGATTCGGGGTCACGATGTTCCATACAGATGATCTCCTCTCCATTTAGCCGGCGATATTTGCCGACGGCATTGCCGTATATTTTAGGTTCGCCTTCTGAGGCTCTGCCGATGTGGTGTCCTGTCGCTATGTATGCATGAATACTTGGCACACTTCGAGAATGTTTCGTCGCTTGTCTTAACGACCGGTTATTCCTAATTCATTAATTGTAGTCATGAACTGAGATTGTGATTGAAGAAAAGTTGAAGAATTTAGACTCGGGATTTAAATTCAGGTAGACCATAAGTGCGAAAGGTACCGAAATACATAAGTCTCTGATTACCGCATAAGCTACGTTGTAAGTATGAATAATTCCATTATGGGGGTCTTAAGGTGATATTGTTTCTATTATTGCATACGCGAACTAACAAACAACATCCCCTATTAGACGCCATGGCCAATCCTGGAATGCTCTACGTTACCATGCAGCCCAAGCCAGGGCTGCCGATACACCAGTTTCATGAATGGTACAACAATGAACATGGCCCGACGAGGCTCAGACTACCCCAGATCTTCTCGAACGGCCTCCGTTATCGGGCGGTAGACGGAAAGGAGCCTGAGTTTCTAGCTGTCTACGACGTCGTGTCTATGCCGCTCTTGGAGACGGATACTTACACTTCTTTACGCGCAAACAGATCGCCTAGAGAAGCTGAAACTATTGGCCAGGTAGATGTGAAGAGGTACTTCTGGGATCTCATCTCTGCAACGCAGTCTCCGCTCTTCATCCCAATCGAGCAGTTAACAGATGACGAGGCCGAGGGCATACTACTGCTCTCATTGGAGTTCAAGCTTAGCGACACGGCAGATGCTGAGAGAGAAACCAGCATGTGGCTCAAGGAGCACGTATCTTCGATATCAAAGTTAGCTGGCTGGCTACGATCGCGGGTCCTTAGAACATCCAGCTTGGAGTCTGGCTCGCCAATCTCCTTCATTGCGCTACATGAGTTTTCCAAAGTGGAGCTCGCAACAGCAACTCATCTGCTTACATCATCCCCTCTTGGGTGGAATGATATTCAAGAAAAGTATGCAACAGTTAACTCGCAACGGCTGTATGAGCTCTTCTACGTCTTCGGGCCGGCATCGCGCGATTTATACAATTTGTCGCGTCTCGACCCCTCGACACCCAACTTCACATCCCCAGACCGTAAGACTATCACTTCGGCTGCCACTTCAACAATATTCTCGTACGTGACGACTCCCGATGGGCTCAAGATCCCTTACAAGCTCGAAGGCAACCCGGACCCCAAGGCGCCAGTTATCGCTTTCTGCAACTCGCTACTTACCTCACTTGGCATGTGGAGCCCCTTCGTTAAGATCCTGAAAGCGCAGAGGCCACAGTACCGCATTCTGCGCTATGACTTCCGCGGCCGGCATGACATACCTTCTCCCCCTGTTCCTGCAACCTTAGACACGCTAGCAGATGATCTAAGCAGTGTCCTAACTGCGCTGCGTATCCCCAAGCTGGACACGTTGATCGGGGTGTCTATGGGTGGAGCTACGACTTTGCGGTTCGCGCTCAAGTATCCCGATAAGTTAGGGCGGTTCATTGCGTGTGATTTCAACGTAGCGTCCAGCCCTGCAAACACGGAAGCGTGGAAGCAGCGTACCGCTATCGCTGAGACGCCTCTCGAGGACGGCGCTCCTGGTATCCAAAAGCTAGCTAAGCAGACCGTTGAGCGCTGGTTCCACCCCGCTACGATGGAGAAGCAAGAAATCGTGCGTTGGGTAGAGGATATGGTTGCTGAGAACAATCTCGAGGGCTTCAGGTACGGGTGTCAGGCGCTCTGGGACTATGATATGAAAGCCCAGATGAAAGAGTGCCAGGTCCCGGCACTGCTGGTCGTTGGCGAGGGCGACGGAAAGGGGGCACTAGTCAAAGCCATGGACGGCTTCAAAGGCCTTCTCGGAAATAATGGCGCTGAGCTAGCCGTCGTACCAGGGGCGGGCCATCTTCCCATGTGCGAGAATCCAGAAGCTTTTTGGACAGCCGTGGAGGGGTTCTTGTGAAGATCTAGACTACTCTATAGGTCTTTTGGTAATTGGTTTGTAACACAACGCCAAGCTAGATTTCTGACTTGAGAGTATAGCTCCAGGTCTTTCCAGTGGGCTGTCAGCTGTTGCAGCAGCTATGAATAGCTCTTAATCTAAATAGATTCAATGGACCTATGATATCGAAAGATATACCTTATCATGGGATGAGCTGACCGTAGGTACCTACAAAAAAGAGACGTCAGTATCTAAGTGACTAATTGGTGCCACGAAAGATGGTGTAAAAATAGTAGCTCCTAAGAGCTATCTTGGAATAGAATACGTCTTTTTCTGTAGTAGGTTCTCTTGCTTGTACCTCTAGACCAGTGCTGGCTTCTAGATATCTGTACAACATTCTACTGGCTGATATTTGACGCATCCTTGAGATAATGTCATAATACCAAAGTTTATATCTTCTAATTGTAAATGTGTGAAAATAGAATATTTAATAGGGTAGATAACCGAGAACGATAGAAATATCACGTATAAGATGTAGAGGAAGCTACTTGAAAAAATTGTTCACGTAATTCCACGAATAGAATATTCTACAGTATTCGCTTAGTTAGTAGTTATAGCTATGAAACCGGGCGCGTATATCTTGCAGGATATAGAATATTATAGCTCAAGACTATAGCAAGGTTTAATATCTGCATATCATCCCATTTTCTTACAGTATCCATTACTCTCTTCTGCAGCTATGCTATGGTAATATGGGCCGAGTATTGTAGGACACTACTTAGATGTCACTTGGTATGCCTTATCACAGAACGATCTCGACCATCTACCCTGAAGTGTAATGTGACGTCGTTTGAATTGTTACAGCTTGAGACTCTGTAGACGAGTCTAGTAGGATTACCATCCAGGATTTTGTTAGAAGTAGGCAACATGTGGATATCTGTAGAGCTATATTCCTCATTAGCCTACCGATGCTTAGGATAGCAAGGTAGTATAGGCTCAGCTGGAAATTATAAGCGACAGGTTTGATGCCTGGCCGCTTTTATGTGGATATCCCGTTAAGAACTTACATTGGTGGAATTATTCTTAGGTATACAGATCCACGATAGCTTCACGAAGAGCATTATTCAGCCGTGAATCATCAACAATTTCGACTAGCTTCTTGCGAGTAGAAATGGGCAGATTGAAGAGAGATGATGGCGAGCACGTGAAAGAGGTAGGAAAGGTGTTCCGAAAATATATCAAGATCCCCGGGGACCTGACCCCCACTTTGGCGAGGATTGCTCACTGCCGCCGGCACGACGGAAGGAGGTCAGTTGGGGGCGTTGCCGCATGCGGATAGCTTCGCGATGACGCAAGCAAGGCGGAGTCTCCAGTCGGAAAAGCGATTGAATATTAAAGGATCTATGCAACTCGTCCCGGCAGCCGTTAGGGTTGCGTTCTATATGAACGAGCCCGTGTCGAAATTGATGCCTGGTGAGCTGATCGAAACCCCCACGCCATTCATCCCGAATAACGCCATCTCAAGTCTCCTCTCACCTTCTCTTCTTATCCATACTACACTTGCGGCTTCTTGTGGGATATCCAGGCTCCCGGTCTGGTACTATAGACTGCAGATTTGCAGCCGCTTGGGAGTGGCACACACCCTGTCATTGATACACATGCAGCATCTGGAAGTAGTTCGCTCGGGCTGCAGTGCGTCAGACTTCCCGTGGGATGGGTGAAACTAATTACGATCATGCGGAGTTGATAGTAGTGTTGCTTTGAGTTTAAATGGATATATTACAAGTTGGACTGGTGGATTTAAGTATAGGTTATCTCCTTGTAAGTCATACGGTTCGCGTCTTAGATCGGCATAACCGCGTGCTTGACATGATTCTGCTGGAAATGTATATACGTTTAGATACGCAATGCTCATGATAGCATTACAAATACGTAAATCAATAGACATGGTGTCGGCTTTTCGTTGTCTCATGGTTAAACATCCGTGCCGTTTGGCGAGAGGGATTAGGGGTACATGTGTACTACAATCAACCCTCAACAGAGTGTTTGTAAGCCAGCGATATTCTTACCAAGCCGCCGTGATCGAATGACTTGGAGATTTTAAGGGGAGCTAGAAGTGACGACTGCATGAACCTTTTTTTTACCAATTCCATGTTCTATGAGAACTTCTAGAATGTTGCCTCACCTCGTGCTTAGCTGTATACTACTACGGACAAGATCTCTCGGCGTTACTATAACTGCAGGTAACTCTGCGTATTCGGGCTATAACACTAAAAAAGATCTCTATACGGAGAGGTGCGAACTTCGTAACGTTACCCACGACCCAACAGGTCGGAAGCCCTGGCAGAGTTGCCCTGCTTTCCGCCGCTTAGCCTACCCGTAGCGTTTCCTACGATATAATTACCGGATTTGGTCACTTACAAAAAACCGGGATCCAAAGCTGCTTTAGCGTTGGGCTACGCGGCTGGACCGAAAATTCAAAAAATCCCATGTCGAGCCTCCCGCCCGGGGAAATAATGGTCTCTTTTTATTTATGTGTGATCTCTTACAAGGACTTACAAGGACCACGTATAAACACGTCCCGTCTTTTACAGGGGATGTTTCGGGGTAAGATATTTCTTGCGCAGAGTGGCGAACGGCACGTGGCCCGCGTCCCGGTAGAGCTCTCTTGCGAGTTCGCGGTAAACATTTCTCGGGGATGAATTAAAGGTATGTACCTAGGGGTAGGGTAGGTAAAGTAGGGAGAGAGGCAAATACTATGTAGAAGAGGAGGAGGAAGAATTCTATCCCGTCTTGGTAAGTCGCGATTCTCTTTCCTTAATGGATCGCTTCGGGACATAGCTCAGTATGTAAAAGCTCATCTTGGATGGACTGGATGGGATCATGCAAAGTAGATGAACCGGATGAGATTCGACGGGAAATTTCCTTGTTTTGATATTCCCGACCAATAACAAGCTGACGATAGGGATGAGACGGCTGTCGTGGACGGAATAGACTTAACAAGTTATAGTAGTGACTTCGGAGACTCGGAGTGGTCTGGAAGAAAAGAGACAAAAAAAATGTGGCCCCAGGTTTTATTTCTCTGTTTCTTTTTTGTCCCGGTTTGATGTTAGCCACAGGTTTGTTTCTAAGACCCTATGGCCTATTGTAGCTATTGTAGCTATTGTAGGGGGGACCCTAGGGATAATCAATCTGGGCATTGTCGGTCGTGATTCGATTCATCCAAGTGTCAGCTCTGATCGACTAAGCATTAGCTTCAAGTGAGGCGGACCGTCAAAGAATAAAGTCCCTCTAATGGTCCAATAATCTAGTCTGGGGGCCTGGGGAGACCTGGGGGGCTAGGCCTATGTTGGAACCATATTGGCTGGCCTAAGCTGGACCGCGGAGCTGCGTGCCGGCTCGTCAATCTAAAAGAGTGCGCCGTATCCATGTCTGTTCGGGCCGGGCTGCCGCATGGGAAAAGACCCCTGAAGATGGAGGGGAGCGAGGGGCAGCCAAGTCCGATATGGACATGGGGGTAGGCAGAAAGGGTTTCTTCAACCTGGTTAATAAAGCCCTTTACCATTCACATACCTATTTAGTCCTTGCTCGACCCCGCGGTACCCAGCAGTCCCAGGTAGGCAAAAGAAGAGAAAACGGAATCTGAATGGCCGAGTCACAGCGTATTGAAGGGACAGAGGGATCACAAGACACGGGGGCACGCACCAGGTAAAAGAGAAAAAAGAGGGAAAAGGCTGAGCATGTCCAACGTAGATGTGGTACAGCGCACAGCCGCTGCACTCCCCTCGAAATTCGAGACCGCAATGGCTGCCGCTACCACTACCGCTACCGCTACCGCCACGGGTGCTGGAGTTGGAGTTGGAGTTGGAGTTGGAACTGGAACAGCCACCACAACTCCAAGTAGCCCTGCTGTCACAATGGCGTCGACTAAACCTAACCCAACATCTTCTTCTACGTCGATAGCGACAGCGATCTCGACGACAACTTCAACAATACCACCAAAAACTCTAGGAATAAATACAATATCATTTCCACCACAAATAGGGGTAATTGGCATCAAAAGGACAAGAAACGGAGATCATAAAGAAGGCAGGAATTCAAAAAGTAGGCAGAGGCCTTTTACAAAGAGCATGGAGCCTCCAGTATTATCATTTTATGGCACGCAGCCAGTACCTCTACCCTCACGATTTGGCAGTCTTAAAAAGCGTCTCGTCGCAGGCCACGAGTCTGCACTAGAAGCATCATGGGGACGACTTCTAACCGCTCTGCGCGAAGAGATTAAGTATATCGAAGAGCACGGCTCTGGTTTAATCCCATCAATTGACTTTACCGATATGGATGATACCAGCAAAGTTGCGCCATTCGGAGAGCAGCTGAAGCGACACGGTATCGGCGTCATAAAAGGCGTCGTTCCCTCTGCAGATGCGAGCTCTTGGGTCGAGGAGACTAAAAAGTATCTCGAGACGAAGCACGAGTATAAACCTCCGCCAGCACAGGATCCTACTTGTTTCGACTTCTTCTGGACTCCTGCGCAGGTACGCTCGCGCGCGCATCCTAATGTTTTGCAGGCACAGCGGTTCGCCATGTCGTTATGGAACGCGAATAACGACGACCGGGTCGCGACGAGGTTCCCCATCACGTATGCGGACCGAATCCGAATAGAGTCGGTCTCAAACGGCCACCTTACTGTAAACGGTGCTCTCGCTGCGACGCATGAGGATACCTTGATCGCCGCTGCGGCTGCGACATCGTCTGCACAGATCGCGCAGATCGACAACGGTAGTCTGGAGCGTTGGGAGCAGGACGGCTACGGACGTGGCGGTCTTTATGATGCAGTCTTCAAAGGCGACTGGGAATCCTACGATGCGTGGGACCCGGCGGGACGTATCAACGCGACGTCTGATTTATACAACGGTGCAGGCGCGTGTTCTATGCTGCGTCTATTCCAAGGCATTCTCGCATTGACAGTAGTCGAGCCAGGAATGATTCGATTGCTGCCTTCGCCAAAGCTATCAACAGCCTATTTTCTTCTCCGACCCTTCTTTTCACCAAAGAAGGGACCGCCTCAACAAGGCGCCAGCGAAGAAGAATGGAATGCGTACCTGGATGCATCGAACTGGGTCCTCGACAAGGACCAGTCGACAATAATACACGGTGCAGTCCCGGGTCATGCGCAGCGTGTGACAGCACCGTGGCACCCGCATTTGCAACTAGACAAGAGTCTCGTAACGCCGCCTACACTACAGGCTGGCGACTACATAATTTGGCATCCGGACCAGGCATACCAATTCTCTAACACCAACTACCGTACCAGCAGCCGGCCGCAGACCTCCTCCAGCGAGCCTGGAGCTAACGATACAACAACCTCTATGCTAGTCTACACGCCCGCAGCACCCCTAACTCAAACCAACGCCCTATTCCTCGCGCGCCAGCGTAAGGCTTTCCTGCGCGGTCACCCAGGTCCAGACTTCGACTCTACCGGCACGGGTCTCGGCAGCGAGGCGCCGCACACGGGCCGTCTCAGCGAGAAAGACATCCGGGAAGTAGGCGGCGAGGAGGGATTGCAAGCCATGGGCCTCGCGCCGTGGAACCTAGCCAGCAGCAGTAGCAACAACAGCACCAAAGGCAGTGGTGGTGGTAGTAGTAGTAATAATAACAGCAACCACAAGCATGCAGCGCCGAAGGAGAAGAGAAATGTAGACGTAGAAATGGACGTCGACGGGCCGAGCAGGAGCAGCAGCCGCGACAGCAGAAGCAGCAGCACAAGCAGCAGCACGCACGCCGAAGCCGAAGTCGTGCGTCTGGCCAACATCATCCTGTTCCCCGACCGCTACGACTTCTACATGCCGACGCGGGCCAGCAGTCCCTCGCCAGCAGGCCGGGACCGAGACCGGGACCGGGGCGAGAAGGAGAGAGAGCGCGAGCGCGAGCGAGATAGGGGTAATAGGGAGCGGGAAAACTCTGACCGGGATAAAGATAGAGACAAGGGGAAAGATAAAGAGAAGTAAATAAATAAACAAGTAAATAAGAGCGGATGAACGAAGAAGAAAAATACCTACACTAAACAAGGAACGGGGGCGGCAAGGCATGACTTGATAAATGGGAAATGGGTGGGAAGGAGGTTGGGGGGGGGGTTGCATAGGCCTGGATGGATGGCTTGCTAGCCACGCATACGAGTTGCTGCTTATTACTACCATATTTAAAGCTGTATATACGTTACTTCTCACTCTTCCTCCCTCTCTCTTCCACAGAGACGCGCATCATGAGGTAGCTGAGATAGATAGGATAGGACAGAGAGACTGATGAGCCATTCGAGTCGGTTCAAGTCGGATCAGGCTTAATTAAGCTGGGACACGTTGGGTCCCTTGATTCTATAATGAACATCCCGTTACCCCTTTTCGCTGTTGTGATACTATCTGTTATTAAAATAAAGATGGTAGAAGCTAAAATATTTCTAACTATATTTTCATTTATACTTCAGGTTAGGTACTTGAACACATACAACATCTTATGCTTGAACTATATCTATCAAGTAGATTAAATAAAGCGAATAATCATTTAAAACGTATCGATACTACCCTAATCCGTAGTTCGTTTCATTATCATTATCATATGCATATCCCATTCACACTCATAATATCATACCCGACTATCCAAACTACCTGTCTGACTCTTACCCAACCTTTCAAAAACGTATGGATGAAATCAATAACCAACATTATGCCCAACCCCTTACCTTCCGTAGTGTACCGTGTTAATCCAACCCTAAAATATCATACATACCTAACTACACAACCTCAACCCTTCTTAGCAAATACTTAAATATCAAGGAACCACCCCTACTCGCGGAGCTCGTTTAGTCGCTGCCGCAAAAATCGCTGCTCCAGTGGCAAATTCCTGCCGCTGGAGAGCAAGTTCGAGTTCGGTCAGTGCACACTGTGCACTGATTACCTTGAACGTCTGGAAGTCATCCTTGTTTCTGCCAAAGCTCTTCGGCTTGGCGATACCGACGTGGAGACAGGCAATGCTCAGTTCAAGCGGCGTGCTGTCGTGGTGCCGGCTATCAGTGTAGTAGCCTGTCGAATCTATATTACTGTCGCTATCATAATCGACATCATCGCTGTCTCGCGGGTCTACCTTTTTCTTGCGGATCATGCTTTCGACCCATCGTGCGAGTGCATCATAATCGTCTTTGAGGCGGACCGACCTGTCTCGCTGCCGGCGAGTCTGAGCACCTGTCTTATTAAAGATATACCCCGTAAAGACCTCAAGCTCCGAAAGGCCTTTGGTAAAACTATCAGAATATTCCATGGTTGCAGTCCAAACCGCATCATCGTATCTACGAATTAAGATTAGTTATTTTTTAAGATCATAAGCAGTATGTCATTCACTGCAATGGGTGCTTACGCATCACGGATACGGCGGGCTTCATCTAGGGCTGCCTCCCAGTCGACATACCCTAGCTCGTTGCATTTACCGTTGATATATTGAAGCAGCTGCTCCCATACTGAAGGGCCAACGCGGCTAACATATTGATGAATGTCGTTTTTCCAGATCCGCTTCTCGTCAATAGCTCTGTATAGCGCGCCAAGAATCTTGTCCGAGTTGTAATATACATGCCCGGGACCGCTATCGTCATCTTCGTCTTCGGGTACTAGGGCTTTCATTGTTTCAAACACGATTTCTGTCTTGTCGACGATGTTCGCGGGAGGGGCAGGTGCCATGCTGCATAAAACTAAGTTAATGACTTGAACATTATCGCGTAAAGTTATTGGTTCATCTCCTGGAGAGGAAGTAAAAGCACTCACAATTCTGGGCGGTATTTTGTTGTTGTCAGACCTCTAAGCTTGTTAATATCGATAGGAATACCTGATTTGCTGTAATCCACGCCTGTAGAATGCATCTCAGCAAGAAGTTTACATTCATCATCAACCGAGCCTGCAGGCTTCCTATCGGCAAGAATCAAGTGTTTCGTAGCGATTACACCTAACCTATGATAATAATATTAGCGAAGATATATTGCGGAAGGATTAGGTCATATTGCGTTCGAGATAGAGATATGGACTCATTTGAACTCACTGATCGGTAGCCATGAAATCGACAAAGAAATTCGTCATATCCTCCCATGTCACCTCCCGACCAAAGTCCAGGGGATTAACACGGGGGTAGTCCGCTGGGGCAAACTCCAGCAGCGATGGGTCGACAGCAAACTCGTCCCAAATGATGTTGTAGATATCGCCATCAAGATCTCCACCGCTTAGCTGACTAGGAAGATCTCTATTTCCTTTCTTGCTGAATACAACACAGTTCGAGAGCGACCGGAGGGGATGATAATCCGGAGGTACGACCACTGTCCGTAGTTGAATATCGCCCGGATGAAGAGCAGGGGACCTTGTTATCAATACCAATCGGTTATGAAGGTCTATATTAATCCCACCCTTTTTGTAAAGCTTTTCTTGCTCAAACGTGACGTAGATTTCGTCCTCCTCCAAAAACCCAAACTCATCCATAACGCCGAAGAGTGTGACACCTTTCTCGACTGGAATACGGGCTTTATGCTTGAGAAGACGGACCTCTCTTAAGACAACTGTCTCAACAACAGAACAGAGGAAGTTGTCCTTTTTGTAGTCTATCCCCAGCTTATGGAGACGGCGGATGAATTTTGAGAAGTTGATTTGCTCTGCAACCTTTTGTCTCTTGAGGAATGTGACGGTATTATGGATCTGGGAAGTGATCATGCGTAGTCTCTCAAGTTCGAGGTTTTGAACTTGGAGGAACCATTCGCTTGTGACACCCATATCCTCAAGGATCTTGATCATTTGACGATTAAGAACAAGGGGGATAGGCCTGTTCCCCATATCACATATCTCCAGGTATTTGCTATCTTCGCTTTCGAATTTAATCATACTCGGTCTAATGCGCATAGTTGTTCCCTGGAGGGTGTCATCCAAGGAAAGCATTCCTTTAGCACCTGCCCATCGAATCTGGAAGCACGTGGCCGTGTTTCTATTTTGTGGTAGGGAGACATGAATAGCCTCCATCAATGATCTAGACAATGTCCCAACCCCATCACTGAACACTCTCTCTCCATCTTTAGACGTCACATCACCAATATGCTCGATACGAGCTCCAACACTTTGAAGATCGATAGAGAATGGAGTCTCGGAAAAAGCCTGGCCGATTCGAGCAGCACATTTGGACGGCGAGTGGATATTATTGAATCTCCCGAGAAGCGAAATCACACGGGCATAGTCCTGCGAGTGACCATCATGATCGGTGAAGGGAGCCATTAACCATACACTGTGTGCTCGAAGAGAGGAATGAGAAAACCCTAAGAATCTGTAATCGCGACCAGCGATATGAACCCCTTGTAAGAGGACCTTCTTGAACCGTGCCCAGACCGAGTCAAGCGACACCTTGGAACTAAAAAATAGATCCTGGCCATCTTCATCGCAAAATTGAACACGGGCGAAGTAGCTAATATGGTCAGGAAACTTCCGTAGTATTCGGTTTTTCGCTTCTGGTTCAGGTCCAAGAAGGGTGATTCGAGTGGGGGTAACCTGCACTTTGTATACCATCACAAGACTCTGACTTGCCCTCTCCGATATCAGCTCCTTTACGGTGCCACGACGGATCTCCTTTTCATTGGCTTCCAGATATGACCAAATCTCGTCTGGATCAAATGTGTTTGCTTCCACATTTGGGCTAGGGAATGGTATTTGGGAAAAGAGCTTCTTGACCGCACCTGCGGAGATGGGACATGGGGAAGGAGTTGGTGCATTATTAACACCATTAGTTCCGTTGTTACTTATGTTCATTCGGTAATTCCCATTAACTTGAGCGCCTAAATAGCCATTGGTGGAAGGGACATGGGTTTTCTGGCGAAGGCGCTTGAGTAGTACCTCGACCGTCTGTGGCAAAAGATAGCCGTTTTGAGCAAGAGCTTCAAACTGGAAAAGAATATCGAAGGGAATGGTGGAATTAGCCTGGTATTCATCGAGTAGAGCTCTTATTGCCTCATTCCCCTCGGCCATAGAGGTTCGGCCGTACAAGACATCCGGGAATTCATAGTACGAAATCTTAAGCTTTTCCTTTTGCTTGAGTCGCTGAAGCCTAGAGTTAAATTCGACAGGCGATACCTGAATACTATACACGAGGCTCTGCCCTAGGATTGCCGCATGATTGGCGCTAATGTGTGGTAGGTGGCTTAACCGAAGCCTAGAAGCCTTGATTGGGCCTGGGGTAGGTCCAGAAATTGCCAATTTATTCATGTGCGATGAGATATCTTGAGGCGAAGCATGCGCTTCAAATAGTCGAGGTGCTTCCCATAGTGTTAAGGTCAACGTAGGTATTTGACGAACGCTAGCGACGACTATCTCATCGACGGTACGATATGGGATTTCAACTCGGATAGACTCGTATGAGATTATAAGCGAATCCCTAGCAAATTTGGCTGATCCTTTGACGTTCCATGTGATGTCGGGGCTGTAAGCGAGCCTGCTATTCAGATATTCGTAATGGCCGCATGAAAACCCGCGAAGATCGAAGATGATTTTTTTATCATTCGGAGATAACTTCTCCTCTTCCTCCTGTTGTTTGAGGTCGTTGGATGTCTTGATCATGGCCTTTAGTAGAAATTTGTCTGGGACTTTGTTACTGATTTGACACCTAACCCAGTCGCCGAGGATCTTCAAGTTTCCTTGAAAACGCCGTGGACCAACTCTACGAGCGCCGCCGTGAACTTGTAGGAATCTATTTCCATGTTCTTTATCGAGAAATGTAACAGTGCCGATATGTTTCCCGCGGACCTTTGTACAGGTCCAATCCGTAATACGAAGTTTACTAAGGATAGGGGACAGTTGAGTCTTGAGACCCTGGTCGTTGAGGCCATGAGGGAGGTCTTGCATGAAGACCTCCATGGCTAAGTTTATTAATGATGTAAAGTATACTCGAAAAATGTGTGGATGGAGAAAACTAGGTAAACTTCAAGAAAGGTAGATAGACAGGTAGATAGCTAGATAGCTAGATAGCTAGCTGTAGATATGTTAATAAAGCATACCTAAGGTAGGTAGCCTTGTCAGGAAATAAGATGGGGGAAGTGTAATAACTACCTACCTAGAAAAACGAACAGAGTCCAAAAGGTGGTAAAAGGTGGTATGGCAGGATTGATCGGCTGGTAGCGGGCAGCTGCAGAATCCAATAGCAGCTCTCTGCGATGTAGGAACGAGGGGGTAGCTTCCATGAATTTAGGTAAGGTGTAGGTACCTTGGGTAACACAAAGTGCGGGCAGCTTGAAATAATCTGAGGCACATATTATAATGGTACGATAACTTAATGCATATGTGAGGCCGATCGGAGCTTCTTTTAAGTTAAATTCTGAGGCCTAAAAATGTTGATTGAGGCCAAAGAAATGCTTACATAACCTAACATATGCTTACATAACTTAACATATGCGTTTGTTTAGTTAATAGGTACCTAGTTAGACACAGCAGTAAAAGGAGTATAGTGAAAGCATTAGATATACCTAAATTTAGTTTGACTTAATTTAATCCTTTATCTATTCGTTAATTTATCTAAAAAAGAACTACATTTCCCATCCCCTCCACGATCTTATTGGAGAAAGTATTCTTGAATATTCTATCGTGTTGCTCTGCTATACCATGATATCTTTGAGGTCCGGGCTAACTTCCTCGTGATGATAACCGGGACACTACTGGATAATATATGGATGAGCAGCCATCCTTATTTCAGCTCACTGCAAAGAGTCCTCAAGACTCAAGTGCCAGCAAGACATAGACACACACACCACTATTATTCACATATCGAGACTATGAAAAGACTCAAGATATACTATCTCACGAATAGCAAGGAGACTTTAGCTAATCAAATTTAAACGAACAATGTATAGTGTCACCTGACACTTGAGGATATAAATATATTCTGTAGCCTAGCTTGCGAACTATACTAGGACGTGTATACTAACAGTAATGTAGAAATGGGATAGCAGGAACTAAATGAGCAAAGTCGGGAAGCATAGCTTCAGCAGTCTTCAATACATCTGTTCTGTTCGTACAATTTAGACTTCCCTCGTACCCAAGCCTTTTCCCTCACAACTTGTTATAAGAATCTAATGTTCTAGATTCCTCAGAATATTAACTAAAGAAGATAAACTGTTTCTACGCTATTAGATAGGTTATTAATTGATTGTGTTTAATTGCGTTCAACCTTACGTACTCTACTGAATACAGGGGATTACAATTGATTGCCTTACCCCAGTTAAAATCTTCCAGGGTTAAGGTTAAGGTTCTATAGATGTATTACAGGTATTTCCAAGTTCATTTTTGATTTGCTATTAATAATATCTTAATGTTAAATGGTATTAGGAAGCCGCTTGCGTTGAAAGAAAAAAGGTATCGTAGATATAACATCTATAGTTGCTTTAATAAGAGTTGATGTATACCATTTGACATAAACGTAGAACGTGAACCAATCATTGTTCCCGAATAGGAAATCTTTAAAATCAACCCCGCCAATCATCAATCATCATCAATCATCTACCCTTTCAACTCCTTCAACTACAAACTCTACATTTTCTAGATTCTAATCCGAAAGTCTCTGTTTAGGGTTAAGGGATCATGGATTCGCCAAAGAACAAACCCAAACGCAAAAGACCACCACCCCAAAATCCAATTGAGGCGGCAATTAAAACTTGGTCTCATGCCAGCGCTTTGGCTCAGCATCAGCAATGGGATTTTGATGAACTCGTTGCTCATACCCCGAAAAGATGGACGGTGTACGAGCCAATGGTGCTACTTCCAGCAGGCTCTTTTCATACAGCCACGTGGAAACAGTTGCTCCCGGTCCTATCCGATGAGCAAGTCGATCTCTTGTGGGTCCAGATCCTGGCAGAGATCTCTAAGAGGACCGGAGGAACGCGCCTCACGCATCTAGCCGTAAACGAAGGGATTCCTGCAGCCCTCCGCCACAGCCCAGGGGAAAATGCAGCGGGGGATAATTCTGCGCCGGAGAACATATTGCGTAGCCCAACAGGCCTTCATATCCTGCATGGGGATTTTGACCCCGCTTCTGCTGAGGACACAACGCCGGATTTCGAGCACGCATTCTGGGTTTCAACGAGGCAGAATGGTGTATTCCAGACGTGGGCGCCTCGGTGGACTATGTTCAGTCGAGGGAATATCAAGGAAAAAGCGCGGCTACTCGAGTTTCATGACAATAGGCACATGGAAGATAGAAAGTCGCTAGAGAATACCTGGGCAGTCGACCTATACGCGGGTATCGGGTACTTTACCTTCTCGTATGCGAAGCTAGGCATGCGGGTTCTATGCTGGGAACTGAATCCGTGGAGCGTGGAGGGCTTGCGCCGCGGTGCCAAGGGAAATGGCTGGTCGGTACGAGTTGTGAAAAACGAACATGACCTCACATTACCGATGGAGGAGCTTGTAAGCGGAGGCGAGCAGATCATAGTCTTTCTTGAAGATAATAGGCACGCTGCGCAGAGAATCAAAGAGCTAAGCGAACTGGATATATCCCATGTTAACTGCGGCCTATTGCCTACCAGTGATGCCTCATGGGGAGACGCCTGGGATATTGCAGGGCGCAATAAAGGACATGAAACGTGGATTCATCTGCATGAGAATGTAGGGGTGGCAGATATTGAGAAACGAAAAGGAGATATCGAACAGTATTTCTTGAGTTTAGCACCCGACGACAACGGTAATACTGACAGAACCGCACGCGTAGAACATACGGAGCTTGTCAAGACATTCGCGCCGGGAGTTTGGCACTGCGTATTCGATCTATACATTACAAGGTCTAGTAGTATAATATGAGCATATTATATAAACTCATTCCAACACGCGCCAAATCGTAAATCGTGTATGTTTCCTAACGCTGCCCGCTAAAATGCAATTACTAGTACGCCTCCTCCTTCTCGCTAATTAGGTATTTAGTTTAGAATCCAATGGGTATCAAGTATCAATCAAGTTCTTTAGTTGCTTCTTCTAAACTTGCTCGGAATATTATCTTCTACGATAGCCATCTTGTTTAGCTTCTCGAGCCTTTCCTCTTCGTCCTCTAGCATCTCGTGTTTCTTGAAGTGCTCAATGTCCTCGGGGTGCGTTAGGTCCTCGAGTTTAGTGTTCTCGTCGTGATACTTCTCCCAGTGGTGTATCTCGTACTCGTACTCATCGTCGCCGTGGTGTCCGGGTCCTGTTCCCACGTCTGGAAGAGTCTTCCCGGAGTTGATGAAAGCGACAAACTCGTCGCGCGTCACGAGCCCATCTCCATTGGCGTCCAGTAGATGTAGTAGCTCGCGCTGAATTTCATCACGGCGTGATTGTGGCACGGCCTTATTCGATTCATCCATCAATCCGTAAGTGCGCAAGATTTCATCAGCTTCCCACTGGCCGTCGGCATCGTAGTCGTGTAGGACGAAGAAGGATGAGGCGTCGAAGTCGCTGATATGGTGCTCCTCTATAGTCATTATTAGATTTGAGGGGATAGCCACATGATTAAGGAGCACACCATACCGGCCATGTGTTTGGTTATCCAATTGGCATTCTCGTCGATCATTGGCTTTTGCGATCCGCTGTGATCGCCGTGTCCGAGGACTTGGCTAGCGAGGCCACCTACAGCCAATATCGTAGCGCGCATTCTGATATGATCTATTAAGATTTATCAAATATTACACTGATTACTGAAGGGACTAAAAGGCTGCGATTTGAGAACAAGGAAGTACGAAGAGTCAAAAGAGAGGAAGAGAAGCAAAAAGGACAACAGGACATGCACGACGGGAGTTACGCAAAGAGTAGAGCCGGGCAACCGGGGAAGTTCCATCCGTGGATCTGGCTCCAAGATAAGTTACCTAAGATGGATAGATAAGGGAAGTGAGATCATCGATCCCCAGTTATGATCCTGCAGTTTATCTGCATTTTTCTGCAGGGGCCGAACCCGCTAAGATTAGCCTATCCGGGTCGCGTTCAGAGCAAGTACGGGGTTAGCAGGGGTTCGTTTTAGTGATCGTCCAGTCATTTAAGCTTCCTTCGTCATTTTTGGATTCTTCAACTTTAAAAGCTCCTGAATTCACCCTACTTTTGATCCGACTGTATCTGAGCCAAGACATATAAGCTGTAACATCTTGTTCTTCTATTCCTCCTATTCATAGTATACTAAACCTGATTCCGATATGAGCCGCACTTTAGAACCAACCCTCCTTTCTCTACTACCTACCTACTCCAAAGACTTACCTCAACCTCTCCTGGAGCTCGCGTCTTCCTTGCTTACGCAGTCCCGTCACAGTGCTGGTACGCTTAAGGCCGAAGAAGAAGTAGCTCGGACCTATGCATGTGCTCATATTGCTTGCGAACGCCTGAAGATAACTCTCGACCTTCCACCGATCCAACCCAGACCTCCCGTGCCACCTCGAATATACAAGAGACTATATGCCCATCTTGACAATGTTTTACCTGCAAATGCTGGGGGAAGGTTAGGACGGGTGCGGACCCCGAGCTCAAAGCTACGCGAGTCGGGAACATTAGGCAGCACTCAACGAATTCCTTCTCGAGGTACACCTACTAAGGAGGAATCGTTAGCAAAGTTTCGGTCTCCCGCTGCAGTCAAGGTTGATAGCACTCCATCGAAGTCTACAAGTAAGCCGCCACCGCTACCTGCCAAGAGAAAAGCAGGAGGCAGTATGAGTGCACTGCCGGCTTGGGTTCGACCCACTATTCAGTTTATGTGTAAAGAGCTGGACGAAGAACGTATCGGACGAGTCGTCCTCGCCGGTATCCAGACGATCGCCACACCACATGGGAAGCGAACTAAGGATGAATGGGTTAATGAACACTTAACACCGTTACTCGCGGCCGTGTACTTTCTTGTTTCGTCACAAATATATGTACTAGAGCAGGGAAAAGACTTAGACGATCCACAATACGCGCGGATGAGAAAATCGATCCTTAATGTTATGGGACGAGCACAGGAGAACATTCATGTGACAGGAATGGATGAGGACGAGCTCTGGATCGGCTGGATAGATATCAAGTCAAGAGATGTAGACGGTGCCGTTGCCAAGGTGGTTGAGAGTAGCTGGCAGGAAGAAGAGTGGTTCGCTGGTATTAAACACATGGTTAAAACAAAAACTACCAGTGTTGATGACGAAGACGCGGAAATGGAGGATGGCGACGAAGAACAATTTAGCGAAAGGCTTCATATCCAGAGGGGCGATACTATGCTTCAGAGCAAGTGGGATATGACCGATAAGAAGCGAGAGGAATACCGCGCGTGGAGAGAGGAAATGATGTGCCGAATCGAAGAGTTCGAAAACTCTCAAACATCCAAGACGGATATTCATGCTTTCGCATAATGGCAACGCAACCAAGGAATGCCAGAAGTACTGGGTAGAGTTAAGAGCCAAGTAAGTCCCTAAGGTAATAGGAATTTTCAAACTTACGTCCCCTTCTAGACTATTTTCCCGGATAATTAGGACAGCCGTCTTTTGTCTATTGCTATGCCCCTATCGGTAGCCTTAGGGATTCTAATCGACATCTTATTTTCTATAGATTGTATTTCTGAGCCAACACCTGGATTTTTTCCCCGAATCCTTTTATTATTAATACCACCTACCTCCCTCGCCTACCTTAACACAGTGGCTATGTTTAGGTCCCTAGACTTTCCACTTTTCGCTCAACTGCCGAGGGAGCTACGACTACTTGTGTGGGAACAATACGCTCTTCCAAGAGTGTCCTTATAATTACACCTGCTTCTCGTCGTACGTGTCACTACATGTCGGGCCACTTCAATATAACTCCACAGTTCGACGCCTCATGCAGGTGAATAGGGGAGCAAGATCCGCAATCTTGGGTAATCGACAGCTTTATATTTTAGCGGATAGTCGACCTCCTATCACGAGTGACCGCAAGTATGAATGTAACTAGACCCAGCATAGATATGTATTTGCAGACTTTAAGGACATACTTCGCTTTGAATTTATACGATCAATAGAGCCTTATAACCCGAGGCTTTCCGATTTGCCGATTTTCAAAGAGCGTACTAAGAATATAACCTTTGATCTCTCCGATGCCATTTACACGCTGAAATCATTATCAGTACCGCAGGGCATATTGCGCTATTTGGAGTCTGTTTCTAAAGCTCTTACTAGATTGATTTACTCATTGGACCAGACCCAAAGTCCTTCTGCCGCTTCCAGCTCATCATTCACCCTAGGGATCTCCTGGAACTATATCGTTAGGACTGTTATGGAGATTTAGGCACTACAAGTACTAATGTGTAATTTACTCATCTCATATTAGAAAAACCTAGCGCAGTTTGAGAAGGTTGAAAACTGGCGTCGTAATATTTTGTTATCCGAGACGAGCAGATTTACTGGGGAGGTATCGTCAATGATTTCTAAATTGTGTGAGCCAGACGTCCGTTTTGATGTCACCATAAAGATATTCGGTTCATTATCCACAAGTTAGGAATCAACGACTTCCTGAGCTCGTTTAAGTCTAACGATAAATCTAAAGTCTTCCACCAGACGTAGGAATACTTGTATTAGGAATGAAATCTCTTGGACCGTGGATTATACTTGAACTTGGACCTATATTTCATGGCTTTTACTTATAAGCCCATTGATACGATGACATTGGATTATGGAATTGGCTTATATTCACACACTTAGGAATCTTAAACAACATGACTTTGGTTAACGATTTTCATTACTATCAACTAAGTGTACATGTATTCGTATGCATTGACAGTTTTGCTATACATTACACCCCTTTTCTTGTCTCGTTTCCACGACCGATCGTATCCTGGACAGTCCCGCCAACGGACCCCTTATCGGTGAACTGGCGCCCAACTAGACCTTCTTTCGAGAATGGACCACCGATCTTATTTGCTGTACCACCGATCGCACCCTCGGACTAGACGCTCAAGACATGTTAGCTAATATATACATACTTCATAGGCACATACCGACTAGATAAAAGACTTGTGATATGAAAATGGAGATAGACAGGGCAATATCCACGTACCGAGAACTGATGTCCAATGGAACCTTCAGTATCGAATGCCGAGGTCCCAGTCGCCGGGTCTGAGCCTGGCTCTGGACCAAAATAATTCCCGGTAGCAGGGAACTTGTCAAACTTGGAGTTTTTATCCGTCTTCCCCGTCATGCCTCCGCTATTCTTCTGTCCAACACTTCCAGGGTCCCCACCTCCCACAGCCTTCTTCAATGCTCCCGGAATATCGGGCGTGTTGTCTGCAGCGGACTTCATAGCACTGAAGATACCACCTCGATCCTTGTTACTGTGGTCCTTATACCCCGGCATCACGGCCTCGAGCACGTTACCGCCATCGGTCCGGACGCCGTCGCGGTGGGTCTGCGGGGTCTCCTGCGATTCGTCGTAGTCCCGGTGCCCCGGAATCATGGTCTCCTCGATGCCGCCGTGCCGCCCGTCGTGTGTGAAATCGTCATTGAAACCTGAGCCTTGGTGCTGCTGCTTCTTGGTGTCGCCTGGTTTAAGGGCGTCCTTGAGGGTGCCGAAAAGGGATTTGCCTTGGTTTTGATCGTGGACCTATCATCTCGGACCTTTATGTTAGTTGTGACTGCTCTGTTGGTGGGATCGGAACCGGTGGGTAGATGGGAAGGCGTACGTATCCGGCTGCTGTACCCTTAGGGTCCGGGTCGTCCGACAGATCGATATTCTGCTGGGCCGCTGTGGCTCCGTAGTTTAGTCCCCGAATCGGGTTTCCACCTGTACCGCCGGTCGACATAATTATGAGTTGATATATTTAGTAAGTCAGATGTTCTTATTTTCAGATATTTCTCCTTAAATCGTGAATGGAAAAATCCGATAATTGGAATCAAAATGCCCATTTCCGACCGAGCACTATTATTTATATGGCCACCCTTGTGAACTTTCAATATAGTCATCTCCATCGTTTTCACGTCATAGTGATACACTCAATGCCTAGAGGAGATCTCATCGTCTTAACTTAAACCGTATTAATGTGACGGGATGATGTAAAAGGACAGGAACGATTCATGGGTTTCCATGGTTGCTTGTAGAGGGGAATGCGTGTGAGGTGAATGGTCAGCATTTGATCGAGATGTTATGGGCATCCAATGAGAATAGTTGTGTTGTCAAGTCGGGTATCTCTAGTCTTGTAGACAGACTGAATACCAAATCTATAATTAATAACTTCGCGCTTTTTCGAATGTGCAAGTTAGATATCCAGCCTGCCTATTCGCTTGTAGGAACCTAAAGTATAAGAGATCTATCACAAAGCCTCCCACCCTGACATGCAGGACTTCCACCCTATTCCACCCTACGGGCTTATTCTTGCAGCATGTATCTTCAAAGTTCCTACCCGCAGCCTCACCTAGTCTTCCTACAGCGGCGCTACGATTCAGACACAAGAATCCATGGATGCCCATCTCTTGGCCTTAGAGATTCATTCATCCTTTAACCAATTATAGTCTAGCATTCTTCGACATTCTTTCCCTTGAGCATCGCGCAGTCATGGACGAGCACGGACAGATACCTAACTTATACTTCGGCGACGACGCCTTCCTCAACCTTCCTCACGACAACCTTACCATTGGCTGGGTTATGGACGACCAGCAGGGTACTATGCAGGATATACCGCCAATTACCCAATCTTCACTCGCACAAGAGAGTGTAGGAGGGTAAGGCCTTTTTTTTTTTTCCCTGCTGACTTTGCAGGGGAGACTTTCCCTTTGTGTCGCATGCAACAATCAACGCCTCACTTGTACCTACCTGCATCGAGTGTCACGGCATATTCCCAAACCCCACACAGCTCAATAAGCACGCCAAGGATTATTCTCACAAATCGTACGGCTGCACTTGTGGAGTCAAATTTAGCCGACTAGATGCCCTCACACGACATGTTGATGCTCAGTCTAACAATGTCCCTCAGTATCCCTGCGAATACTGCAAGCGCCATCAGGGTGCTAACGGCTTTCACCGTCATGACCACCTAGTCCAACATTTGAAAGGCTTCCATAAAATCGATGTTGAAGACAAGTTACCAAAGAAGAGGGGAGGAGAAGCCGCTGTCGCCAATGAAGACAATGGGAGCCTTGTTTCGTTGCCTCAGATCCCTCCTTTCCCCTGCACTGTCGACGGATGCATTAAGGGAGGTACAAACGGCTATCTACGGGAGATAGACCTCCTTGAGCATCAGAACATGATGCATGCATTCATGGTTCAGGGTAACATGCCGTTCTATCAGCAAGATGGTTCTTCCCAGTTCCACTTCTAAGAGACCATGATTCAGGCTTCCAGAACACATTCGGAATTTGAGGCTACACTGGGGAATGGCTACATTTGACGAACACTCATTTACTTTAAAGTTGTGAATTGGATGGAGTTGATAGTTATGGCAACACTACACTCTTTATATGATAAAATAGAAAAAGTTCAGAGTTACCAGAGGTTATGATAACTTCGTATATCAGCATTATACTCAAAAGCGACCTCAATATAACATATTGATACATATACGCTACTCTAATAACGTGACAAAGTTGAGTCCTATGAAGCTATATCCTGCCAAAATAATATATACTAGAACGAAAAAATAGGGTAGGAAATAGGGGTAAAGGGGGTGATTCTACTTCTGACTTTAATAATAAGAGCCATAACACGATTTGACTACGAGGAAAGTTGCCAGATGCGAATGACATTAATGTATATCGTTTTGTCTTCTACTAGGCCGCATATGATATAGTTCTTGCAATATTAGAGACTTGTAGAATCTTATATAGCCTCTCGGTATAGAATGGTTTATAACGGCTGTGTCATGTAGAAGATAGATTAGTATACTAGTAGTAAGCAACTTTCCTTTTACTACCAAGTCTCAGCATAGATATATAAATGCAAACCGTAGAGGACTCGTATTCAGGGGTAATCTACCTACTCACTAGCCTGCTCATGAGATACCATACTACCTCATAGCTTCCAATTATTATATCTATCCCTAGAGCATCCACACAAGAGGTAAGGAGAGTAATGCACAGAAATAATAATTACGGGTCCCTCTCTAATTTCCTAACCTATGATACAAGGAACCGCATCACACATGGCACTAGGCCAACCCATATGCCGCCGTCAAACGCCAAAAGAATCGAACAAGCTCGATCACCAGACGTTCCGAATAGAACGGCAATCTCACATTCGCAAGTACGAAACCATTCATATCCCATCGCCCGCCACATTCAAACGGCGCTGTAGCCTCCGCGACTCCCGCTTCCCTGCACCGTGTTAAGCACCCTCCTAGTCCAGTCCTTAAGTAGGTACGGAATGTCGCGGATGGTGTCGCCGTGCGGGATAAGGTCCCAGCCTCGAGCCCCGTAGCGGTTGTAGTTGAGCCACGAGCCAAAGACGAGATAGGCCGCAGTCCCAAGGAAGACGCTAAATGTCGTGATTAGCATGTTATAGAATCTAACATATCCGGCGCTCCGGATACAATAAGAGCAATCACTTACATGATAACCAGCCACGTGAAGAAACCCCAGTGCGAACTTGGGCTTTCGCCCGAGTCATCGTTGTCCCTATTCTCGCAAGCATATTTAGATAACCAAGTCAACCGCAGGACATCGATATTCCCATCCTCGCTTAGCGGTTCGTAGCTGTTGAATTTCAAACTCGGGTCGTTCTCAAGGCCGAGCTGAACCTCTTTCGGTGGTTCGTCATCACCATCACCGTCGCCATTGTCGTCTCCGCCATCTCCGTCACCGTCCTCGGCTCGAAATAGGAGCGGATTTACCCGAGCCATGGCCGGGTCAGGGCTAGGTTCATATTTATCGTCGGTAGGATCGTATTCGCCTTCGGTCCCGTTGCGATCTTTGTCGCAGAGGAATTCTATGATGGCCCTCTGCTTTCGTTTGACTCCGCTATCTGTCCTGTCGAAGCCTCCCTTCATCACCAAGAGTACACCCTCCTTCTGCGAGTCAGAATTCGAATCCGAGGTCTTGAGCCGCGTCACCTCATGATCCAAGTCACCCCCGCCATGGTCTCTTAATTCGCCGGCGATCGGGATGGCTTTGTCGATATGGTCGTCTACGCGCTTAATGGCGCATGCTCGAGTTCCATTAGGACATTCTTCGCCCTTCTTCGCACCTTTCTTCTTGCCAAGGGATCGACAAATATCTACGGTATATGTCATATTATGGACTTTGCCGTCTAGGATGCGACTCGTCATGATGGAGTGTGGGCCTCCGAGAGCCTTAAGGTTGAACATTTGCTTATCAGCAACGACAGATTCGCAGTTAAGCATTGCAGCTGTTGGTAGAGGAGCTACCAATAAGGATAAAAGTAGTACGGCATCTGCCGCATGTATCGTGGGGACTTTCATGGTGTAGGAATAATTCGCTAACGCGATCGGGTCCGTCGGTGCCGTAAGTCAAACTGCGTAGGTTGAAGATGCAGGATGCAAAGGGATATTTGAGGCTGGATTTAAAAGTTGGAGGTTGATAAATAAATTGGATGAATGGGATGTGGTTGAAGCCTAGAAGTTTAAGTCTTCGGGGGATTGATTCGGGATGCGCGCGTGTTAGCTGTCACGATGTGATGATATGACAAAACAATAAAAAGTGACGAAGGGAAAGGTTAAGAATAATGATAAAATTAAGAGATCTACCCAAGTATCGGATAACCAAGTTCTTTTTTTTTTCTTTGCGATATAGATCTTACATGCACAGATGCACAGATGCCCAGATGCCTCGATGCTGGTGAGCTAAAGTAAGGTAGCGTGCACTTGGCTGAGCGGTACTTGAAGCTTGTTGGGTTTTTGGCTGCTCTTCTTTGCGGCGAATCGTCATAGGTCTGCAGGGGTTACAGCTTAAAAGTACCAACGCTTACGTAAATGAGGTACCTGCACTTGCATCATAGCATTCACGTGACACCCCTTCCCTTCACCCTTAAGGTCCATTTCGTTCTACTGTTCGGAACAATAAATTACACGATATCAAAATAGATCGGAGGGCTCGAGTAAATATTAAAAAACAATACAAATTCTGATTTTGCGATTCTTATCTAAAGGATCCCTTCCACCCAACATGTTCTGTTGTTCGTGATCCCGTAGCAAACTAGCAAAATGGGTATAATGGAAATAAACCTGACCCGCCTGGTCCTCGGGGATACCCCGATAATGCTACGGCTTTGTAGCCCTATACGCCCATTGCTCCTATAAACGCCATATAAGTCGAACGCATGAATGATACCCCATCTGATGCTACCCCGAGCCCGTCTGTTTGTACAATTCCAACACAAACGTGACTACCGCCACGACATTTTTACTATGTATCTCGACCACCGTCCCTTATTACATCATTCCGTTCATCCCATTCATCCCGTTTTGCATACCACCTTGCACCCCATTTGGCATTCCGTTTGGCATCCCGTTGGGCATCCCGTTGGGCATCCCATTCTGCATGCCATTCTGCATGCCATTCTGTATATTTTGGGCCATCTGCTGCCGCCGCTGAGCAATATCACGCTGCAACGACTCTTGGGCCCTCCTCAGGCAGTTCTGTTTGAACTGATCGTGGACATCCGGCGGCACGTTCTGGGGGCCACCAAAGCGTTCAGCAAACTGTGCGATGTTAGCGCGATAGAGTTGCTGCTGCCTCTGCCGTATCTGCACCGTAAAAGGGTTGGGTCCATTTCCTGGGTGTTGGCCTTGTTGTTGTTGTTGCTGCTGCTGCTGTTGTTGCATGTGCTGCTGCATCTGTTGCATGGCAGCTATCTGAGCGGGGTTCATACCGTTGCCAGCATTCATAAAGTTCTGGTTGCCCATTTGCTGGTTGGGCATCTGTCCTTGCATTTGCGGATGCTGTTGCTGCTGCTGCATGTTGCTCATCTGCTGCTGGTATCTTTGAAGCTGTGCTTGCTGAGTAGCGGTTAGCATATTGGGATTTTGCATGTTCATGTTTATCATCTGCTGGCGCATAAATTGATTCTGCAACATTTGATTATGCATTTGTGGAGTCTGTCCGTTCATCATTCCATTCTGCATAGCTTGTAGTTGTTGCTGTTGAGCAATCCTTTGACGCTGCTGCTGCTGTATCTGAGCCACCATCATCTGGTTAGGCATAGGCTGGCCCATATTCTGATTGCCCATGAGCATTTGACCCATATGTGAGTTTTGGGCCATCATGCCCGGGGGTGGACTGGCTTGGCTCATCCGGGGCGTAGGCATCGGTCGATTGATCGGGGTACCATGTGACATTTGCGGTGTCGCGCTCGGCATACGAGGCGTATTCGAGGGATGACTTTGTTGACTACCCCTCGCAGACATGCTAACAGCCATAGGAACGGACATTGGCCCGTGGCTCTGTACAACAGAAGACGGCCTTTGAGGACTGGCACCCATACCAGAGTTAGTCTGTTGCATCGGCGCATTTCCAACCATAGGGCTCGACATGTTCTGCGGTGTGTTCTGGCGAACGACTGGAGATGAGACAGGCGCTTGTGAGACTTGCTGTGGGAATCTGTGAGGAGCCTGAGCCGACATGACATTATTGGCAAGCCCGTTTTGCACTGGGTGTCCGTGAGACGATTGCGGTATTTGGTTTATTTGCGAGTTCGGAGGTGATTGTGCGACCTGTGCTTGTGCTTGTGCTTGAACTTGAGCTTGGGCCTGCTGCTGTGCTATGGCACGCCGCTGTGCTTCCTGTTGCTGTTGCTGTCGTATCTGCGCTTGTCGCTGAGCTTCTTCGCGGCGTGATTTTTCTTGTTCAGCTTGCTGCCGTTGTAGTAATGCGGCCTGTTCCTGCTTCTGGGCTAGAAGCTTGCGCTCATTTTCTGCCTGCTGAATCTTCTCCTGTTCTTTCTTTGCCTTGTGCGCACTCTTAATATCAGCGAGTACCTTGAACCTCTCAAAGCGAGGCTCAAAAGTGGCTGCACCGGATTGGCCATCGCCATCGGCACCATCAGCACCAGTCTGAGCACCACCGGTATTAGCGGAACGGCGCTCATCGAATGTAAGCATATATTTCTCCTGTTCTGCAGCTAAGGCCTCGTCAGCAGCCCTTTCGGCTACAGTCCGTTTCCGAGCCTTTGGCTCAGGCGGAGGCTCGGAGTGTTTCGGATCAACCATGCGCTTGAGCAGAAGTGTGACGGCATCTTCTCTATTTTTGGGCACTTCTAAGTTTAGCGGAGCCGAAGTCGCGAGTAGGATTTGTGCTTCAGCGGCGTATATATTAGTCCCGTCCAATTCCATCTTTTCTTGCTTCACTTTCTTTGCCGGCGGTGGCATGTTCGTTGCAGTTGGAGTTGGAGGTACAGCAGATATTGGGGTGGGCGGTATGCCATTAGAATCCCCACCGGCCTTCGCATCACCAGATCCACGTGGCGTACAGGCCTTAATCATCAAGTCCATGTGTAAACTTTGCGGGGTTGGATGAAGAACGACCGTAAATATCTTAACTTCTGTCTGTGCCTTAGCTTTCTGTCCATCAGTAGGAGCAGGTGGAGCCGGCATGTTCTCCTTATCATTAGAGTCATTATGCGCGGGCTTTATGTCGCCTTCTTGGAGTCCATTTTCGGCGCTGTCCTTGGGAAATGGGACGTAGGGAGAGGGCGTTATATAAGGGTTGTAGTTATGAATCGAGGAGGGCTTCTCGGAGGTAGATTTGGAGGCTGGACGCGCAACATCCTTAGCCTGCGCGGCAGTCTTGTGATCATGTACTTGTACGATTAGGCAGCCTTCATAAAAAGCAACACCAGCTTCGTTGAGATCCTGTAACATATCGTGTGGTACTGTTCGGCTTCTGACGTGATCTAAAAAGGCCCTCATCGGAGACTTGTATGGGAAAACGCTATCTTGCATATCGAATCGAAAATGATTGGGATGTAGATGTATGATTAGCGATGGGGGGTGCCCAGAATATTTCTTAAGAATATAGGCATCGGTAACAACTATAAGCAAGTAAGTATGATATACAAGCATTAAATGCAATTATGGATGATTGCTATAGAGTACGCACCATCTGGACGCGGCTCGAACGATCTATGTAACGACGTGTCGGGAGCCAATGTGGCTGACCTCAGAGATGCGTTATTCCTCTGATTACGTCCCTGAACCTGATTAGACGTATCGCGTCTCGAACGGGCTACGCTAGGTCGATGGGTAGTCCCGTTAGTGCCGTTCGTTGTAGATGAGTTCGATGTATGTTGTTGTTGTTGCTGTTTAGTCACGGCAGGTGGAGGGCGCTTAGCAGTCATATTTGGAGACGGGGAAGATTGCAATGAAGATACGCCATTTGTCTGGATACCAGGCGGCGGTGGACGTTTGATCTTGGGGGTCGGCGGTGGAGGAACAACGGCGGCGACGACTGGAGCCATGGTTGATGTAGAGCCCTGCGCACTACGAAGCGATCAAGTGACGCTCAATTAGTAGCGGCTAGGGACTAAGGGTATGACTACCTAAATTCTCTTTTACTATGGACATTGATCGCGACGTAGTTTCGACGTGTAGGTTTCCTTAACAATTTAAGATGCGCGCGCGACGAGTAGAAAGATAATTGACAAAACAGCGCTCATCTAATCGAATTATGAATTACATTGAATGATGCTCCAGCAATATGCGACGATGGATATACGGTGCATCCGGGAAGAATCCCGATAATCCAAGGACGAGATTGTTGTTGAATGCTTTGTGTGGGGTTAAACTTATGTTAGTGACAGAAAGAAGTTAGAACTTCGACTCTAGCATAAATCGTCAATTTGAATTGAGCCTCATCAGCCGCATTGATGACTTTAGTTTGGAAAAAAAAAAATAGGTATAAGTGGCTCCACCTTAGTCCTCATATGGTAGGTACTTTTTAGCCTCACGTGATTACACGTAGAGAGATACCACCTAAATCTACCCGATACTAGCATAAAACACAGGCAAGAAATATAACATTTACGGGATGCAATACTAGGAGGTACTTAAGGTACTAAGTCCAGGAAAATCCAGCAGCCCCAAAACATATTTATTACTTCCTAACTGAAGCGCAACCAACCCAAGGATATAGAAGCGGTAAATCATATATCTACCATGGCGTAACCTAGCGTCAATATTCCATCTAGAAATCGTAAAGAAAAATCACCAGTTCATACATGCTGCTCGTGTCACCATTCGTAGAGTGATATCTTACAAGATATCATCACTCCTTACCTTGCACCCGCCGCGCCCAATCGTCACCAACCCTTAAACTATCCACCACTACCACTCCTCTTCCTCGTCCTACCCGTTCCTCCCGTTGCCACCATAGGTCATTCTTCTTTTCGGTCTCCTTCTCCGGTTTTTCGGTCTCCGACTCGCTATCTGCGAGCCCGCCATGACCATCGTCAGCTCCGACGACAAGAATAACGTCGTACTTAAGCCAGGTCTGTAATTGGGTAATTACACCTCCGTTGTCTCCGGCTAGAGATTCTTGAAGGTATATTACCTCTGGTTGTAGGTGACGAAGGATATGAACGTGACCGTTAGGGGAAGTAAACGGTAAGATCATCGCTTCCTTTTCTACCAAGGCCGAGGCCTGTGAATACACCAATTGGAAGGGCGTGTTGGCCGTATTAGAGCTTGAACTAGATCTTAAGTCAGTAAATCCATACAGAGCGCTTAATCTTAGGGGCATCTACGCACATTGGGCTCTTTTCCTCCTCTCCTGGGGTTTGACTCTGCTCATTCCCAATATTTGAGAATGATGAACTCAAAGATGCCGGAGGAAGGTTACTGGCCGATGCTTCAAGGGCGGAATCCTTGAGGCCGGGCGCGTAGATCAAGACAAACAGCTTAGTTTTAGAGAAATCGATATTGCGAGGTATATGGGAGAGGATAGACTAGAAGCAAGTTAGCAACCAATTCGCAGATACTAAAATAAGGCGACATCATACAGCATGCTCGTGGAAGCCTTCCGCATCAAGATCATCTGTATTCGTATTTGCCGAGACCACGATCGCGACTGTTTTCCGGCGCTTAGTTGAGTCTCTAGGCTGAGGCGGGGTCGGCTTTTCCTTTCGAGCCTCGGCTTCCTCCGACCAAGTCTCGTGGTCGGCATATGCATCCTTATCATCATCCCGTATAGCAGCCAAGGCGCTACCAACGGCCGCGCCAACTCCCGCCACTCCTGCTGCAACGGTCTTGCTTGCGCTGGAGAAGAACTGCTGTGGACTTGGTGTACGTCGAGAGCCCCATCCGGCAGTAACGCCGGTTGCTTCTGGATGTATTTCTCCCACGCCGTAGCCTACATCGTCAGGCCGGATAGCAGGACGCGACGTCGCGCCATATGGGGGGTTCTCGCCATAATCGGCATTTTCGTAGTCGAGATCGGCCGGCTCAGCATCGCTCTCCTCGTCTTCGCGTTCGTTACTCCGTTGGCTCCATGCCCAAGCAGCGACACCGACGGTCGCAACGGTAAGGGTAACGACAATAGGAACCCAATGGCCCCAGACACCCCTCCGGCGGGATCTCGAAGAATCGTACGACGACGACATTTATTCAAATGAGATCATCGCAAGATCGTGGCCAGCATACCACGCGCAAGGCGGTGGAGTAAGAAAAGGTATAGTTAATGCGAATCACGACGCAAGAAATCTAGACGCGATGTGAGAAAGTTTGGTCGCAGTTACGTAAATCACCTATAGGCAAAATATCAAAGTAAGTTTGATAACGGATGATTTTAATGGAAGTAAGAAAAGGCTAATGTTGACAGTGTTACGGGATACAGCTCTCGAAAAATAGCGGGCTGGGGAAGCATTGCCCGAGTTTATAAAGAGAGGTCGGGTCTACACCTCATCCCAAAGTTATCCTTGACCATCAGCCCAAAGTCTAACCTGATTTGGCAAAAGCTAAGACTTTGGATCCAAAGCCTTGATTGGCTGCAATCGATAGGGTCCCCGCTTTGAGGTGAGCTTTACATGACTTTAGGGTGAGCTTTAATGTTTTTAATTGTTAAAATATCAAGTTAAATTCCTTGTAATTACAGCGTTGACACTTAAGTTGTAAATGTTTTATTTAAAGTAAAATATTTAAATTATACCACAAAGTATTTGCCATTTGCAAAGTATTTTAATTACGGGGATAAGAACGTGCTGTTAACCGCCAACGACCATACGGAGGATCGGGGTGGCCAGTACCAGGGCCGGGAGGTATCGGTGTCGGTGTCGCCGGCACCGGAGGACTTGAAGTCCTTCAATGACATGGACGCGGCGTTGCACCGCGCCCTGTAGGTACCCGGGCTTCATGCGCGAGAACGGTAAGGCGGTGTCCGCTTTCCTTCCTTCCTCACGCAGGTCTCTGCCCGGACGGATCCCCGCCGTGATCCGGTGCTTCTTTATTCGGGGTCCTTAGAAGTAGGAGCATAGGAAAAGGCTGTAATGAGATGGAAAGACCTTCGGCCATGCGAAAGTAAAATAATTTGCGAGGTCCCAGAATTCTATGTTTTCCTCTTTTTTCTCTTTAACCCTCTCCTAATAACGTCCCCTTTGCCTTTCTTGGATATTATTTTAGAACCCCCTCCTAGAGACATATTCGTCAGAAAATATAACACTATAAGGTCTTTATGAACAGAGAGATAGAAGCAACTAGCTCGTGTTGAACTACTATACTCTATTGTCAATATGCAACCAACCCCATCTTACTCTCATCAATCAACAAGTGTAAAGCAACGAAGCTTTATAAAATACTTGCCCTTAGTCCTTCGCTGTCCCCTAACTTCTCAACTACTATTTCATTGCTACCTGCTACAACACCTACCACACGCGATCAGAGTCTGGGCAAATTGCGAGGACGATTCCTAGCTAAGGATTAAGGACTGGTTTGAGAAGAAGAGGAAGCTGGGGTCAAGATGGAAGGGGTAATTGGGGCTCTATTCGGAATTTGGGAACTTACTCAGTTCGATGTCGACTAAAGAAAGACCAATGTTGAACTTACCTACCTGGTAGGTTAGGTACCTGATAAATGGTCTGCGATATAATTGGACACAGACCGATAATTACGGATAGCTACGGTAATAGTGGATCTTACGCTGCTATCGATTAGGTACTTAAATACCTGCCACATGCAGATAAGAGCTATCGCTATGTATTTTCAATATTGATAGGATTGATAGCCGATAGTTATATCGTGAGTGACTCAAAAGTTCCAATTATTGATGAGAAGCACATATCCTTCGTCACTCTTCACCGAAATCTAATCAACCTCTCTTCTTCCAAGATCTACCAATGTAAACAAAAACCCATAAAATATGAAATTCTTCTAAAATTTATTCAAAGAACTAACACTTTACTAGATTATCACATCTCATCCGAGGTCCTTAGTTCTCATCAACCCCTCCAACAGGCCTCGGTCTCGGCTGGGCTGCTCGAAATGCCCCACGCCGTCTCTATGCCTGCGACGGGCCTTCAGGCCCTCATCCTTTGCGGCCCGGGGTCCTCTTTTCCGACCTTTACATCAAATCCCGATGAGAACCCCAAAGCCTTATTACCCATTGCCAATAGGCCTATGGTCTGGTATCCTATTGATTTTTGCTATCGCACGGGAATCACAAGTAAGTAGACATCTTCATGTTATGGTCATTTATAACTAGCGCAATGTAGCACTAGAAGTTTCATATTATATTCTCGCATTACCGCGACGATAGTTACTCTATCATAATCATTAGCTAATACGGTTCAGGCATTACTCTTGTTTGCCCCCCTTCTGCCGCCGATGCTATTACTACGGCGCTGAATACAAATCCCTTCCTCACGGGTTTACCTCACCCACGCCCGGACCTTGTGGCACCAAATGGGCTTGACCAGAACACAGGCACTGCAGAGATACTGCGACTCCCTGAGATTCGAGAGCTCATTACTTCTGACTTTGTCGTCTTGCCATGTGATTTGGTATGTGAGCTAGGCGGCGATAAGCTTTTGCAAGCATGGATGGTCAAAGCAGCAAGTCTTCCAGATCTCCTTAGTGACGGTGAGCCGCCGTACTGCAATGGTGGTTTAGGCGTATGGTACGAAACGAAGACGGCCACCCCTATCAAAGGCGAAGAAACAGATTTCATCATAACAGCACCCATAACCACACCCATGGTACCTACATCCAAGGATTCATTACTACCGCATCTCTCATACTTGACATATGCTATGCCCAAAGATTCTCTAAACGATATCGTGGACCAGAAGAAGAGATTCCCGATACGTCATGGATTGTTGCGTAGTCATCCCAAAATCAGAATGCTAACCACACATCGGGACGCGCACATTTATATTCTACCCAAATGGATTTTAGACTTCATTGAAGAAAACGAGCGGCTAGAGACACTTGGCGAAGACGTCATCGGCTGGTGGGCAAAAACAAATTGGGAGACAGGGTTATTCGGGAAGCTAGGGATGAAAAAAGTCATCGAGGGCCACACCGAGGAACCGGACATAGATAGGTCGCCACGTGGTAATGAATCCGCGGCAGATGCAAGCCTTATCGATTCCCCATGGAGAGCACGCGAATCCCATGAGACGTCTCCTCATGCAGACTTCCGGAACAGACATCATGACGGACTACTAGCCAAGCCGAAGGAGCCTATCGTCCCCCCGATTCTAGCGTATATTCACCCCGCTCGTGCCGACGCTCCATTGCTCCGTCGAGTAGATACGGCACAGCTTCTCCTTGCCGTATCACTGCAGCTAGCAAAACTTCCTTCCGTTGAGGAAACCGGTCCCGAAGCGGCATCGGCATTTGCCCATTCTAGAAAGGTTGCATACCCCGAGGGCGTCAAGCCGCGAACGACCATAACCAGACAAGATTGCTTGATTGCCGACAATGTAATGGTGGAAGAAAAGACATCAATCAAAGAGAGCGTCATTGGAGCAAACTGTCAGATTAAGGAGGGTGCCAAGTTGTTCCAATGTCTGCTTATGGATGGTGTGGTAGTGGGTAAAGGCTGCAAACTGACTCGCTGCATCCTAGGCAAGAGGAGCGAGGTTGGGGAGGGTTCGACACTCACAGATTGTGAGGTGCAAGAGAACTTGTTGGTAGAGCCCAGAAGTATGTCTCAATCCTTCCAATCCTCGTTTCCACAAGGCGGTCTGATATTAACGAACTATTAACTAACGTCGTCGCAGCTGAGGATAAGGACAGCAAACTCATGAGCTCCTCTGGGATGGAGGCCAGTGAGCAGGAGATGCAGGAGGCATTAGACGACATTGATGAAAGCGACAGGGATAGTGCCATGTTAGGATAGGCAATTAAGAAATAACCGCGATCCAGGCTACCGGTAGCCAATGCGACGGGCAATAAAATGTGCAGGAATATCCCGGATACATAAGCTCCAGCTTACCATCACTCCATCTAGCCAATCACGGTCAGTTGGTATGTGCCATAAGGAAATCCATCACAGCTATTTCCCCAATGAAGGTTGTGATGAGGCATTAGATATGTCCACTAGCCTGAATATGTTGGTGTAGTAAGAAAATGAATGAAGCTTTCCTTAAAAGAAGATATTGCAGGTTTGTCATAACTTCAGGGCTTATTGGAGTTGGTTTTGTCTGGATCTCCATGGATGGTGACAAGGCTTTAACCCGGCATTCACATGCTGGGTCGAAATTTGAATTGTCATATCGTCCTTTCTCGACCCCAAACCGAGCGATTATGCGATGGTGCCCTTGAGAGAACCTCCAACCCATTCTCAGCTTTAATAATAATAAGTGATTCTCAGATCTCACTTAGAACACCTAGCTTGGAGGCTACCACAGTATACCAGAGGCTGCGTCAAAACTGACTTATTCGTTGAGGCTACCTACCTGTTAACTTGAGGTTTACACGGGGGGGTCATTCCGCCTACGATGCCGCACCGTTGTCAGCGTAATACGGATCGAGACGCAAGTTATTCCAAGAAGGTATCGTGTTACTGCGCTCTAACGATCTTTCATCAGTACCGTCGGCATGTATGTCGTACGACGTCGTATAAAATGAAGTACCTAGTAGGTTATCTCGGAACCCAACAGGATCTTGCTTTACCATGTATGTGCAACGAAACACTGCAGATAACCCCTACGTAATCATAAGACGGCCTTCCGACGACGTCTAGTAACGATTTTGGTAAATAGAGCTACGAGCGCTTAAACTTACAAGTATCGAGGCGGTTTGCCGCTGACGCTTAAGTAGCAAACATACTAATTCCTCTTCGGGAAAAACTTAAGCATAACCTCCTCATTGCGGCATCCGGCTTACACCCATTCAGCTGGCGTGCTATCTCTAAGCTTTCGACGGGAAGAAAAAGAAAGGTTCACTCGCCGATCATAGTGGATCCTCAACACTGGCTGAATGATGTACTATTTCTCTCGAAGCTTGGCATTCAACTGCTTAAGACCTGTCATAAATCATCCTGGAGTAATAAGTTTCCGTGAATGGTCAAAGCCATAGAGAAGAGTAGGCGCCGCAATGCAAGATCCGGTAGGTCATATGTCAGCTGCCATAAGTACCTACACAGTCTAGGAATCCCGTATTGATTCCCGCATCACGAAACTCCGGGGGTAATTAGCTGCATATGACGGGCTGTGTAGTACGCCGCGATTATGTATATTTGTCAAATATTCCTCTATTTCTTATGGCCGCTTTTAATTAACACGACCGCCAAAGGAAACTGGTTGAATAGGGGTATGCTTCCACTTGAAGTCCTATTAAGGGTTACTTGAGACGGTTGACCACCAAGACATATTAAATACCTTGAACGAGAGATTGTAGGTTTACTAAATTTGCCCTTAGATAGAGCAGCATATATTCTTTAGTAAGCTACATAATGCATTACCGCCACCTTTTGGATATATATCAGTGGCACTACTGCTATTGAACCTCCAAATACTAGATGTCCCGGGTCTGCATATGTATATGACCTGTCAACTTAACTAATTGAATACCAACCAGTAAAATTTCCTCTTATATAATCTCCAGCGGAGGTTCCGAAGCCTTATTGATCACTTTAGGTTGAATCGTCGGTTGAATCGTCAGTTGAAAAGTCGAGATGCATAATAAAAGCACAGTAATCTCTTGTAAGTCCATCCGGGTAAGCTACCTACCTAATCTAACGACAACCCCATGGATTAGTGTTTTTAAACGCTCCATTTTTAACTTTAATAGAGTGTTAACAAATAAGGGGCATGCAGGCCGATTGTTAGCCTCTAAACGTAGATGCGGTATAATCGTAGTGATATTTCACGTAAGATATGAATTATATTAACCCGATAGACTTGAGAGCCCTCTATTATAGCATTAAACATACAACTGTATCCTGATGTAGTTTGAGTCTCTTTCATTTCTCGTCAATACCGTGTACGTGAATGACTATCATCCAAACACCGCAAGAATGCCCGTAGGAAGCCGAAATCACAATGATAGGTCATCGAACTGTACCATCCATGCCTACGTTAGACTAATACTCAAGCAGATAAGTGTTCATAAAGGTTATTGGGTAGGACTAACCAGAGCCTCTTCAACGTCCCCATTCTTTCGGGTGGAGTGGGCATTGCCCTTCGCTCCCAGATGCTCGGCTTTCTTGAATTACAAAACCTCCATTTTTGGAATCCACGTTCCTCTTCCGGTTTTCACAGTTCGGGTACCGATTACACTTCACCTCTTCTTCCTTCAATACACAATTATTGTCGCAGTTGTAATACTCAATAATTAATATACACATGGTACCTTAACAAAGAGTTCAGCTTATGTTTGGGTCTTCACAGGTAAGGGGTGGCTACCTAGTGATTGTAAGAAAGTGTAAGTGGTGTCGTATTGCTAGTCGCTTCAACCTCTGAGGAGATATAGATTTGAAGTATAGGTAATTTGAGATCTAGGGGGCAGAGAGGTCACGCTGGGTAAGCTATTGTAGATGGGCGTAAAGGTAGGAATTGGAAATTTGTCCTCTTGGTAGACTGCTATGAGTTGGTTGTTGACTTATATACCCACCTAAACACCATCTTGGATTCCTCATTGTGTGAGGATAATCTATATCCGTATTTCACCAACTCCGAATCCTACACGGCTGGAAAGCCACAATATTGCTCATAACCACTTGCTATTATTTCTGACCGCACTAATAGGACCCTAAAAGAGCTAGTAGTTTCTACGATATAATTCGTCAGATGAAGTCTTGTCATACTTGTAGTTGCTGCTTGTCATCGTTCTCTAGAGTAGTGTTGATGTGCGGCTATAATCTCATTATCTAATGTAGGAGAGATCAATTACTCAATTTAGTCATCTAGGAAATGCTAGGTGCATAGAGATAATACTGTGTACTTACCTAGGTGACTTATGGTTCAGTCGCCGACCGTTTTTATCTATTGACCCAAATGGGAAATATTGCATACTTGGTGGCGTGGATAAGATGACCGTGGCCCATCAAAGGATAGGGTAACACGAGCTACTGAAATCTGTCTATATTCTCTTCCGCTCTAACTGATTGATACCTGGTATATTTACGTTGTTAAATATTTCATTCATGCTGTGTACCAACAACATGGGTCTTGGGGTCGTCAGGGTTCAAAGCTTGATGCGATGCTAAATGAAGACGAACCAACCAGACCGCTGCCACTTTATCTACGCTCGAGGACACAGCTGGATACCCTAGGATACCCGCAGTTAGCGGTCTTTATGTTAGAAATGTTTGCTTGACTTAGTGTTAAACTTGTATGTGAAACACGTGGGAACCCGGCTAGTAATAAGGCGTAGTCGAAAGCCGTTGTCGAATGAAGAATATACTCGGTCCCGATGTATATCGGCATTAAGGAGTGATTGCCTACCTGATAGAGCCGCGCGGTCACTCGCAAACTCATTGTCTTAATAAGCCTACCTAAACCATTAGGTCCGTATAGACTCTAAGTATATGTTATAAGTATACGTGGTAATGGTGACAGGGGTAAACTCGAACTAGCAGTGATCGCGGTCTAGGGAGACGTAATTGAGAAGTGATTCTACGGTTTTCAGGTACGAATAACGGTGTGTACTAGAAATGGACGAGATCTACCACCGCCGACCTGACACCGCCGAAAGGGCCTTTTCTGGAGATGGAATAAGTTAGATAGGTAGGTAGATAGATAGGTACTGGAACAACTGTCGAGACTTGTCTGAGCTCGTGCCATTTGCAATCATGAGCGAGCGAATGGGTGTAGTGTCGCAAGCCACAGACACGAGGATGCAAAGATGGAAATCAGAAATTCGATCTGTCGTAAATCCGACAACGCTATGCAGTTAAGATTCAAGCATGTAAGTTTACTCTACCACCCCGGGACAGTGCTAGGAAGATGTAAACCAACCTGCCAAAGACACGGCCCAGTCACAAAACATTATGAGCACTTTTTCATAATACCGGGTGGGCCGAGTGCCGTATTGTACTGTTAAGTATGGTATGCTGGAAAACCGTTCTCCTAATTAAACCCCTGATGAGGCTTGTTGGCACTCTTCTCGTTCATCAAATAAGATACTCAGCCGAGGGCCGAAGATCGGTCGGCTCAATAGGTGGTATCGGCATTGTTACCGTATCGTCAGTATTTACCACTCGTCCTCTTTGAGACATCTACTGAGACAAGTATGTGGCTTAAGCCCGATAGCGGTATTGAAGGACAAAACGGTAAGAAATTCAGGCCCACCTCTTCAAGGTCGATATTAAGATAGAAATTATGTTCATCTATGAATCTTATGAAGGTACCTCCTAATGTATAAACGTAACCTCGCTCTGCCTTATGTAAATCCCGAGGGGTTTTACGACCAGGGTCTTATCCGGGATTCCGCTTTACCTCTAACAGCAGAGCTATCGTACGTAGATCAATGGTGGAGCTTATAAGTACACTACGGCAAAGTGATCTCCGGGGTAAGCCTCGCATGCACGTAGGGCCGTAGTAGGGCAGGCTGACAGGGTCCCGAAAGGATCAGACAAGCCAAACTTAAGATGCTGACGGACTATTTACTAGCACAGCACGGGATCCTTCAAAAGATTGATTGTTTGATCACTTAGGAAACTAGGGGACTTGGACGAGAGAGTCTATGTAATAAGAGATTCTCAACATTGATCTAATAGGATGAATAATTGCGTGTCTTTAGACTCTACGAACTAAACCGTCTGAACCCGAGTCTTAGGTATTGCCTTCAACATGACCTGCTAGATTGAGAGTAGACTGGCGATAGCGCGCTTATTGGTATAATTAATCGCGACTAACCTAACCGCTTAACAGGGAGATAGGCGGTTTATACGTC